CTCTCTCTCTCTCTCTCTCTCTCTCCTCCACCTTACCTCTGGTTGAAAGTAATTTTTGTAAACACTACAAAGCAGGCCACACCCTTGGAATTATTCTTGGTGGTGTGTGTTTGGTGCAGCTTCGGTCCGCCAGTCAATTAAGCGGACGGAGCCGATACTCCGCCCAAATTCATAGATAAATAAGGGTGATGATTATTATTACCATTATTTGCCTTTCATTAAAATTATTTTATGCTGATTTTGATGGTTAGGTAGAATACTTAAATGTCAGGTAGAGGTCTCGGGCCTAACTTCCGACCACTTATTCTCCGCTGTATACCTTATTTGATTTTGATTTTGAATATTCAGTTTAGGATTCTGAATTCAATTTTATGCAATAATTACAAAGCTTTTTGTTTACCAGGGGAAAACAGAGGGCTGATCACTTTTTACCGTTGATGTTAAGGAATATATTTTTCTAGAGTTTACTCAAATCCAGCGCTGCGTATGGCGTAGCTCTGCTTACTGTTGCTACAACTTGGTCAAACTAATTTTAGCATTCCCCTTTGGAGGGGTAATGAAGCAGGGACAGGTCTTCATTTGCCCTGTCACCAAATTGGGCCTGCAACATAGTCTCACAGCACTAGCAGCGGACACGCGGTTCGCCACGGTCATTGGCCCTGAACGCCGTATCCGCGTTAGGGGACAGTTTGAGGAAGCCTGCATAGGCCACCAGTCGCCGCACCTCCCACCGCCTCATCACCGCGCTTTGAAATAGACTGAGATAGGGGAAATCAGCTACCAATGATGCCGAGGGATAGAGAGCCCTGGTACAGTTTGCGGATTTTACTGCCTTTCGGGACTTTATTTTTCCCCGTCATTTAATTCCTTTAACTAACTGCTTGAGAAGCTAAATGGCCTAAATTTGTTGGTCGTGCTTAGATTTTACAACTTTTGCTTGGATCTTAACTCTTTAAAAGCAAACCCAAGCGTACTCCGTCGTTGAACGGAGGCCTGCCTACATGCCCTTACTCGGACAAGGAATGGGGAAAAGTTTCTTCACGTAGATTATCTGACTTGAGGCATGGAAAAATCGTATTCGTCGAAAGGTTTGGACGCAGGCTAATTGCAGTTTTGGAGGAGCCGTATGAGTTCATGGAAATGGTGTCGCAGATATCGTAACCTATTTGCTAACCTATTATATGCTTGATCTAGACGTCTTGAAGTAAGTAAAATAGGCTTAATTTGTAACCGTGGATAAAGATTTCGGCATTCTGATTAGTTTTAGGTATGAAAGTGAGCAAAAGCACTTTTGAAGTTTTTTTCTATTGCAGTGAATATACATTTCGAGGCCTAATTGCGCCCCCATCATAGGTCATGGACCCGAATCCAGCAGTTTTGCATAAATCATCATTGGGTAAATACCATTGATGCGCACCATGCTTTTTGCCTTACAGAAGCGGCGCATTTCTATTGGAGTAGATTTGTAGTGCACAAACAATTATAGGGCCATGAGACTTTTCCGAAGGCGAAAGAAGACACAACACTCAGGCACAATTTGTATTGGTGACGCACAGAAGGGCTGCGGGGGCTGTTGGCAATCCTCGGAGGTGAGACCGCCTGGCGGAGGTACAGAGGCGGAGCCCTAAGTAGCCCATTTCTATGAACGAGAGTTAAACGAACACATTAAGTACTAAGCGATCATTTTGTCTGCTTTTGTAGGATACGTATGATAGTGAATTAGAAAATTTGATAAGAATTTGTGTGGCCTAGACCGATTTGCGGACACCTGGTTACCAGCTACTAAAAGGTAAAGAATCATTATTACTACATCGGTGCTTAAGAGGGATGAAAATAGCCAGACTAGAGGTTTTGCTATCACGGAAAAGGCGTGTTTGATGCTCTTCCAAGGGAGCAGAGTTTGTGTGTAATGATAAAGGCCTTTAAAAAGGGAATAAACGGAGTCTACCAGCTGACCAGTAACATCGCATAACAGAGGCGCTTACCGTAAACACGTGGTTTTTACAGACCTTTCAGCAATGCATCTGGGCCTGCATTTACAATTCTAGCCTTCGGCGGAAATGAAGTGCTGCGCTCCTGCTTTTTTTTATCCAGGCTAATCGCTCCAGGGATGTTGTTAGCATACAACTATTAAGGAAAAAGACTTTATGAAAGCTTATGCAAGGGATTGGACCAGACCTGACTCGTGCAAATGACTTAATGGGAGGGTTTTCGACTATTCACTGTGTGCACTTGGCATTTCTTTATCCATTATAGATACCCGTCTCACTTGACGGAGACGGGGAGACATTCATTCTGAGGAGAAGGATTGAGAGTGAAGCAGACAAAAGGGAATACCACCTTTAAGCCAATAACTCCCGAACGAGTGACGAGGGAGAACATAATACTTGGGGCAGAATACATATTGCCGACGTAGAGAAGGGCTGAGGCGGGGGCCACTGCCACGATCTGGAGGCCATGCCTCCCAACAAAAGCTCCCGCGTAACCAGAACGAAGAGTTAAACAAATAACCATAGTATCACACAATAGCTGCTTACAAAGACACGTGGTAAAAGCTGATAATGAGCCTCATCAAAGGTTTCTTCTTTTAGCACTCAAATAACTCAAAACTGGTGACCTTTGGGTACTTGGCAGTTTGTAGAGGACAGCTGCAATTAGACAAAAAATTTTGCCAAAACACTCGGCATATGAGAAACTTCAAATCGCTAAAGGATACCTCATAAATTAATGCTAAAGTAACTTCTATTGTTGTGTAAATGTGCCCTTCAGTTCTAAGTTTAGATAATCCCCTTTTTCTAGCCAAGTTAGTGGAAGCTCTTGTAGTGAAGTCATGCGAAAAGTACACTTAACTTTGATTAGTTTCCGAGGCAAATAGTCCAACTTGGGACTTCACATGTGAACTCGATTTGTCCATGAATCACAGCCACAAACCCAATTTCCGCATCTGCCCATTGCCTCTACTTAAGTAAGCAGCTTCGAGGCTTTCACAAATTTTTACAATTTATTCAGTGCTCAGGTTTTCTTTCCCCAAAGAAGAAAGCTCAGTGAATTTGATGAAATCGTCTGCACGTTATCTTGAAAAAGGCGAACCAAAGTGTGTTTTGGCGAGGGAGAAGGAGCGTGTAAAATCCTCACCTGCTACGAAAGTTATATTTGCGCAAGGATGGAGGAAATATTTCTCTAAGTCGTAATCTACTACCCTTGTTTAATTGCACACGAATGTCAAAATGTAATATTATGTACCATAAAACACCGCAGTAGTTGTATTGTAGTGTGTCGGGACTTTCCTGAAGATGAGAGAAGACGTAATACTAGGGCAGAATATGTATTGTCAACCTACAGAAGGGTTTGGGTCTACTGGCATGGCCCCAAGGCAAATGTACAGTGGCGGAGCATTTAAGCGGTCCATTCAGCAAAACCGAGTGTTAAACAGCCAGTCAGGGCATTTAAGTACAATCATGTACAACCATGGTATGAGAGGGCTCGGTAAAACCCTAAAACTATAAAACAGAGTCGGAGTTTAATGCTCTATGCATGGATTCATGTACGCCATTTTACGGTGATGTAGCTCCGGTGAAACCCCTGGACATCACTTAATGAATTGGCGAAAAGGCTTAAAGTTTAAGTCTTTCTTTGGGCCATAAATGGGCGATATTAAAATTAAGCGCTACAGCACCACTGTTATGGAATGTCACTTTCTGACAATTTTATGCAAAGCGGTAAAGCAGAAGTTCCCAACCTTTAATGAACAAATTTAGTTGCAAGTGATCAGTGAAATATCCATGTAGATCACAAATTCTTATCCAAGGAGGCTTGAATTTAAACTTAGGCAACTTTTTCTTTCGCAAAATAGACAATCCCTCATCTGATAAATGGGAGCTGGCATTATCTTGACGGGTGCTTCCATAGCAAACAACTTTAGATTGAAGGATGAATCTGGGAATAAGTGGAGTGTAAATGCTTTTCTAAAAGGAATCAAGTGGATAGCAGAAATAAAGCTGGCAGTAAGACAACTTGTCCGGTGATGCTACACATCGCATAAAGAAATGGGGAAGTCAGCTAAAGAATGGAAGACGTGGATCAGAATATACAAAATCATGCAGCGCTGCAAAAGCAACTCGTCTGCCTTTAAGAAAAATTTTGCCATTAAATAATACAGAGACATATTACTTCCTTAATTGTTGGATTAACTCTCGGTTTTGTTGACGCGGCAATTAGGAACTCCGCTGAGCGATCTGGCTTCCGGGCTATGCTAGTAGCCCCTAGCCCATCTGTGCGTGCGGTATTATGCCCCCCTTCGTCTTCGGGGAAGTGTCAGGGCGCTGCACGCATTTGCTATCCGCAAACATTGCTATTTGGGCCTTTACGGACAAAGGATCTTTTCAGGCATAGCCTTCTGCCCTCCATGGGTGCAGAAGTTGCCTCCATCGACTGTATGGGTCGTGTCAGAGGCCGGTGTGTCAGTAACCGTACCCAGATGACAAGATTGGCAAGTCACTTGACTAGAATTGATGTGTTGTGCCTTTCTTGAGAAGGAGTATTCTGGCAGAAGGGCTCAAGTAAGCGCGTGGTTTTACGACTGAGTGAAGTAAAACAGACACTGGATTATAAAGAGATCCATTTCAAAAATGGTAAAATGAGATAGTAGTGGTCAATTCTGATGTCCAGATTTCGCAGTTGAATATATAAAATGCCACTCCTACTGTTTAAGTTTGTAACAAAGCGCCTACGCACTTTCCCTGATATACTTTAAGTTTACTTCTGAGGGAGGATTGTCTATCACTAGTGTCTCTTCACCTAAACACAACATTATTCCGTATGATAGCCAGTTAGATTTTGGGGAGAGATGATTTTGCATTTTCTACTTGTTTTAAATCGCATTATGTCAAGTGTGAGCTAATTTTGAATAAGTTTGCTGGACAAACTGTAATGCTTTGGCCATTGGTTTAAACGCTTTGTTGGATAGTAAAACCAACGAGATAGAAATAGCTGGGCAGTACTGAACTGAGAATAAAGGGGCAAGGAAGAACAGAAGCAAAACAGTACTCATTTTAAAACGATGTTAAATCATGTCCTTTGCCATTTGACCTTGCTTTAAGGCCAGTGCGCCTACGACTGGCCGCAGACACGCTTAATGGTCAGCGCGCTCCTCCTTCCTCCAACACAGTTTCCAAACAGGCTAAAACTCCAATTCTAGGGAAATTTTTAAGAGAGAGGTAATTTTGCTTCAGGACATTTTCTCAGCTGCACGCAAATTCGATGACTAGTGCGGTTGACTAGTGCATGTTTTTCCATACAACACCGCTTACGGTGTGGTGGCCAACGTGGGAGGGTAACCAAGGAGAGATCCGAGAACGACGTTTAAAGGAGAAAGGGGCCATGTAGTACTTTGATTGCTTGTTTACCTCGGTGATTTTGGTTTTACGGGGACTTTCAGCCGTCTGGCCGCCAAGCCATGCCAATAGCGTCGCCAACCCTTTTGCACGTAGGCAATGTTTACTCCAGCCTACTATTATGTCTTCATTCGAATTCGGGAAAGACTGGAGGCAGGGCTTAGCAACGGGAAGAAAGTGCACTCTCAAAGCTTCCTTTCCAGTTTCAAACGTCTATATAACATTATTTGTCTTCTATCCTATGATTTACCCAACTTAAACCTTTAATCTTGAACTTTTTTTCCACAATCAAATGCCCTGGCTAACTCTTATGATGGTGTTACATCATGTCGCGTATGTCTAAATTTCATCATGCAGCACGACGGAATGACAATTTAGAGATGGAGGCCTAAAATAATCCTGGCATGGCGTGTCATACTGACGAATGAGCCATACGATAGGAAAATGGATGATGATTGTGGACATATCCCAAGCCTTACACAAACGCACTCCACTGAGAGTACAAATGTCTTCAGAATGTGCAATTTTCACCCGAAATTAGTAGCACTAACTACTCTGAGAATTCCTCATGTTAAGAAATGCGTTCTACCTTTTTTAAGGAAATAAAATTCGGTCTTTGATGAAGATCGAAGCTGCTAATTAACAATATGCGAATGTCCCTTCGCATGGTCCGAAGGAGCCCATGGCGTTTTGTTAGGGAGGACAACCACCTCGGAATATTATTTTTAAAAAATATTTTTAAATGTCCAAAATACCACCAATATTTTGAGATATTGTGGTTTGATACTAATAGAAATGTGACCAATAATGAAATGAAAGCAATAGCTTCTCAAATTTTGCATCAAATTACTTCAACCGATCCAACATTATTAAAATCATTTGAATGGAAACGATGAGGTAGAAGAAGGAGTGGATGCCCAGTAAATTAAAACTGTCTTATTAGCCATAATGAAATAAGTGTGCCACATTTTAATACCATTTCATAGGTCTGTGGAAAAAATATTTGATTTAATGGTGTAGCCCGCCAAGACTTTCCCAAAGGCGAAAGGAGACATGACGGTCGGGCAGAACATATATTGTCGGAAAAAGGAGGGTCTGGGGGACTACTGACATGGCTGGTCCGGATACGAGTCCACCCGGCAAAGGTACGGTGGCACTTTTTAATTTATGAACAGCCGTTAAATTTGTCAGACTGCCAGTGCAAGTGTCGGTGGCACCACAGAATAGCAGACAAATAGGCGTTAGTTGTCAATTCGCCTTGGAGATTCTGGGAGAGGGCCCTATTTCCTCTAGTAAGGAAAGATTGACCATTTAAGCCATAGGCAGGTCAAAAATTTCCCTAATGATGTGCATTAATCGGAATTTACTTTTATTATTATGCAAGGTTAAAATCCATCTTCTGAGCCTGTTTCGCCTCTACTTAATTAAATGGAGCCAGCAGTACACCCTCGCTAGGCGTTGCTTTGTCAAGTGCTGCTGGCATCTGATATCCACCACCTCCCTTTGCCTTTTTATACCGTTTTAGCTCCACCATACTATTTACTGTTTTGCTTCTCATAGGTTGGTTTGATTTTTTAAATTGTATGAGATTCATCCAATTTCCTCCTATACATCTAGCTGGTATAAAATAGCTACTTAAATAACTACTTATACGGGAAATTAGCTTTCCTCCCCTCGCATAAATGGATATTATTTTGTTTAATTTTATTACTTAAAAAGAAGACGAAATGGCTTTATTTACCGCAAGAGAACTTCGAACGGAGGATCGAGAGGCCACCATATTTGCCAGTTTTGCTTTGCCATATACGTTTCAAAGGAAAAGCTCCAATCACATTCAGCACAAGCTTTTATGACCTTTCATTAAAACAATAACGTATAATTAAAACCCAGTTAGTGTTTAGAGAGACAGAGAGAGTGAGGGCTTCTAATGCCTGCAATAATTTGTCTTTTTTTCTTGCTTAGCTAAAAATAAGGCGCATCTGGCATTGCGATTAATGGAGGGCTATGAAGGAAACGCATTAGGACTGCCCCATTTCCACCCAGGACCGGTGATCACAGGGCATATGCTGGAACAATCACTTCACTTTTCCCCGGATTTGAAGTGACTTTTAGAAGAGATCTGCAGGTAATCCATCTTAACAGGGCATTTATTTACCAGGAGACTTAACCTGGAAGCTGTTATAGGAGTGGGAAATTTCCTGACCTTCATAACAAAGGCGAAGTCATCATGGCGAAAGGTCGCTAACGTCACTGACTCACCTTCTGTCAATTACTGTACCCACGCTGCTGACGTTGTAGGGGCATTTTACACATCACATTGGTAAATTTCTTTTAAACAACTTTGGACCCGGTTCAAAATAACTGGTCGAATTTTTAGCTCATTGCTTCCAAGACCGATCCGAATTTCACCATCATCAATGTTGATCAGTGGTGTTATACACTGGTTTGTTTGACTTCTGGTTTTGGTAAGGGGGCCAAATAGGGGCTCCGCCATAGTACCTTTGCCAAGGAGTAGACCTCCAACTCTAAGCCATAATCCCTTCAAAATCTTGACAATATATGTTCTACTCGAGTATTTTGTAGTCGCTTGCCTCTGGGAGAGCCTTGAAGGCGGTGTGCAGAGAATCGCATGCCACTTGGGCTGAATGTTTACCACTATGTTTTTTGTGTAAAACTAATCTATTAATAATTTTTTACTTGCTTTGCTCATCTTTTACTGTTTAGTGCCCACGTTGATTTTCAACACAAAATTTATGAGCTCAACCTTTTTTCTTCGTTAATGTGAATGCATTCAATCAAAAAATACACTCAGGAAGAGCATTAAAGTCCCCCACACTTAGCATTTGTGGCAAGTAATGGGAGTGCTGTTATTTTTAGGCGTACGTTCTCTAAATCTTTTATGGCATCTGCGTTTTCTCAGGCGCGGCTTTTTTTGGATGAGAAATTTCCTCGCTCAACGCCCTGGCAGTATCAAGACACCTGCTTTGGATGGGCATCTTCTTCAAGCAAATAGCTGTTAATTTTTCCTAGCCAATGGCAATTAAGCCAACTGACAAGTTGCAATCCGGACGGCCATTGTTTAAGGCTCAAGATTATGCCGAGGTAACAGTTGGCTGTTATGCCTTGGATATGAAGTAGCCCAGATTTTCCAAAAAACACAGTCCTTCCTTTGTTTAGAAAAGGGGAAGAATAAAATAACCTGGGTTGATAAGATTGTTAAATTAAAATTAATACAATATCCCCATAATTTGTTTAAACCTTAAAAATTAGAATACCGGCTCAATACGAATATGAATGCGCTTAACTTGTATACGAATATTACGAATTGGATGACAATTTGCGGTCGTCAAAAACTTGAAAGGTTTAACCAATGTGGTGGATTAGAATTACTTGATTTAGCAACTCTTTGTTTCAGTTCATTTTGTTTTATTTTTAGCTTTGCCAAGTGTCCACCTCTCGTTCTCTCCCCCTCTCTCCGCCCCAGTAGGGCAACAATCAACAAACTGCTTTAATAACTATGAAAAAAAATCTAATGCTTAAACTTTTGACTTTATTTTTCATCTTTTTGCAGTTGGTAGTCAAACAGGATTTATGGGTAAATTAATTCCACTTAGTTGCCTTAATTTGAAGGCTGTAAAACTAGTGAAAGTCCTGACCACAAGAACGACCCAAGCGCTATTTTTAGGCCTGTTGAATTGTGTAGGTATGGCAGTGGTAAATAGAAGAGAGACTTCCCCAATTTTATTAATTAACTTAATTTTATTTGGTTTTAGAAAACCTCCTCCTCCTCCTCCTCCCCCTCCTGGGTGGGCCCGACCACCCACTCACCAGTCAGCGCGAGCACAGCTCTGCAACAAAATCGATAGTCCTGAATGGATCGGACCACACGTGCTGCCACTTTGACGCATTTCTTTGTTTAAGCTTTCCCCCTCTCTCAGTTTAACCAATTTGCCTACGCCCTTGAGTCAGGGGCTACCGCATAACATCAAAGCTTTTTCCTTCTGTTACAGTCGTAAAAAAATTAAACCGTCTTGAGGGCTTATTGTATAGTGCTGAAAAACGTACCATTTGAACCCATTATTCAATAATATATAATTATGTAATGTGTAATACTTTGGTCGTTTGTTTAACTCTCTACTTTCGATTAAGGGGCCACTTAGGTGTTCCGCCATCTTAGCCGGGTGGGCTGGGCCTCTGGTCTATGCCAGTGGCCCGAGTGTTATGCTTCTGCCTGAGTATTGTGCTTTCTTTCATCTTCAGGAGGGTCTCTGAATGCTGGGGGGCGTATAAATTACATTGCCTTCGCATTTCTTCTTATAGTTGAGGCAACTTCTTAAGGAGGTTCTCCTCCATTGGATCACCAAACAGAGGTGATTTGACCAGGCCAGAGACCCACTGCAAAAACATCGATAATTTTGCCGTTCACTATGAAAAAAAAAGAGCTTCATAGAATTCACGTGGAATAGATTGCAAGGTTTTCCATCAGGTAGTTGTTTTACGTGGACGAACTTGGTAACCACATTCCTACAAGTTTCCAAATAGACTAATTTGGTTGAACAACTGTTTGTTCCATGGCTCTAGCTGAGCAGTTTTCCTAGGATCCTATGCTCAAAATTAAGGCAACTATCATCTCTTCAACTAGCCTTTATTGCTATCGACTAGAAGTATCGCAACCAAGTACAAAGTTGTTAAACTTTTAGGTAGAAGATCGTATTTTTCTGCTCAAAGGCTACATCGGTGGAAATCTTTTGAAGGCAAAATGAAAATGAATTCCTCTCCAAAAATTGGATAATTATCCTAATCGCCTTTCACAGTTTGAACTCAAGCGGTCTCCAAAACGTGGCAAATTCTCCAATATCCTAACATCTTTTGATTTAGCGAAAAGTTTTATTTTTCGCAAGAGCAGGTCTTTCGAGGGCGTCCTCCAAGCATGATTGCATGCATTGGCGCATGGCAGCGCATGCAAACAGGCTTTACCTCCCAAAACTGCTTTTTTTCTCACTGAGGCTTGAAAGAAAGGCAACTGTGTCAAAATTTACCAAGTTTGCCAATTTTATTCCAAGATAACAATTTTCCGCAACATTGACTTGCATTTAACACACGACGTGATAAATGATTCGGCATGCCCGAGTTGGTATGGAACTGAAGGACAAGAAGGATCCTTGTGAGAATCACTTTTCTACGAAAGTGGAAATGTATGTACCATTTTAACTACTCAAACACCTCAGATAGTTCACTCCAGGAGCATCAGGTGGATGTCTGTAAGAACATCAGCGGAAGATTTTCTCATTGTTATCTATTGTAATTCAACAATCACGCATTCAAAAGTAACATCATTCCAAGACGCATTGAGCTTGAAGTAGATGACGCCGCAGAATTGTCTTGATTGGAAGGTACTGACACCGCTTCAAGCCTTTTCTTCTCGCTGCAAGCCATTTTCTGGTTCAAACGCCAACGACGACGGCAGTTGGCAGAGTCTATTGAGCTTCCAGTATCTTCTCTACAAAAAGTCAAGGCTTTAATGACCCTCCCCATCCCTTCTTGCCAGGCACTCGTGATTACCCGCTTCCTTTGTCAAGGAACTGACAGGAGGCTAATCGACTTCAAACGCACCCCATTAAAAATGTTCATTTATGAGAGTGGCTCCGGTAAAAGTGCTTTTAATTGCTCTGGGCTTAACTACCAGCTCCACTAATTCCCCATCCATTCGTGGGATCAGAGATGAAAATGAGTTTATGCTCTGGTCTTTGCTTTTCTTTTCTTACACAACTCCAACTCCCAAACACTGTAGTTCATACTTGAATTAGATAAAATCACTGCAGTGGCATAATTTTAGCTCTTAACTGCAGCAAGTAAAAGGGAGCATGTTGTGCAGATCCATCAAACTGGCCCTGTCAATCCACTACCCCGTGAACCATTGTGGGAGCAGTTGATTTGGGCGTTTTCAACGCGAAACCCCCTTATCATAACTGACAATTGTTCTCGGTGTCCCTCTTCTGGATCTAAGCCGTACCATGAGAAATGCAGAATTTGGCCCCCCCCCCCCCTGCCAAGGGGGATTTATGCCTACCGTGGTCGGAAAACGAGGCATCACCGTGCATATTTTTATAGTGATATACTTTCCTTCCGGTTTTTATCGCTTTAACAGTATTAAAATTCCAAAATGGGTTACAAAATTAGAGTATGATAAATGGAAATCCAAACTTCGTTTTGAAGTTTTCGTTGTCGGTTGCAACCTTCATTTGAGTGAAAGCGACACCATCAACGTGGCCCTTCCCTTTTTGTGACATGGTAACTCAGGCGAGATCTGGAGAAAAGAAACGTCCAAATGGTCTCCCATATATGTGTTTCTGCTTTGTTACTGAAAACGTCTCTCTCTCATGGACATTGTTATCATCTGTGGTGCAAAGGAATAGTACTTGGGAATTCACTACGGCAATTATTGCTGCCTTCCTCAATTTGCTTTACACTTCGCCGAGTCACAAACCATCAATCTTATTTACCCAGGGTCAGAGGTGCTACAACTGTATAAGTGAGAAGCATCGAATTTTAAACAAAGTGCTTTAAGAAGCGCTTGGTACTTATTAACTGGAAATTATTACCTTATTGCGCTGGAATGTGCCTACAACTGGACATACGCGATGACCAACACATTACTCCTTTCTAAAAAGGATGAAAATTTAGATCTAGTAGACATCGATGGTGCAGCCACATACCCTCCTAGTTTTACGATAATTCGAGAACTGGTGCGGTTGGTCGTCGGTGTTTTTTCCTATAGTGCCGACTACGCTGTGATTGCTGACGCTGGAGGCTGACCAGGTAGAGTGCTGGAGACGAAACTTAAAAGAGGAGAAGCGCTATGCAATTCGATGGTCGCTCATTTAACTCTCGGTTTTGGTAACGGCAACTAAAGGCTCTGACACTGTACCCTTGCCGAGCGGTCTGGCCTCCGGGTCATGCTAGTAGCCCCCAGCCATTCTGTACGTTGGTAATACATATTTTTTCCCCATTATTCGGTCTTCTTTCGTCTTCGGGGGAGTCTGACGGCTTCTTTCGTCTGTCCTACTCCATTAGAGACCCCGATACTTGCTTGAATGAGTCTGTCTAGATCAAGATTGATACTTTTCATAAATTACTCCAAAATCTTTACCACTTAACCAAGATTACGTTATACAACCCATGGGAAGTAATATGACCCATACAGCGCAATACTGAGCGCAGCGACATTTACCTGGGCAAGATCAGCCAATTGTTTAGATAGGATTTTCTTTGTTGGATGCCGGTATCAAAAATGGAGTGAGTAGCTAGTCTGGCAAGTGGACACACTGGCAGATGTTCTGTTAGGAAGGAATAAAGGGGTAATTTAGCTGCACATTATACTTACAGCTTGAGATTATAACAAATCACAAAGGATTTAGCATTCATACGATTAGTATCACCTATTTAGTTGGAGGTTCATAACTGTGTCGTAATAACGCCCACAGGATCAGCGATGCTGCGGTAGCTGTCACAAGACCCTACCGCTTGCCGCGCTTCGGGGACTAGTTAGCAGATGTTTGTGAATTCAGCGGTAAGTCCGGCGGACGAGATGAACGGTGAGATAGTGGAGCACTGCGCCAAACGTTGGCACCGGTATGTCATAATGTTTATGTGAGGAGGAAGAGGAGAACGAGTAGTTGCCTCTTACGAGTCGCTCCGATTGGCCCAGAAAAATCTGTTAGCGGAGACGAAAAACAAATCCTAATTTTACACCACTTCATCATTTTTTAGTAAAGCTAGCAATGATGCGATTCAACGATTTGCCAAATGAATAGGCAAAAAGTCCCCTAAAAGATTTTTAAATCTGTAGGAAGATATGTATTGGTTCTGTTGATCTAACAATGCTTGCTCGGATTCGGTAAAGGATTCACTTAGGTGTTTCACTATTGTACCTCTGGTGGATAAACTGACCTCTAGGCCATGGCAGCAGCCCCAAGCCCTTCTGTTCGTTAAATATATGCGATCTGTCGGAGTATTTTCTTTCAACTACAGGGAAGTCTTGAAGCTCTGCATTAGTGACAACCCCGGTCGTAAAGGACAAACATCCCGATTTCTGTTACCGACTGCTAAACCTTGACTAGACTAGACGCATGTGCTGTGAAGACCGCTAATTGAGGAGCTGAAAGTGCTGTCTGCCTTCAGCATCTACTTCAGTCTCATAGTCTACAGTAATAATATTAACAGTGAAAGTAACACTAGCCGTGAATCAACTCAAAAAGTTAGTTACTGAGCCGTCTATGGTAACTATGTGTAGGTATCACTTATGTGAGCTTGCGATACCTCCTTTTTCACTTCTCTACTAGCTGGTTAGACCCAGGTGCATATGGCTGGGCAGCAATGAAGTGAGAACAAGGTGGGAGGGAGAAATCGACGCAAGACTTTATTCCCAAGGAACTATGTTAAACTCTGTCCTTTGTTATGTAACTCGGCTTTTGGGCCGTTGTTCCCACGACTAGCTATGGACACGCGTGATGGCCGGCACAGGCTCCGTCCCCATTCCCAGTCCTCATGTAGGATGAAAATCCAGATCCAGTAGAGTTGCTAAGATGGATAAGTGATATTTCGGTCAAGTATCCTATTAGTTGAGTAGAAATTCGATGACTGGCGCAGTTGTTTGTGGGTATTTGTCCTCACAGCGCCGGCTACATTGTGATGGCTAAGGTGGGAGGTAAACCAAGGGACGGCTGCAAACGACGATTAAAAGAGGAGGGGAGAGGCTATGTAGTAATTTAACTGTTTGTGTAACCCTCGGTTTTGGTAACAGGCCACTTGGGTCTGTACCAATTTACCTATACGAGTCAGTCTGACCTTCAAGACATGCCAGTAGCCCCTCGGTCCTCCTGTACACCGACAATGCATACCCTGCCCAAGTATCAGGTCTCCTCTCAGGATGCTACACTTTATTTTAAAGTTATCATCTTAATATGATCCAATTATTTCAGCATCTTGTCACAGGTTTCCCAGCTCTTTGTTCTAACCAATAAGATGATTTTCTTAAACTATAATTTTGAAATCCGCGGCACAGGCAAGTCCAATAACTAGAAATAGGTGAATGTGGATGGACAGTTAATGGGCAAACTTTTTATTAAAAAAAAGTTCAAAGGTCAAAACAACTGATTGTTTGTTTACTTTAGGTTACGATGACCCCGGCAGTCAGGAGGGCAAGGGCTGCTTTACGCCTATGACCTCGTGCAATCGCCGTGGTCCCTTCCCACATTTGGCCGTTGCATGCCCGATTAGACGTCAGTGAGGACAGCAATTCCAACGCCACATTTTATCTCCTTTTTTTAATTATAGCTTTACGATGGCAATTGAATGCAGCGATTTGCTCCGCGTTAGGTAGCGAAATGGGAAGAATTCTGTGGTCGTAATGTGATTTCACTGAGAGATAGTTGGTAAAGTTCAAGGAAAGAAAGCGCTTACGACAGTTGGGCGAAAGGAGTCTGAATTTGTTCATTTTATGCTAAATGGAAATGATACCGGGGGTCTTACAACGGGCAAGACAAACATTACTTATTATCACATTTTAGTACTAAAATCGAGATAGGCAAATAGGAGGCAAGGGGGCTATCCCACGTTGACAGAATTTACATGCTTTTGTTTACCTGCTCTGCTAAATAAATTGTTGCATTCGTGTTAAGTTTCCTACATTTAACCAATGGTGAAAAACAAAAAATTACCACTTATTACTTTATTAGACTAGTAGAAGGTGATTTTCCAGCGAACTCCTTAGTTTCGGGCACTACCACCGCCCTAGGATCCACCACATTAGGTGAACCATCATCGACAAATATCATGTGACCTTCAACGCCAACGGATGTCAGCATGTCAGAGTCCACGGCAAGGCGCTCTTTTTCTCTACGCAAAACGGCTACCGGTGTGGACTTTCCAATCCCAGTCAATTTTGAGGAGACACTCAAGGGTGTGAAACCGCCCATTATTCCACCCCTGTTTAGATCAGTATGTGAGGAAATTCTTGCACGGATAGCCTCCCGTCAATTGAGCATTCTCCCAGCTCCCCTAAGCACTCTCTTTGTCAATGCCGACGCCATTGCGGGAAATTTACTGTGGACTGCCCGGATCGATGAGGTTATCAAACTGCTTCATTTTGAAAAAAAGGGTCTAAGTGAAAAGCAGAGGATACTCAAACGCAAGGCAGATCTGGAACCGCATCAGACGAGTGTCATTACTCGTGCCATGTTCCGGTACATCGAACTCTGCTCCGAGGGGATTGACTTAACTGTTAACTTTCCCGCTTATGGTTATCTGGTTCTGGGCCCGCCTCCACAGAGTGAAGGCAAACCAGACATAAAATCCTACATACGCTCTCTCGATTCATTCATTCGCGCAGCCTTGGAAAAAAATCCTATCAAACGTGATATTTTTTGCTATTTTATGCATTTCATGTCCCAAATCTATCAGCTAATGGGAGACAGTTATCGGTCGCAGCCAGCTCTTTGTGGAATGACTCGCTACCTTTTGGCAAATCGGTTTGGTGAGGAGATGATCTCGCTCTACTGTACAGAATGTGGATTAAGGATAGAGGAGAGCCGTAAGGGTTGTCAGGTGTGTTCTGATATAGCAACCCATATTAAACCACCCTACCGAACGCAAGTTATCGATATGATGCTGGAGTACATCCCCCTCTCCTATTGGCGAGAAAAGTTGAATGATCCACGCCGTGGCTTGGTGGAGCAAAGGGAGACATCCACAAAAATTGAGGAACTCAACTTCATCACTCAGGCTAGAACGGTGTCAAGTGTGGGTGACTTTCCGCATTTTAAAGCGACCTCGGATAAGGGAAGAATGATTTCTAAAAAGGGCCAAAAAAAATCATTGGTAGGATCTAGCGGAAATAATGGAGTATCGCTGCGTAAATCACGAACTTCGACTGGAGTAAACATTGAGGAATTGAAAAGGAGTATGAAAATTAAGGACAGTGAAGAGAGTGCAGAGAAGAGTGGTGACAATCAAGGGCCTACTAGCAAAAGAAAGCCGGAGGACCTACTGAGAATTGGCATAGGTAGTGATGGCACTGATGGAGATGGCATTGGAGGTGCTACCTTTGGTAGTGGTCGCAGAAACGGTGGCAATGGTGGTATTAGCGGCCCTAAAAGTATTGGTGGTCGCCGCAGTGGTGGTGTTGGTGAAGCCGGTGGGAGTGGTATCATCAGCTCAGCCCTACGAAAAGACTCGACCTCCTCCATATCACTCACCCGTAGACAGACACCTTCAAGTGTCATGCGATCAACCCTGTTTACTACTCCTCCTACTCTCTCCCACGAATCAACGGGGTCAACAACAACGGAAAGGATGGATAAGCTCAACATCTCCACACCAAGGAGGCAAATGAAAAAGAAGCAGCGCAGGGCGCGTTCGAGAACGAGGAAGCCGGGGGGTCGCAGCCCCTCAAGGAAGAATCGCCAGAGAACGAGGAGTCCAGGCACGAAGAAGAAAGGTCGTGCACGCTCTCCAAAGAACAGGCGAGGAGCGGGAAAAAGTCGTGGTAGAAAACGGGCCAGAAAGACACCACGTTCGAGAGGGCGGAGGAGAGGCCGAAGTAGACGACGCTAGCGAGCTAATCTTATGTTTCCTGTATAGTTGATGCTTTTTCTAGTAAAAATTACCAATGGTTGATAAAGCCTTCACCCAATCGTCCCACATGGATATTGTGCAAGTGTCTGTGAAAAGAATTGGGTCATAGATGGATGTTTTTGGTTTCAAATACAGGGAGCTCATATTCCTCATGTTGGGAAGGTAAAAGAAGTGGGGCAATGAAGAAAATTATTAATATAAGCTAATCATTATCCCTTAGCCGTTCGTGTTCTCTAATCTATGTGTTAGTGTTTCTCCTGATAAGAGTATTGAAGTCACCACTTTGATTTCGGCCAATCTAGGATTGATCGGTTAAATGAAGTAGAGGAAGACTCAGAAATTCTTCAAAACCAGCATAGTTTCTCACTGAATTTTGCAGTTAATTTCACAATACCACAAGTCAAGAACGAAACCCCGACACACAAGTGTAAGTGAAATTATATCCACCATTCACTGGATAAACTCATTTATAATTCCACAGCACAATCAAAGAGGAACTAATAGAATGGGTAACAATAAATAAAGTCAGAGAAGAAGCGTAGCAACTCGAGCCGCAGCGGAAATTGTGATGAGCCATATCATCGTGGAGGAAGATTTGTGAAAGCGGAGAAGAGCTCGGAGGCTGCAGTCACGGCTAGGAAGCCGCGCCGCCAAACGGAAGTAGGGCCAGTGGAGTCCGACTAGCCTGCTTAATTTAACCTACAGTTAACCCCAAATATCCTAACCAAATAGTTTTTTCTGGGATTAAAAATTGTGCGTTAAAGGCATTTGTAAGATAATATTACGTTGCAAATAAATGGACAAAGTTGTAGATAATTTCAAATTAAAAGAAAAAACCGTTTTATAAATAGGGAATTGAGTGCTCCTTTAGATAATTTTGTTATTACAAAATAAGTAGTTCGCATTTAGCGCCCTGGTCTCCTGAAGTCAAAAGAGGTCACAAGCCGAGGTCAGAAAATGTTTTGCTGATGCACAGAACGGTTGGGGGACCACTGACATGGCCCGGAGTCCAGGCCACCCGGAAGCGATACAATGGCAGAGACCTTAAAGGCCGCCTTACCACAATGAAGGGTTAAACAAACAATCGAAGTGTTGCATAGCACCTCCTCTCAATTTGATCCTCGTTCCCGGCGCTCTCCTTGGCCGACCTCCCGCGTCGGATGTCCCATATTATTTAGTGCTGCACGGAATAGAACATCCACAATTCAATCCCACCAGTCAGTGAGTTTGAGAGCAACCGGACCCTTCCAGTGACTCCTCTAAATTGGAAGATCCATCTTTTTTGGGAAATGCATTGGGAAAAGAATACTGGCCCCAAAAGCAGAATCATGTAGCAAAGGAAGAAAGTTAATGCAGTTTCGTGGGGATGCGATTTAGCCTCTGTTCCTCCTTGCCACATTGTTCTCACTTCATTGCTGCCTAGCTATATTTATCACGGTTCTATCCAGCTAGTAGAAAGGTGGTGGAGGTATCACGAGTCCACTTAACTGACGTATTCATGCAGGCACCGTAGGCATCTCCGTAGCGAAATTTCCCAGATTTTTCACGGCCAATGTCGCTTCAGTTGTTGATAGCATTCCTGCAGGCCACGGGAGTGGGGCAGTTACCGGTGGGGAAGGTCACAGATTGCCATCCCGGAGCATTTACCCTTCTTTCGTCACGCTCAAGTTTGACACTCAGCACAAGAAATCGAGATGGTTGTCCATTAAGACCAGCTTTGCTCTCCGCTACGACCAAGTCAACGCACCAACAATTTCCTGAAGTCAAAAGAAGACATAATGCTGGGGCAGAATACGTATGGCTGACGTACAGAAGAGTTGGGGGGGGGGCTACTGGCTGTCTGGCAATACCTCTATAAAGACGTCAGTGAAGTGAACACGCGATGCCTTGTCGACTTTTCTACTAGCTGGCCAGAACCCAGATAAATGCAGCTAAGCAGCGCTGAAGTGAAAAAAATGCGTAACAGGGAGGAATAGATGAGAAACCCTACTCCCGGAAAATTTGCTAATTCTCCTCCTTTGTTATTTAACTCGGCTTTTAGGTTAGTATTCCTGCAACTAGTCATGGAAATGCGTGATAATCTGCACATTCCCAGTCCGTACAGAAACAAAGCCCATACCCAGTAGAGTTACCAAGACGAATTGGTGATGTAGCGGTCAAGTACCTCATCAGTTGCGTACATGTTTGACAACTAGTGCGGTTGGTTCGTGAGTTTTTTTTTATGGTACCAACTTCGTTGCAATGGCTGACGAGGGAGGTCGGCCAAGGGGGCCACTCAAAAGAAGAGAGGGGAGCTATGACTTGCTTCGATTGTTTGTTCAATCCTTAATTTTAGTTGCGCAGGTACTGAAGAGCACGATTACTGCACTCCAGCCCAATGGTATGACCCCTGGGTCATGCCATTAGCCGCCAAATCTTTATGCACGTCGGCAATGCGCGTTCTCTGCCCCACCGTGCAAATTGTAACGCTATTGTTTTTCTTCTTTCCGAATTGCGGATGCCATTCGGAGGGAATTTTGAGTGGACATTCAGCGATTAGATAACTTTACGAGTCTTCCAGAAAAGCCTTCCCGCGGGGACTGAGGCTACCTTCATTGTGCATTTAGGAGGAAGTACGGTTAGACCATCTTTTGGAAGCGTCCGAGGCCGTGATTATGATGGTGATGGGGCAAGACGTGACCGACTTTCATGGTTTTTAGAGTTTTCAATGAACACAAAAAGGGTGTGTTCCCCGTTTCAGTTCCCCACAAAGTTGCTTTCAGCAGACCCTTTCTCAATAAACTGGTCTGAAGTCATTAATGCACATGAAAACGAGTCGCAGATAACTCAAAGGACACTAGAACAATTCGTCTGCAGAACGGAATTTTTATGGGGCAACATTCCTTAACTCTGGGGTAATTACAACCGACTCTCGTTTAAGTTTGTGATTTTTGACAACCCAGAAGTCACGTTGGTAGTAAGGAGGCAACCTCACTGCTCATTGACCATGGACAATAGTTACCGCTCCCTTTTAATCCTAATGGCATGTCTCGGGTCTTGAGATACCCACCCCCTACGCCCTGGGTCTGCAATTCGTGATAAAAAATTCAAAAAATCAAACTCTTATCGGAATTTACTAGCAGTATTCAGTGGGGTGTATGGTCAGGAGCAAATTTTTGCATTAGTAGGCATTGTATACAAGTCAACCAAAGGAGAAAATTCAAGACATCAGGACCATTGCATGGCCAGGTGCTTCACAAGGGGCGCCTACCCACTGCGTTGCCCTCCGGCGAGCCTCCCTTCTCCCCGACAGGTGCGTTGAAGGTGGGGAATTTGGGAGAGCCGAGGGAAACGTATTGAGTGAATATTGGCCGCCTTCCACTTTCACCTTCAATCTTAATTTTAAAAAATGGGATGAAAGGTACTGGAATTACTTTTTTTTGCCTAAAATGAACAATGCTGCCAGACTTAGTAACGGTAACTCGCACCTGGAAAAAATCTTTTCAATGACTTAGCAACTAACGTAAGAAGTTAGCTAAAACTGCCAAACAAATCACTCAAATTGAGAACTGCCCTGGAAGTGTAGTAGGTGTGCAAATGCACCCTCTAAAAATCACTTTAGGCAGACCAAAATAAGTCACCTTTCAAAGTCCCTCAATACTCCTCAGCATATTATTTACACTTGACGGAAAATGCTCAAAGGATTAGTTATTTTGCTACCAATCCAATTACTAATTTGGATAACTACATTATGCAAACACAAAAATCCAACTCTTAGTTGACTATACAACCAATATGGAAGTCGTGACTGGCTTTTGTGGTTCCTCTAAAACGCACCGCTTGCTCGGCTGGAACGTAAACGGCAATGTAGTTGGCATCTGGAAGGGTGGGATTCGTAGAGTAAAGCGGTGGTAGAGACGGCATTCGAACGGCCGGTTTTGTGCTTTCGTTTACTTCTTGACTCTAAAATGCAGGGAAAGTTTACTTTATCCACCTCACATCCACTTAGGCTCAAACATACAGCAGGGGACTGTTACGAGGCGTTAAGTGAGGATAACACCTACGAACAGCAAGTGTGTGGGGTAGCTTTCAAATACATTAAAAAGAATGCTGGACAGAAACGTATTACCGGTTTTGCATTCGGACACTCCCCAATCGTTGAATGAGTGGCCATGTTAATGGATTGACCATACAAACTTATAGAGCCACCAGTATTTCTAGTCTAATCTAATATAGTGCAATAATTCTTCGTCTAACTTCTTGACGGAGGGGGTTGGCATGCTACCGTGTCCTAATTCATGGTTATTCACAGAGTGGAATACGTGGTATTATTTATTTGTGAGAATCAAAATAAACGCTGATGTTAATTTTGGCTTCAGGTAGGGTGAAAATCAGGATTTTACCGAGGATAGAGCTGCGGTTTTTTGACCCATCCCAATGTTCTGTTGCTAAAATGGTAAAGAAAATCTCAAATGAGGGAAAGGTAAAGAGTAATAGCATGGGCAAATCCTTAGTTTTATTTTAGACACTAAGTGATGGTACGCACTGATTATAGTAATATGATCAGTACCTAGTGATGCCTCATATAAAATGTCTCTAAATAGACAGGTTTTTAACCATCGTAGACAATACCTACAATTAAGCAATAACAATGGGATCACTTGATCAGGATTTTCTATTAAAAAGAATTATTAACCCCCAATTCTTCAAGATGCTGCGCTGATTTATGTTTCGCTTGTATCATGCGGCTAAAAAACGACGCTGGCTCCTAATTTATCATTTAAAGGAAGGCAATACAGAGCGTCCATCTTAAACGGGGCTTTGGTCAAAGCAGCTTGTAAAAGAAACCGCCTAAGTTAAAATGCCAACAAGGTACTCACATGATCGACACAAGCAATGTGTTCAATTATCTCCTCATAGTGGAGAAATACGAAGCAGGCATTGCAAAAGAATAGGTCACCGCGAGTCGTGATATTGTGCTTTTGAATCAGCGAATTCATCCCTTGCAAGGTTTCACTCTGCAGGGTGATATTACTCTAAAACCGAAATGGCGACTTTATGGGGGAATAATTGCAATGGCTTCATCACCAATTAAGGGCCGTTCCAAAGGATAACACTACAGTCCTAAAGGTAAATAGTTTTCCTTTGAGCGCTTCATGAACCTCTGTGTAGTGTCTACTTGTAAAACACACCTCCTGCGGCTTTTCGGTAACTCCACTTTGGACAGAATATTCAGGAATCTGTCGAGCAGTGCTTCCCATTGGGCGTGACATTGAGCGCTCCACCGACCCGTACAAATGAGCGCCAATCGTCTCCACCTTTCATGAGGGAAAAAGGTGTCAACTTCGGTACAAACGTTGCCACTACAGCGGTGGCTACGTTGGACTGGATCCGCACTTTTTAGCCCGAGCTAGGTTAGGCAGCCAAAACGCAAAGCGTACACGAGGGAGTAAGCGGCTGAGGCGGATGTGCACAACTCACGGCTTTTACACGAATCAAAGGATTTTGAGATGGGTACGTCTGTCCGAGAGGATATCCAACCCGATTGGTCTTGAGGATGTAACGAAAAGAAGCCATTATCATCTTCCCAAATGCAACAAGTAAAGCTCTCATGGAATAAACGCAATGACATTGATATCCGCTGAAAATAAAATGAGCACTCAGAATATCAAATCGCCTTCGGATTATCTTAGGAGTCCTTCCATAAATTCGACCCTCTTCCCGAGCTTAGCTACTTAAATCGGCCTTGCAGCCCGACTTTATAATAGTGTGGCAGTGGAGGGGACTATTCTTAGTGCCTCAGGATTGGCGAAGGGGATTGCCTTGAGGTTCAAAAGCGTTGGCAGGTACCTTTTAATTGGTCAGTTCTTGTTAGTTCAGGAATTGGCCTTCTGGAGACCTTCGTGCGAGTCAGATAGGTGAGTATTAGACGGTGTTAAAAGGTTACTGGGTAGCATTTTTGCAGGAATTTGGGAGATATTTATACTATCAATTTGATTTAAATAAGAAATGCGAGTAAAATTAACGTTAACTAGGAACAAAAAGGTTTTTTTTCGTTTAAATTAAGCGGGGAGATTTTAAGAAAACCAGTCACATACCTTTAAATAAGAATGTAAGAAAAAAATGACGATTGAAACAAATTTTAGAGCACATCATTCTGGCAAGCACATCAACTTGGTGGGTGTGAATAAACCAACCCCACTCTACCATAGGGGTAAGAGTTGCCTGCATCCTAAGTTTTTGAAGCAGCGACGTTTGAGCTTCCAGTCAACTTTTGTAAAAAAACCAAGCTTTCTTACAACGAGGCTAATCGAGCACAAATTAGTTGGGACTCCCTCTTGTCATGCAAACTGAAATTGCCAAGACGTATTTTAGTTAATTACAAATTATATAGTTAGGAAGAGGAAAAAAAAGGCGCAGAATGGAATTGAGTCTCTTCAGGAACCGGTAAAATTACAAGGATTATCAACGTCAATATCAACTATTTTCCAAAATAAGAAGCGTTTTACGCCATATCAGTATTTTCGGATGAGTAAAAACTCAAATTCTATTGAACCCATCAACATACAACAACCACTCCAGGCGCCATTTACAACACATCTCCCTCCGTTACCTTAGGACCTAAACCCACTTAAACTCCACAGTTCCCTATAAATTATTCCTGCTTCAACTCAAGAGAGATTTTCCCGGGGCTATGGCAGTTGACATTTCACAGTCAAAGAAATACTCATGACTCACATTGTTAGCATTTTCATGGGACAACTTTGGAGTTGAATAAGAGGCATGGCCAAAAGTTAAAGATGATGCCTTTTCAATTTGTTCCTGTGAGAGTTTTCGAGAAGCGACCGACGTGTTTTGATTGGCCTTAATAATGAATGAGAACACGTATTATTTGACATAACCAATATTTTACGTCAGAGGAATTCCGGTTTTATCGTGTCTAGTTTCTTGAAACAATATTCTCACCGCTTCTCGGTGCCCAGCTGAAAATTTGTGACGTGGAGTGCGGAGATGCGCCTCGAAGAGGTGCTTTTCATCGAAATCCAAGCCACAATCCTCGCAGAAAAATGAAGCGATGTTGTTTGTTTTCGACTGTGAGACTACTTGGACTGGAGGTGGATGTGGATATGAGAGAGTAGGTAGGAGTGGAGCACCCGTTTCGACCCCGGTCGAAGGGATTGCAATATGACATGGATGGGACAGCAATTTGTCCAAATTCGAAAACGTCAGTCGACAGTCATTGCATTGGACGTTGATTGGCCTTGACTGTAGTCGGCAGATGAAACAACCCCCGGCAGTTAACAGTAAAGCTTAAGCCGATCATAAACTGCGTTGTCTAGTTATTTTAAGCGCATGATTAAACTTTAACACCCCTACTTTTTAACACTTACGCTAGTAAACAGTAACCCCGTTGAATCCCTTGTCTCCGTTTGCGTTTGTTTGGAAACCAGCTCCTTCACCTCAGACCTCTAAAAATATGTAAGGGCATGTGACTCGAACCCACCGTTTAGAAGTACTGCTACCACTACTCCCTGCTCCATTTGACAGTGATCAATCCGCTGCCGAGAAATTCCGCTTAATTGGAATGCCACTTTGTACTAGAAACGATCTCATCACAAGGTCTCAGAAGCGCCTTAAGGTCTACTTCGCACACCAACTGCATAACGAATTTCACTTCGTAAATTGGTAGACAATTTACTTCCTAGCTCTCCCCACGAACAAACAACTACTGTCACGGACCCAAATGACGCGCCGTTTTTATGGACCAGTTAAACTTAAAAATGCAGGCATTAAAATGACAGATCATCAAAGAAAGTGCAGATTACCTAAAAACAAAGCAAAAATTATTGGTGATAACTTTAAATGGTTGTTTTAGGCTCATTTTTTTATCACTCTTTAATTTTTCAAGCATTGATGTGAGCAAATACTGATAAATTAACAAAATATAAAAGTGATGTATTAAAGGCTGAGTAAACGTGCCTCTTCAATAATACGACATCAAACTTGGCACTTATAAACACCAACTAATTTGCTTGACTTTGATGAGATAAGCCCCGGCTAAAATGCGAATTATTTACAGAATTAATACCTTAGGAACCGATGCCTCCATTCGCTTTGGTGGTTCAGACTGTAGCATAGTCTGCAAAACAAAAGTGCTATTCAGAACCTGTTAAGGCAAGAAGGCAATCAGATCCTCTTCCCTAGTTGAGCCTACCACGGTTTCCTTAAAATACTGATTTTGCACTTTAATTACTTCTCATTTATTCCCGCTATGGATGAACACTAATAAAATTTGGCACTGTGTTAATACGATCACACCATTTCTGCGTTGTTAGTTAGGCAGAGGGCACATCAGTTGAGAGACGGCATCCAGCTGGAATCGCTCGTGGCACAAAAAATGTGAAGTAGATCTCGCTTCCACAAATCACCACTAAAAGCCTACAAACGCAGGTGAAAGCGCTATCCTGTTTGAATAAACGAATTTCACTTATATCTTCTTGGTAAACTAAGAAGGTGTAGGCCTTTGAGGCGCATCATTGAACTAATGGCAAAAGTTTACAGAAAGTCATGAATTAAGTTGGACTGCACATATTTAAAGAAAATAGAGTAAATGGTTATAGTTCCACATCAATTTGATGGTCCGCAATTAACTCACCTCCTCCGACCGTGGCAAATTTCCGACTTGCAGTGGTCTAAATGAATCCCCTCCTCCCTGTTGATCAAAAGAATGAGTTGGTGTGTCATTTTGAGTTCCCAGTGTATTCTACCTGATTTCGCTCATTATGATTTTCACGAAAAATTGAAGTAATAGAGTGAGGCAGATTTAAACGGCCTTAGTGATTGAATTTGCCCTCTTCGGCAAGCCAGTCATGAAAACATAGGCAATTTCGGCAGTACCAAAGCGAGACCACCCAGCTAATATAGGCTTAATTATTGTTTCTTAATTCTATGAGGAAATGCTTTAGAGTTTTTAGCTCGCACACACGTCTACTATGCCCTTTACTTCTGACGCAGTTGGCAAAAAACTCTTGAAATAGCAATTCATTTCACATCTAATGACAAGCCTCGAGAACGTGCACTCAGACGGCTGGTCTGCCTGCCATTAAAGAAAGCGAAATGACTGACGCCTTCGCATTTTCAACAGCTCACCTTTGTGGTTATAATGTTGGACCGGGTGGACGTCCGAATATATCCGTTATCCTACAAATGATGGAAGTTTTTCATATATGAGGCTTCAATCATGCAATTACTGGTGCAGATCCTCAGCGATATTCCATTTACTCAGCATACAACAAGTAAACTAGAAGTGATTTTCTACAACGGTAATGACAAAATAAGTCTCATTTCCGGGATTATAAGGGAAAGTAGGCTTTGGTTGTCGAGGGGCGATATGTAGGGGTAAATACTCACGTAAAGTCTGTTTACTTGAGGTATTTGCGTAACCGAAACGTGTGGCGTGTAGATCTGCATGCAGAGAAAACAAACAAAAATTAGTAATTATGGAATACTTTCTTTGTGAAGCCCCATGTCAAGCTGAGAACCGACGGCATCACAGCATGTGAGGCAGGTTACGATCTCTCGTGGGATCCTTTCAATAAGCGGGCCAACCAATTGTCGTGTTATCAGCTACAATGACTCGTAATGCAATTTTCAAAGGAGATGCCAACTGCCTAAAATTCCTTTGGTGCTGCCTCTTTGATTACCTTTGTAATACTTTGATTTCCTACTTAGCTGTTAGTTTTAGTTACGCGGGGACCTAAGACTGCGGCCATGTCAGTAGCCTCTCGGCCTTTCTGTACGTTGCCATTTCATATTTTTCCCTGGTACTACGGCCTTTTAAACTTCTGAAAAGTCTCCCGGGGCTACGGTACTCTCAAGTCACTGTTATTTATCCAAAATAAGCAATTGGCTAAAGCACAGATCAGTGGGAAAAGCGTCAAGCTGGTTTTGAAGTCTGTTGAAACGGACGATCCGTCTGAAACATCAAAGAAGTACTGGTGAGGTCTTTCATTTCCCATTACACATTCCCAACTCACATGAAGTGGGAATTTGTGAATATTAACTAGCATTAAGCTATTAATTATTGTCTAAGTTCTCAAACCCATTTCTTTCAATAACTACCTTCTGACAGTTGGCCTCACCTACACTAATTAGGTGTAATTACTCAAGTTGAAGCCTCAGTGAAGGTAACCATGAAAGCAACCAATTACACTCACTGTCGGCATCAAAATTTCGGTGCCATAAATTTGTAATTCAATTTGCTAAGTGTGCAGTGTCATGTTTACATTAGTTACTGCTCCTTGGTGTTCCTTTGAGCCCTCCCAGTTGGCTGAATAGCGCAGCATGTCATGAGACTGCCAAGTGCGGTGAAAGCACGGCCCCATCAGCACTCTACTAGGCACAACTTGAAAATACTAAACTCTATGATGAAATCACTGCAGTGATTACGAGGTAATGCAAAAGTTGACAACTGCCAAGATCACTTGCTTTTGGCTTGGTGAGAGTGGTAGGTCGCCAACCTGGCGTAGCGTACACTGAGTTCTCTGTCTAAAAGGGTCCAGGAAAAAAGGGTAGGGTTAGCTATTGTTAGGAGACCAACCAAATTGGTGGTCTTTTGAACGCAATAGCAGTAAAATGTGTCAAGGGGTTTCGCGTCCCCCCTCTTTCCCCCTTTTGACTTGGATGCAAATGCCTCCATTTCACTGCCACCTCGAGCGTCTTTTCAAATGGCGCCCTAAGCACATCAAGGCGTGAGCGTGAATTTCGGTGGCAGAAGTACTGACTCTCGTGCTGAATGTGAAACATGAATTGTGTTGTCCTATGGAAAGTTTGGGGGAGATGTGTACATTTTATACATTTTTTACCGACCAAGAAATTCAAACGTGATTATATTCCTCAAAAGTTGTCTGTTTAGAAGCTTACAATTCCTGTAGCAGTTGTCGGTGGAGTGGTGGGCGATTTATCCAGATTCAGAGGGACGTAGGGCTCCGAGAACTCGAGGAAAGGGACAGGAAAGGGAGATTATTTAAGAGGTAATCTACAGTGTAGAGGCATACCATACTTTTGCTTCCATTCTGTGAATTAATGGCAGTATTTTATGAGAATGAAGCGGTGTTTTATAGCCCAAAATACCCTCTGACTTTATATCAATGGAACTCACCACAATTGGTGATTTTGGACGGACCTAGGACAAACAAAATACTTTTATAATCAGAGTTGACGAACAGTAAACCTCTAACAGAATAGCCTGGTTGCCCTGAACAACTGAGAGGGTGTTCTTCAGTCCAAGCCCCACAGTAGTCTGTGTGTATAGGGATGATACTGTGAAATTTTTCCTATTTTTTTACAAATATACTTAACAAATGTAGCACTAGAAGGCCTAACTTAAAAAAAAAAAATTTACTGCAGGTCAAAGAGTAAGTTTTTACCTCAATGTGTGGATTGAATATTGCCCTTTCCTTCCTTTCCAGGGTGCTGTTCGACTTCGGTGTCTGGTATTCCTAGAAACACAGGAGAAAGTTGCACAATTATTTAGTGGATTACCACAGGAGGTGAAATCAACCATTAAATGTAATAATTTCCCCAAGATAATGGTCGCATTAATATCGGGAGATTTTTTTGTAAATGTAAGCTTCTTCCCTGCCATCAAAGAGTTTGGAAATGAATTCAAATTATGAAAGTGGTGCAGATGAAATTGTCTCACAAAACCGTCACTACTTCTGTGGGCGTTTTTTCTTTACCTTATTCTTTTTACTTGGGAAACGTCATATTGAAGAAGATTTGGCCACTTTTATGAAGCATGTTTGTAAGCCTGCTCACCTTCTCCTTCGCTGGCTTAAGTGACGGGTTGGGAGGGGATTTGGTCTTATTAAACAGTCGATTCTCGAGCTGACGTTGCTACAAAAATGTTATATACGTATGTGATATGTACATACATATATATATGCTAAAGTAAATGTAAATAAGAACCTCAAACAGCATTTGGCTCAGTACTTTCCATCGCCTTTTGATAATAAAGTGGGTAAATGATTGGATCGATGGATATAGGATGGATGGAAGAATATAGGATAGATAGGTGGATATAGAATGGATGGATAGTTGGATATAGGATGGATAAATGGATAGTGGATGGATATAGGATAGATAGATGGGGGGATGGATACATGATGGATGGATGGGAACAGGATGGATGAGTGGATATTGGATGGATGGGTATAGGATAGATGGATGGGTGGATGGATGGGTGAATATAGGATCAATACATGATGGATGGATGGATATAGGATGGATGGATCGATGGGTAGATACGGGATGGATAAATGAATGGATGAATTCTGGTGGATGGATAAATGGATGATGGACACGGGATGGTTAGGCGGATCAACCAAGTAAATAATGCCTAAAAACGCTTTTTACATACTTACCTCAAATCCTTCTATTTATTTGGAATAATCCAAAGGATTAACAGAGACGCAACTGATAGAAAGAAGATGGCAATATCTTACATCTTTACAATACTTCATACTTATCTATATGAACACTCTCAAAGTGTTTTGTTTAAGGGCTTCAATAAAACCCTCCCCATAATGGGGAGTGTAAATTGTGTAACTCACGTGATCGGGAGCCTCAATGTGGTTTAGTAGGCGATTTCTGTCATCAAATCGCAGATTGCATAAAGCGCAGCTCCAAAATCCACTGCTTTTTACACTCCCGTCTGTCTCCAACTTAATAGTGATAAAAAACTCTCTTTAGGGGAACATTAACACACCTTAGCTGCCTCGCAACTTCCCTCTAGGAAGGAAAGTTAGAGTGAGGGTTGGGGTTAAAGTTAGGCATAAAGGTTAGTTCAGTGCAATGAAAGGCATCTCCTAGTTTTTTTGTCAATGAAAATGTAAAGGAGAGTATGGCTGCAATGGTGGCAAGGTGATTATGCAAATCCCAAATGCCCTATGCTTAAGGATTTACGTTTTCCTCCTGTCATCAGCGCATTTTACCGCTTGATGTGCTCAAGATGGGCAGCCACCTCATTTGACCTACAGGGCCATGTCGAGTCTCGACATCTCATCAGTAAAAGTGGGAAGCAAAAGTGGGAAGTGCGCAATTTATCCTCATTGCTACAAGCTAGCATTTTTAATGGCTGGTTTCTGCATGAAGTTAACGGTCATGTCAAACAAAGACTTGTAGCAGTGCACATCTCCTACGGGCAGTAAAAGTTGGTGGATCTCTAGACAAAGCGTGCTCACCTCTGGACCGGTTCCATCGGTATTCAAAGGCTTCTCTTCCTTGTGAAACCCATCGAGGCTACCTCCGCCCTCGTTTTCGGCTTTATCCTCTGCCTACAATAAAGAAGCCTTCTCGACTAATCCCGAAGACCCTCTCAACAACCTTGCCACTATAAGATCATCTTTGCACTACATTAGGTATGCAATATCCCTAAAAATGGTAAATTCATGCTCAAAAAGATGAGAGAGATGTGATGTTCTTCATACCTTTATGTTTGGGGTCATTTTAAGTGGTCTGATTCCTCCGTCCATAAGTAGAATAAATGACTCTTTACTTAGGTAAATAAGTTAAAGAGTTGAGACCACATATTTGCACCTGACTTATAAAGTCCTATTAAACTCGAGTTAAGAGGCTTTCTTCCACCGTTCCTTGTCATGCTTATCCATTTTTCAATTTACATGGTTCCATATGCTGAAAATGTACGCGTCTTGGGGCATGAGATCCGTCGTGTGGAGTATGTGTAGGTCAACCCTGCTAAAATGACAGTCGGGCTACTTGAATCCGAGCAATTGACATCTGATGTGGGAAAGTAGAGTGCAGTACCAATCGACTACCGGCACTTGACATTTTTTAGAGAGAGGCTTTATCACAAAAGGTGGTGATAAATTCTCATTAAATCTAACAGGCATTTCCCTTCATCACTTAGTGAGGAATGGGGGAGGCTGTGTGCTCACCGTTTTAACGCTGGGTCAGCCTTCAAAGCTTTGATGCAGCAAGTAATGGACTGCTCCATACTCTCAAAGATGCGCTGAATGTTCAAGTTGATCTCGTCAAGGTCCTCTGGCTTCGTCTCCAGGTGCTCGATTATATCATTCCAAAAGGCCTGCGAAGCATACACAGCCTGCCTTATTTCCAGCGTTCGTTTGCTGGCTTCCTGTAACAAAGGGGTAATAAGTGACTTCACAGGATACGGAAATCGAAGAAAGATTAGTAAAAAAGTACTTTAATTATCAGACCTATTATCTCAGGATTATGTGTTGAATCAGTGGAACCAACGTTGCCAAAAATCGAACCGTAGCAAAGACTTGACGCTGTTGATGTAGGTACTACAGTTTTTGTGCTATTTAATATTAAATTTAAATCAGCCATCTTTCAGTTGTGACAACAAAATTAAAGTTAGGTATAGTTTGTTTAAATAATGCGTTTTGTACAGACAGTCTTAATCCTACATGTTACTTAAAAAGCAGTTTTTGCTTTCACTGAAGCAGTTGTAATTTAAGAGTCTAAAGCATTATGCAATGGGTCTTTTATTCTACAACAAAACAATGGCTTTACAAGTGCAAAAAATGCCCTCTTGTTTGCACTTGAGGCTTCCTGTAAATAGGTAATGTTGGCAAAATTCAGTACTTTTCGCCTAAACTATTTGATTGACGTAAAATTAGGTGACACTGTCATAGACCCAACACTTCCCATCACGTGTCTTTTAAAGGTAAGGTTTTATAGCCGCAGGGCAATGACAAGTAAATTTTGCTATTATCTTCATCCCGCAAGCTAAAATTGCGATTACTTTCCATTAGCAAATAAACCACAATTGCATACGAAAAAATGAAAAATGCACAGACAAGAAATACTAGGCGTGCAATGATGTAATGGAGGAACCGAGACTTACAGAAAGTTCTGTTCTGGTTTCAACATCTTTTCTGGAATTACTAGATTGTTCTTCATTTACCATTTGAAAAATGGCCTGCAACTCGGCATGAAGCATCTTATTTTCGGTGCTTATTTCGGAGACGACATCTTGTAGATCATAGGGAGCACTTTCAGTAAAGTTTCCAAACTAAAGCACAACAGGCTTTTCAAGTTAAGGAGAGCTTTGACGATCCTAGTTTTATCAAAGTAGCCAAATGGCATATTACCTATTCTGGTTTTAAAAGCGATCATCAGTGCATTATTGGTAGAGAATAAAACAAACTTTAACATAATTATTCAAACATAAGCAATTGCTTGATTGTCCCTAGTAATGATGGTTATGTTGCAAAATCAGCTTTAATGGTTTGTTTTACAGGATTTTAGGTTGGTAAGGCATATATGTACCAACAAAATATGTCCCAGAAAAAAACTTTGGTATTCTTGATTAAAGCACGATTTGGTTTAAATTGAATTCAACTTCTGCATATTACAAAAAAATGCAAATAACAAACCACGTCTCTATCAGGCAACCAATGCAAATTGTGTAAGCCATCAACGTTGGTCACCACGCCGCTTTTTTTAAGGCGTTCGTAAGCGTGCTCGAAATTGTTGCATGAAAATACGTTTTTGTAAGTAATGGCCCAGTTCTATGGCATTGAAAATTATTATAAGGATTTGAAATGGACTATCGTATATCACTTGAAATGGCATGCTAACCTGAATGAGGCTTAATAGTTTTAGCTGGATTTGCACAGAAACTGACTTTGTTTTTATAGGATTTAGAAAAAATGCAAGAAGATCATTTAACCGGTCTTGACTATTAAGTGCTAGAGCAAAGGAATCCCCGCCATGCAATGTGCACATATGAAGTAGGTCAAGGCTCCAAAGACCATTTTGTTGATTTTCCAGTGCAACGTTGCAAAAGCGATTAATAATTTGCCTGGCGGTTGAGTGGGCTGCAGCAGCTCCACCAAGTGCAACACTACGAACTTTGGCGAATGCAAGCAGGCGATTTGGACAGCTCTCATTCGTAGCGTATTCTAAGGATAAAAGTAGGCTAAATTCCCGTTAATATTAAAAATTATTTAAACTATTCAAAGCTCATAATGACAGCTAATACAGGCATGACAGCAGTGCTTTTTGGTATTTCTATTGCTAAAAATTTCAGCTTATCTCAAGGATACCAACAACCCTTATTCCTAACAAACTTAGAGTTCTAACGATTCATCAAGCCCTTTTTAAGAAGAGGTTTAGGTGTATAATCCTATTGTTAAGACAGTTGGGCATAAAGAAACTAACCGATGGCATTAAAAATATCCCTGTAACGAGCCATCGCTCATTCGCCAGTTTCGTAAAGGCAACAAAGGATAGAGAATAATGGTGTGTGATCCACCTAAACAAACTCCAGGAGTGGGTAAACTAAAGTAACTCTACAAAAGACCTGCTAAAAGAATTAATTATAGTGGTGTAGGCTAATAACGGGATTCTAGGACTAGTAGTTGCAGAAGAAGTGTTTTTGATTAAAAAAAAGACCTCATAGTACCAATGGATAGAAAAAAAACTATTGGTAGATGGTAACAATGTAAATAAATTCGTGTACGCAAAATTTGCGCGCCTTAGTTGTTTACTTAAGGGAAAAAATTGGTTGTCAATAGTTACAACTACGGGCAAACTAAATGAAATGCCAAATGCAAACTGGGAATTTTATCGCAGTGCATCACTTTTATTTTAGCTTTTATTCAAGCTCCGTAGCGGTCACCAGTCATAGCACCCTAGGTCCCTCCTGAAGACGGAAAATGACCTATTAGGGGAGCAGAACGGAGAAGTGGGAAACTGACATGATCCGGAGTGCAAGCCACTGAGAGGAAGTGCAAAGACTTTACAACCTGCTCAGCCCTACTTTTAATTATACAAGCACTTCAGTTTCGCCAGGTTTTGCCCCCGCGTGGCAGCAGGGCACTTTAGCGATAGCTGTAGCCTCAGCTCCCAGGTACGCCAGTACTACACTTGCTGACATATGCCAGCTGCTACGAAAGACTTAAGGCCCTACAAAATACAATCCTCTAAAGTTTTTGTGCTTGCTTAATTAAAAGCAAAATTAGGCAAACCAAACGTAGCGTCCCGAGACTCCCTGAAGACGAAAGAAGACAAAATACTCGGGCAGAATATATATACTCAGCACGGAGAAAGTGTCTGGGCTATTGGCATGGCCCAAAAGGCCAGCCCACCCAGCGAGGTACAAGGGGCTAATTCGAAGCACAAAAGTGGCGCCTCACCAGAACCGATGGATAAACCACTATCGTATTACATAGCCTCCCTCCTCTTTTGAGCGTCGTCCCCGGCGCTCCCACAGGTCAACCTCCCGCGTCAGCCATTACAACGTAGTCGGTGCAGCAAAGAAACACCCACGAGCCAACCGTGCCAGTCACCAAATTAGTGCGCAACTGAGGGGATGCTTGACCTCAACGTCACTGATCCCTCTTGGCAGCTTGACTGGATCTGGGGTTTCGTCCGGTTTAGGGATTTCATTCAGGACGGGGAACTGCGCCGGCCATCATGCGTGTCCATAGATAGATGCAGGAACACTGGCCTAAAAGCATATTTGAATAAGGGAATACAAGATTTAAAACAGGTCCATGGGGGACGGTAGGGAGAATCCGCAACGAAACTTCCAGATGATTCACGGCTAGTGTCGCTTCAGTTGTTAATAGCTTTTCTGCAGAACACGGGACTGGGAGGGATGCCAAAGGTAGACGTCAACACCAACCCTTCTGTTAGGGGTCATCACCATTCTCCCATCCGTGGCATATGCACTTCTTCCGCTCCACCAAGGCTTATCACGCAGAAGTGGAGAATCAGGATACATGTCTTTCAAGATCGGGTTCGCTTTCTGCTGCCACCAATGTAGCGTCCCGAGACTCCCTGAAGACGAAAGAAGACAAAATACTCGGGCAGAATATATATACTCAGCACGGAGAAAGTGTCTGGGCTATTGGCATGGCCCAAAAGGCCAGCCCACCCAGCGAGGTACAAGGGGCTAATTCGAAGCACAAAAGTGGCGCCTCACCAGAACCGATGGATAAACCACTATCGTATTACACAAAACCTTCATAATTCCACCTCAATCCTTCCGTACATAAGCAATGTATCTTCCTCCATTCTTTCCTGACTTCTTCCAGCTTCTGGAAGGACTCAAGAGCCACAACTGGAAAGGCATAAAAACGGAAAAAGAGAAACTGCAATCCAGTGCGACTGAATGGCTCACTTAGTGCAGTGTATGCAGACAAAAGTGTCAAGCAAACGCGCTGCATTTTCTAAATAAAACATCTCACACCAAAAGTGTTCAACTATTAGATTCAAATACTTTTAAACCAAATTAACTTTAATGCAAATGTTTTATTGAAAGAATTTATATGAAAGTCACAATGAACAATAATTGTAACATAATTTGTATATTCTGACAACCGCCTATAAGGCGATGCGTGCGTAATCATTTCATAAATTCACTTTTATATCATCAGTTACCAAAAATTTTAGCCTTTCTGACTCATTAGCTTCGCTGTCTCGATTATTCGAGGGAGCCGGATTGATGTAGATGATAAACTAAGCGCCGGAAACGAAAATGGCGCTTTTGCCGTGAATCGTCTAGTTTTTTCAGCATGTGCTAGCATCGTAGGCATTGAGTTTTTTGCCGTTTAAATTCCAGTCCCTTCCTCTCTTGCTGCTCACCAGTTTTTTGCTCCTTTTATTGTACCTTTGTGCTAGCACACTACCTACTTCCACTTAATCAATCTGTTGCATGTAGTTTTTATCCCTTTTTGCTCCCTTTAATAACAAATTGCTAAATTACCATGACTCGATGACACTGCAACATATTAGTGTGCGTGACGTTCCACACTATTTTCGATTAATGACTAGATGAACTGTTGATGCAATGTGAATGTTTTGTGATAATTCACCAACTGGCTTGCTTCATTTACTATCTTTTGCATGCAGCTTTAATTCTTGTACCAGCTTTGGCCAGCTGATATCACGTCTTTATGGCTTTTTCGACACGGCCATTTTAGACTGTATCAATAATCGTCTTAACATTGCTAGATTACCTCTATTTCCATCAGATTCAGAGATGGGGAAGGGTAAGAACACACCCAACCAGAAACTTCGCACTAAGGGGAATGTTAAACCCTCTAGTAGTGATCGGTCGACCGAATTCCTTCAGCGCAACGTTTTTTCTGGTGTTGGAGCTACTCCTGCTTTTGGTTTTATCTACTCCCAGTCGAATGTACAACCCCCAATGAGCTCACATACCTCCGCTGGCGGCTTCTCTAGCCTCCTTCCTCTTGACCAGGATCCAACCGCAGCTACTCTGGACACGGACTTTCTCGCTGCACTGCGTCGACTGGAGAAGCGTAACAGTGCGACCAAACAGAAGGCCCTCGATACACTCATAACCCTCTTACACGATCAAAACGAGGACGGGGAGTATGAAAAATCAGAGGACGTCGTAGTAGCCTCTGTTTTGCCATTCTGGCCGCGACTATATAACAGTCTCACCCATGATGAGGATAGGCGTGTGCGAGAGCTCAGCCAAGTGGTTATGCATGCTCTTGCAAAACGTCTTGGCCGCAAGTTGGGTCCCTGTTTAAAGGAGGTCGCCGTGTCATGGACCTTCGCTACTGTGGATTCCTATGAGAACACGGCTAGGGCTGCACAGATCGGACTAAACAATACTTTTCCTGGTCATCGACGGGGTGAACTCTATCGGACCTATGCTAAGTACCTACTGGATGAATGCGAACGGCGACTTGCCTATCTGACCGCTGATCTGCCTGGCTACCTAAAATTTAAGAAAAGCATATGTCTCGATGACCCTTTACCACCTGAGGCTCATCATCATCTCAACATCGCCACTCAGTTCCTCTCGTGGGTCACATCCCTCCTTCCTGAGCTTTGCCAACTACCCGCAGACAGCGTTCATCTGGCCCAACTGCAGAATATTCTCCTGCGCTTATTACCCATTGTCTCGCCGATCCTGGATATGGTAAAATTTGCCCCTCTAAGCACGGCGTACTTTCGTCTCATCTCTGCAGCGTGCAAGTCTATGACAGGGTGGTTGAGTGGGCAGGAGGAATTGCTCGACTTCGTTATTCTCAAGTGTGTGAAGGAGGTTGATGCATTTCCAGAAAAACTCGCGGCCGCAAGTACCTGTTTGGAGGTGTTTGGTGAAAAGGTATGGAGGAGAGTTTCCTGGCCGGATTTGGTTGACAACACAATCATTCCTGTGATCGAACAGGTCCAAACGAAAACTCAACGACAGGTATGTAGATTTTCCCTGCACTTTTATACTCGAAGCCGTCACTTGGTTTAACCTAATTTCTAGTTACGTGTTCGATAAATGACGTGTGAAATTATTATTTTCGTTATCTTTAGGAAAGAAACTTGTCAACTTATCCTCCCTTCTGCTATAACGGTTACTTACGTTTTTAAGTAGCGTCGGTTTTATGCTGTAGGCTGTCTATACTAATCTCCTTCCTCTCGTGAGCCAATTCCCCCTTGAGCAAATTGATGGTGAGGTGGTGAAATTGATGGAGCGTTTAGTGGATGCATCGCGTCGGGGTTTGGTTCGCTCACTTAACCTCCCTGCTGATGTAGATCTTCGGCGAGCGGATGCGCTGCCAAACCTGCTTGATCAGGGCTCTTCTGTTGATTGCCTGGCAGGTCTTTTGGAGCTGTCTCGCTACCTCCTCGACCGTGCCGCTCTTGCTGATAGTCAAGAACTTATTGACTTTCTTTTTGAACGAATTTTTTGCGATCTCCTCGTCTTCGTGTTTTCCTATCCGGACTCTATGAGAAGGTGGATATATCGGGAGCAGTTTTCAGCCTGTCTTTTCAAACAGGTATCTCTCAGTTCCTCACTTCTGCTACATAAAATTAAATCCGTTAGTCTTAATGGATCCTCTTTCTTCTAGATTTGCACAGCACTTGTGCACTTGGTCCACGACTCCCGCCCCCAACTCCAAACCGTTTTTTCCTCTCTTCAAGAAACTATAACCGGACTCGTCAGACCTACTTCGTTACATGGGCTCTCTCTTCGCATGGCGCCTCTTTTAAACTTTTTTCATCACCTTGTCGAGGCTTGTACTGACAGCACTGGCATTCCTGAGTCTTGGTGTCAAAAGTGGCTTCGCGAAATCCTCACTTTTATTCAACCCACTTTTGGAGAGGCGAAGGACTCTGCTCAACGTTGGCTTTTAACTTTCAGTCTGATTGGTCAAGTTGACTCTGATCAGAGCGTGGAAAACCCGTTAAACCTATTAATCACTTCTATCATTCCCGCCTTCGATGGCGAAGTCTTCAAGTGGACTGCTTCTATGAGCAGAGGTCTTGCAAAGTGCTCTCTGGCACCCATTTCTCCGGAGTCTTGGCTGTCGGCTAGTGAAGAAACGCGTCGAAATTTTGTGCAGGGTCCCATCAAACATCTCATCGTTGACTCTAGCCGAGAAAAATTGCCTGTTTTGCAGCCCTTGGTTGACACGTTAACGGCTAATATTGACACCGCTCCCAGCATAATGCTGGAATTGGCGAATGTAATTTTCTCCGCCTCTTGTTCCTATGACAAGATTAGCGAGCACATGCTTATGGCGGTTTGCGTGGAAATCGCCAAGCGTGACCACGTTTCAGATGAAGTTTATGAATTCCTCTCCTCATTCATAGCTTTACTTATTTCCAACTGCAAGCTAAGCCTTACTGGTTCATCCGATCTTATTAACCAGTATGTGAGGCTAACCTTGGATGAGCTTTGGTTGTTGAAGCACTCTGAAAAAATGCTGGCGCATGTTGGCGGGGAAATCGTTGCTTATTTGAAAACTCGAGAGGATTCCGAGGCTCGTCTATTCTCGCAACAAATATGGATCAATGTACTGGCCAAATTGAAGTCGAATGGCTGTCCTAGTGATTCTGCCGCCTTATTGGCATTCCTTCGCCAACTGCCTATAAATACTGATGTCTGTCAAGAGGTCTGGCTAAAGCATATCGTGTCCGCTATGTCCCAACTTTCTGATGAAGTGGAGTTGGGATGCCAAAATCTGCCGATTTTCGTTCGCTCAGAAGTCTTTCCAATGCATCTATTGCCTCAAGTTGCGCCAATAATTGTCGCGCTGCAGATCGGTTTAAAACTCGATTTGCATGCCACCTTCACCGCTAGCCTCCCTGCACACAAACAGCTAGCTGATTTACTACTGATACTTCACTTTTGGCTTTCAGCAGGCACTGTAGAGCCGTACACTTTGGATGACTTATCCCCAAACATAATATTTATGCCGACCATTGCCGAGGAACCGCCATCTACAACCAATCTACTCAGTTACCTTGATGCAATGTGCGGCCAATTCGCGGATTCCGTTTACTCCCTTGAGGAGTTCGACACATCGAACGCCGCTCTTCGTGCAGCGTTGGCCAAGCGTTTGGTGGATATCCACCCCCTTCAATGGCCCCTGTCCATTCGACAAGCGGCCTCATGTTCTCCCCCTTCAAGTTGGTTACAGGAGCAGATTATTGAAAGCTCTTCGGAAGTATTTCTTCATCTCTGTGACGTCTGTCTTCCCGTGGGTGTTCTTGGTCGGTGCCTTCCGAGGAGTGTCGTAATCGCCCACGTGCTAGATCTCTCTTCCAAGGAGCCCCTTGAAGGCAACCGGGAGGGTCTGGCTCGTCTGACTGAGCTCATTGCTTCTCTTTGTTCCACCGCTTTTGTCGGTTGCTCTTACGCCTTCTCTCTTGCATCGCTCACTCTGGAAGAGACAGTTCGGGATTCCCTTGTTGATGTCGAAACCTCCGAAGAGCCGGAACTCCTGCGAGCCGTCATTGCGTCCATGAAAACCCTTCAAGTACTTGTCCTTTTGAGACAGCCTGTGGGGCCGATTGAAGATCACCCACATCTCGGTCTTGCTGTACTCTCTCAGCGCTTGAGGCAACTGAAGCCGCGATTAACTCGAGAGCAGTGGGACTCCCTATTATGCCTAACCACCAGTTGGATCACACAAGCTGTGGTCAGGCCTGTACAACCCATAGCCTTTTCGGTTCGCGCCTTCCAACTAGTTGCTGCAATCGGCGCTCTGTTTGTAAATTCCCTGTGCTCCAGCACAACCGTCACGGGCGCTCTGATCCGATGTGACGGAGCAGAATCCACATCGGTTGATCAACTCATGGACATGAATCGGGAGGAGTGGGACGAAACTGACTTCGATTTCGCAGAGGATTATGACTGTGAGGATGACGGGAATGTGTCTTCTGTGAATATGAGGGTCCTAGAAGAAGCTGAAGAAGACGATTTTGTGGATGCGGACACTGAGGAGTTGAGATTCGAGGATCCTAATGCGCAGCGACGTTTGCCGCCACCTGCATCAGTGCAAAAGGACTGGCGTGAGTTCTTCGCGGTCAACATATATGATTCATTGATTGGCCTCACTGCCGACACGTGCCTTTCTGCCAATAGTGGTGTTAACGGTCACGTATCAAAAGATACTCCTCAACATCTGTCTGCGCTGTGTGCCGCAGTAGCCACTTGTTCTGTAGAGTCTCTTCTTACCTGTCTCGAGCAACAGCCGGATATTGTTGTCACCTATTTGTTGGATACTCCTACTCACCAACCTTGCCATCCTCCCCAGGTGGAAAACAACCTCTTCTCCTCTGAGTGCCTCTTAGCTCCACAAACGCGCAATAGCATCGACCTCACCATTCGTCTTCTCACCTCGTCACCCTACCAAGCCAGCCAACTGCTAGGTCATGTCCTGCTTACTCGATTGGTTGCTTCAAGGTCGCTGGAACCGGTTCAGCGAATGAGTGATGTTTTGATTCCTCACCTACCCGTTTCTTGGGTTTCTGCACTCACTGCGCCACTCGCAGAAGACCTAGAAAACATTCTCTCGGATGCAGGTACGGCTGTATCACAGTGGGGCCGTGGGGTTTTCGCTATAAAGCAACTTCTTGGTGAAGATGTGCTACGTGGACACCAAAGGCTTCTTGCCTATCTTCTTGCTTGGGACGCAGTCGTTAGTCTTTTGAGTTCAGCCTCTCAGCAAAGCCGAGCAGGTCTTCAGGCGGCCTTGCTCAAGGATGATATGTGGATTGGCCATATGTGCCGACTAATCCTGACTCTTGGCCTGCTCCTACCAAAACAGAGTGAAATCGGGTCCCTCCTCACCGTTCCCTGCCGACTTGAACCAGATCCTCGTCTCCTGCTCACCTCCTCCGCCCGTACTGCTATGAGCAGTGCATCACCCTCATCCCCACAGAAAGTTGAGTCCGTGTTCGCTCCAGTCGATCCTCTTGTGCACCTCCCCGGTCATCGACTCACCGAGGACCTGTCGCATCTAGCGATTCGACTGCTACGTCGATTGTTGTCTGAATCACCGGCTCTGATGCGTTCGCTGTACGCGGAGCTGCAGCGTGGCACAACAATGGGTGAGCGCATCACGGCCGGCCAGGCGCGCCAATTGGCCAGTCATCTAGAGAGGGTTATACGACGCCAATTTTCGGCCAACCTGATCGTTGCTGAGGTGGAATCCATCGAACGAAGAGCAAGTGAATTCAAGCGCCGCTTGGGAACTACGCCTTACCTGGATGCTGATCTACCCAGTGCGGGAAGTGTTGATATCAAAGGGAGGCCTCTTTCTCGAGAGGTATCCTCTCTTGCGATGAACGCCAGTGCTTTCACATCGCAGTTTACTTCTACTTTCTTTCTTGTTTTGTTTAGGTCATCACTACTTATCACTTTTCGGCAGACCAGTGCTTAGAGATGATCATTAGCCTACCGGAAAACTTTCCCCTATCTCCTGTCACCGTTGACACCGGCCATAAAACTGGCCCTGCTGTGTCAAATTGGCGGACCTGGATTGTGCACCTCTCTGTCTTTCTTAACAACCAGGTAGGCTTTATGCACCCTCTTGATCCTTGTAAGTAAGTGTCCCGATGGCTTTCTGAGGCCATTAATTTTGCCTTCGGTGTTATGGGCAATTCAATTCTTGAGGCGATTTTGGTAGGGAAATGTTCGAGCGAGACGTCTGAAACTGTTTTTTAACCTACTTCAGTTTAATAGACTCACTGTCTTTTACTCACGGCGAATGTTGTTGTGTTGGTTTTGCATCCTGAGATAGCACTACACCCTCTTAGAATGGTTCGTTTTTTCACCAGAATGGATCCATTCTTGATGGGATAGGGCTTTGGCTGCGCAATATGAAAAAGAAGTTTGACGGAGTGGAGGACTGCGCCATCTGCTATTCCGTCATCCACGATCGCAATTTCTCCTTCCCCAGGCTGCAGTGTCGTATGTGCAAAAAGCGGTTTCACAACGAGTGCATGTACCGCTACTTCCAGACCAGTCGCAATCCCACCTGTCCCCTCTGTCGAAGTCTCTTCTACGCCACTAGTTGATTCCGCCTTTGTGGTCTTTCATTTATCCCTCTGCGTCCGCCCTCTCCTTCCCCCATTGTGACTGTCCTTTTGCTGTATTTTCATTCCCTTCCTTCCTGCCTTCCTTATACCAAGAAAGTTTTGTATGGTAGCGGGGTTTTGTTCGATTATTTGATACCTTCGGTGGGATGCAGAAGGCGCAGATTACATCAATGCATGACGGCAAGATGAGTCATTACGTGGCACTCCACGTCTTGACGTGACACTCAGCTGATGATTGGTATCCACGTGGAGATCGCCGCCTCTCATGAAGTGTAATCGTTGCTAGGTATTCTAAAAATTCTAGTCCACAGGCAGTGAGTCACGTGGAGCGCGCGTACACCGAAGCATTCGCACGACTCGGGGAGACCTCGTCAATAATCTAAAAACCCAGCTTGGTGTTGGTTCATGGTTCTGGTCTGCATTGATCCCAATTGTGCTCAGTCCCCGACCTACCTGGCGACCTCGTTTTGGCTAAAGTGGACCTTGAACACAAAGGTGGAGCAGTTCAGCGTGAGCCTACGTCAAGCTTCCCTCTGGACGCAAGTGGGGCCACAACCTACCGGTACCTTGCATTCTAGCTACTAGCATTTGAGGTGAGATCTGAATTCGTTTTTTCACCAAAGGAGGTCTCCACCGGCGGATGTCGACCCAACTAGGATCGCCTTTGGTGTTAACTCAACTAGCGTCGCGCATGATAAAAAGGAAGGCAAGTGACATTCTGGACTCAATTTTACTAATCATTGTTAAAATTAAATACCCACGGCAATAGGAGTTGTCGAAGAGATTGGGGAGAGGAATAGATTGTAACATAGTGAGTACCAAAATTAAAGCTAACGGGCGCTATTGGCGTCAACCCGTTCCGGTGAGTGAGAAAAGGAAAAGGGACGGCCAATAGCATACACACACACGCACATGTGGCCGCACATACACTTAATCAAAACATTGTTGCCGTAGGATGGCCGTCCGTTGGACGAAAATGAAAGCACTTATGGCGGCGGTACTAACTTACAGCCTATTTACATTCAAATGCTTGGAGTCACAACAAAAGATTATTGTGGCCATTGTGGCAGCTGTCTATCTATCTGGGACCCGTTGGAGGCTTTGAGGAGACGTGTGATCTCAACACAGGATAGGGATCGGAGGAGTTGTGTCCGTTGATGATATCAGTGAGATCAGGAAATTGTCCATTGTACTCTTCACCAGCTCCGTTCATGCCAGCACCCGAGAGCATCGTCCGGCTGTCCATGTCGAGAACCACCTTCCTGATGCGATTCAACTCTACTGCGTCATTTGATTGTAACTTTTTCACCTCGTCCAATTCCTCCGTCAATGAACGAAGATGATCGGTTATGAGCTTTAAACTTTTAGCCACACCGGCTCGATCGTTCACTTGGGTGTTCTACAAGGGATGAAGACAGACCTAAAACAATTGCCGCATCAGAGACAATTTAGTCTATTTAAACACATTTTTACAGCTACAGCATTCGGTAGACGAATAATCTTCAACCCTTTGCATTCTTTCCCAGTTTGTTCCTTTGTTAAATGATACAGTACTTTTTACTTTTACACATAAGAAAGGGCTACAAGGCACAGCAGCCACTTAAAATGCAAACATCGCCTCCATCACCCACATAAATTAACTGACCAACAACGTTTGCTTTCTACACAACAATCCGAGCTTAAAGATGCTAATGACTTGCACCCAAGTGTGTCAGATACCAGACTCAAGGTAGCCGCCTGCACCGCTGCACCATGCATCTTTGATTTCTCAAAGATAAGCTGCCAAAGTCGTCTATAGAGGTTGCCTGCAACAAGGTAAGAGTAAGAGATAGACAAACCTTGACTGCTGCAAGTTTTTTGTTGAGTTCGGACAGTTGGCCAGCGACGTCCTCGGCATGTTCCCGCTGCTCCCGCCGCATGGAATCAATGGTGTGCGTAAAATTCTCCAACTGCTCAGAAAATGCAGCAAGACGATCCTGCTGCTCCTGAACCAGGCCCTGCAAATCACCCATGTTTCGCGGCGTTCCCTCGGCTGGTCGACTGGGATCCAATCGTGTCAAGCTTGAGCCTAAAAGCATTTACGCAATTCAAGCAAAAAAAGAAGAGGGGGACGAGTCTTAATCAGGCTTATCTGTCCTGACAGGAAGTATGTTACATATCACCTTATAAGATTTTCGGTCTAAAATCCCTACTTTTAAAAGATCCTAACGAGTCCTTTTATTACTTCGTTGCTTTATTTTCGAACTGACAATCTTATGCGATCTTTTAAAAAGTAGATTGCCTCGAGTGAATATCATTTGACTGCCACAAGTAACGACTGAAAGATATGATAAATGTGGGAAATTAAATGACAGGTCAACTCACAACGATACTTATTAGCACTGGCTTTGGTAGAAGTGGTTTCATACTCCGGTTTAGAAATGGAGCTCTTGCGATTGAGTGAAAAAGTCGCGCCGTTCGTTTTTTGGGCGGTTGACTCAGTTCTGCCAGAACGAGATGTCTCCGACTTGACTGCAGTCCTTCCGTCAGTTCGTGGCATCTAAAAGTACAGTTTCGTGGAAACATCTCAGCCATCTTTTACGTAAGCAAGTAGTATTCTAAAGGCTAAGGACGGCACGTTAGTCAAATGATGGGATCAGGGATGGGGGCTACTCACCGAAGTTGAATTAGTGTTCGCTGCCATCCTGTTCTGCAGACGTTTGCTGGCAAGTCGATCATTGTCTCCTGGACTACCGTCCGATAAATCACAACGTTTTCTTAGATCTGGGAGCAATACCAAATCACTTCAAACCGTACAAAATTCAGGTTCGTGACAAAGAAGTAATGTAGCTGATAGTTAATATGCGCAAAACCAAGCTACTCCAAGGTGAAGTACGCAATAAAAAGCGCATGATTACACCCAAGATAATGTAAGGTCGGAGGATGGCGATGCTCTCGAAGAAGGCTAAAATCATGCAATGCACGCAAGCACAAATTCAACGCTCTAGTATTTGCTTTCCTCTCAAACTGCTTGCACTTCTGCAATACTTACAGAAGTGCGCGAAGCGCAAGTTCACAGTCCAAAGGTGTGATTGTGGATTTCATCTAAACCAAATTAGTCTAGTGCTTAGAGAACAGGAACTACATTTGCGCGGCATTAACCACCGGAGTTTAAAAAAACCCACTGAAAAAAAGAACTAAACCAGGTAAATGATTTTTTCACTGCTAACTTGTGTTTTAAGGGCTGAGAGTACACATTCTAAAAAGTGACATTTGTGTCAAAAAGACTTGCCATTTTTGCCTGCACTGGAATCGTAGCGTTTACTTCCGGTTGGACTGATGGTGGTGTCGTTTTGAACCGTCCTGGCCGAAAAGGAGCCACTGTTTTGTGTCCTCTGCGTCGAAGAACCCATTTTCGACTACCCAAACCAAAAAAGTTAGAAATAATACCGATGTGCCACAATAAGCCACTCACAAAGTATTGCGAGCAAAAGCGCATTAAAGTTTGGAGACACAACAGGCATTCAATGTCCCTGAATAGGCTATTTAAGTTTATCATTAATTCAGCCTCATAACTCAATCACTTTTAGCTAAAATTAATACAATAGAAGGGTGGAGGGGATCAAGTATAAGAAATTAAATGGCGCCCTAATGCACCTTGTAGTCCGCGAGGGCACGCTTAAAATCCAGATCATTGGCATCAGCCGTTCTGACAAAGTTGTCGGGAAATACACCTGTTTTGTTGGTACGAAGATTGACCCCACGCCACCAGCCATCCTCCGGTAAATCTCGACTCAGCACCCGAATGAAATCCTTCACCTCCAACTGTAGCTCATCCGACTGCTCAGGGTTGTAACGATAAGCCACTTTCACGTAGTCTGAGGCCTTGTTGCTTATACTGGTCGACATTGGCAAAGGAGAGGACACTCCTAGAGGCACTAAATGAGAATTAAAAGATCATGGATCCGACTTTTTGAAGCCAATTTGCTATCCAATGCACGGACCCCTTATTCAGGAAATTGAAAAGCATTGCAAGCCCCAAATTTCACCTTAGAACATTACCGTGTAAGCTCGACAAGCAAATAATTGGCTTAATCAAATCCAAGCCGAGGCTATTTAATGATTCAAGCACAATTCGAAGAAACTGTGATCCCGGAAAAGCTTATGGGATTTAAGGCATTCTAAGATAAAATATACGAAGCATAAAAACACGGTGCTAAATGCAGTTGACAAGAACTTGTGGACGGGCAATTTTGTAAATTTCCCTTATTAATAGCGCAGATAACATGTACAAAACCCTAGCCAACGAGACGCACACAAAAAGTCGACATCCAACGGCAAGCATAACTGGTAGACATGCTGCAATCATTACACACAGGTAGTCATGCAAATATACACATATTAACCACTAACTGGATGCAAAAAGTAGAGTAAAAAGCGAACTATGCACGTGCTCGTTTATCTAGCACAGCCTGCCCTCGATGCAAATGGACTAAAAAGGCTTGTAAATTGTGAAAATGAAAACAAAGCTAGACACAAAAAACAATCCCGAAAAAGAAAATATAGCCATACTTTGCATTCGCACGCACATGTACAAAGCTTACACTGAGTTTGAAGACAAAGTCCCCTAACAAGACAGATAATTTGATAAAATACCATCCTGAAACGCAAATATCAATTGGTCGATACGATTTTGTAACAATATGCTTACCTTGAGTTTTGTGACTTTCTTGGGGCTAAAAGAAGAAAAAAATCCCTGAGAAAGCTTTGAATTTAATTTCAGATGTCTTATTATTAATCACAAAAAAATTAACAAAGGCATCACCCTCAGTCCAACGACAGATTTATTCGGACAACTGACGCCTGCCAAAACATAACTCATTGCTCAGAATGAGAAAAAAGAAGGGAGCCACATTTCCAAACCTTCAGAATCAAAATCAAGGTATGCCGACGTTAACATTGCCCCAAAAACTGTAATACACTTTAGCCCATACGATTAAGTCCGAAAAACAGTTGGGTTACGACAAAGCATTAACGAGCTCACTCTTTCTGTCCCACCGCCTACAAGTTTCATAGGAGGAGAGCTTGAAGGTACTACGGTAGTGGACCGTTCACTGAAAGTCATGTCTGTCCTTTACTGCAGACTTCAGAGATGAATATCTTATCACGACGCTAAATCACCAATAAGTAAGCAAAAATACATTAATCAATCATATGTGCAGTTTCACGTTCTGAACCAAACGATTTAGCAACAATACAGATCAAAGCAATGAACCCACAAAATCCACTTTGGCAAAATACATGAATACTAAAATGCTGTTCCAAAATGTTTAGTATAGGGGACCCCATAAGCTTGACAAACCTTGACGGATAGGCTTTCTACAATAGCGAATAGACATCAGCCTCTGGATCGATTTTCACAAAAACCCTCCATTGAAAATGAGAATAAACAACTCCAACAAGAGCAATTGCACCAAAGAAATCCCACAGCGAACTAAGAGGAGCATGTGAAATCAGTTTATAACAACAGAGAATAAGAAAACTCTCAATTAGGCAAGAAGTATAAGGTGAAAAACATGATACAAAAAAACGAGTAAACGTACTTGGCTGCCTGGAGCTGGCGCAGGTTTAATTATCTACATGAAATATTTGTAACTAAGCATCTACCATAAATTACTCGAACAAAATTATCAGGAAAAACGCCCTCTCTTCCGTTGAATGTTCCGATGTACCATCCTTCTTCAAACTGAGAAACATTTGTAACAATGTCCCCCTGTTTAAGAGTAAGTTCATCTCTCTCTTCTGCTGTGTAGTCGTACTCAACCTGGACTTCCATTCAGAAACCGGTGAGCGCAAATATTTACCAAGCAGAGATGAAGCCTGTCAACAAAAGCGGGGCTACAATCGGAAAACCAACACTGTGATTCGCCAGTTTACTCTGCCAATCACCGTAGTGATTTCATTTAAAAATTCTAATCGGATATTCTAAACCGAAAATCGTAGTAATTTTCCCATGTGCAGAAGTTACTCAATCTGATTTAGCCATCCAAATGGACCCAACGCATGACTTCATATTTTTTTTTGCTTGTCATTCTCGTAGGTTACAAAAATTCTAATTCCCATTTTAATCCCATAAATAGACAATGGATTTGTGACGCATGCTTAGTGGCATTCTGGCAAGTTTTAATGGAATTTTTGGTGGCAAGTCATGCTATAAATGCTGTAAATTGCATCAATATTATAATTTGCGGAATGCAGGCATGGAAACGGAATTAAGAATAGACTAATGTAAGGGAATCTAAAGATAGCTGACTAAACGTAGATAGATCAAAATAAATTCGCGAATGCAAATGCGGCTTATGGCAAGCCTAAAGCTGTGCCATAAAACGAGTAAACTACATAATATAGCCAATACTTTGGCTTATCGATTTTTAAATGTCAAATTTCAGCAGTAACGCAATGCACTGCTGTCCACATGTGCTTTTGAAAATAAAACTATGAGATTTCATCACCTTTTCGTTTAACTGTATATCGGACCATGCAGGCACTGTCCCCGCAGATTGTAATTTGTAAATGCCTGATCTCAGAGCCATGCCAGTAGGCTTTTCTGCTCCTCTCTTTTGCAATTTATTCCATTTTTGCAACTTTAAGGCAGGCTTAAAATGCTATACATCTTCTCGGCACAATGCATGCTGTCATCCTCCTAAGGGAGAAGCTTTGCTTCCTCCACGAGTCTTAACATTTTTCGAAATAAAGCTAACACTGTGCAACACATCTTTTTCTGATCAACATTTCTTTTAACCAAGGGCATTAAACAAGGGAGAGGATAAAAGTGGTGAAAATAAATTAATGTTAGTCGATGATAGCAGCTTCACAACGGGGTTTATTTAATCCAACCACTTGTCATCTTAAGAGTGCAATTTAGCAGACACAATCAGCTCTCAAAACCTGGCTCTAGGCAAAGAAAAGGCAAAATATCCAGGCAAAAAGTGCATTGTCGAAATACGGAAGGCATTGGGGCAACTGGTATGGACCGGAGGCCAGGGCAAATGGCGGGGTTACGGTGACGGAATCTTAGAAAGGGCTTTCAAACTTAAGAGTTAAGGAAAACGTAATATGAATGCACTGCTTTTTTAAATGATTTTGAAAATTACATATAGATTATGCTATTGGTGCGGCATGGCGCATATTTTTGGTCCTCAGTTTTTTGGTGTGCAAAGCGCAAACTTTTCGTTAAATATAAGTTTAGTTAAAGAAACTATTTTGCAATGGGTTTAAAAGGGCGTTTACTTTATTTTCGCACTAGATGTCATCAAATGGTATGCCGATTCGGTAAGTTGAACTCATCATTAAATTTGTTGTTATTAATTAAAAACTTGACATTTATGGTTATTATTGAATACTTTAATAAAATGAATGCATTCTGTTTAAGTCGTTGAGAGGTCTAATCCGCTCTGTACAAGCCAGCATTGAGTTAAGTGCATCAGGAGGTAGGCGGTCAATGCAAAGACCCTGACCGTTACAGACTTGTTATGCCGGTTGGTGGCTATGTTCCAGTTCCTTTGGAGCCTCAGTTTGAGGAGTTCCATCCTTTGGATAGCGTTGAAGGTGTCTCCCAGGTATTTTATTGTCCCATTTAGACCTTATAGGTCAAGGAGAATGTACCTGGAAACGCCTTTTTGTTCTCGCTTGATTATTACAAATCCTACTTCGATGTGGATACGTACCAGGTATTGGAATGGCGCGACTTAGTTGTTTGGTCTCAAAGTTATTGTTATTTTATCCGTCTTATACCTATTCCAGGTTGTTCAGCGTGTCATAAGTGGACTTATTCCCTTCTCAAAAAGATTCTCACTCTCTGCCTCCCTACGACCAGCACCAGATCTTTACGGTCCTTTTTGGATTATAATAACCCTAGTTTTTTCAATCGCCTTTTCTGGGAGCATATACGAATACATCATATCGAAAAATGCATCTGTTCTCTCTACGTTTAATTTTGGTCGGGGTGAGTCAGCCCACCTGATACAAACATCTTAACTGCCGAATTTTCTTTGTCCGTGCCTTAGAAAGCGAAAGTTATAACTGGAGGTGGTTTTTAAGTGCCTTCTTGGTGTATTGCCGCTCGTTTCGTTCATTTTGCTTGGTCTTAGGCGGTTAATCAATTCCCTAATTTCTTATCGCTGTTTTTTCCTTTTAGTGACTATATCAGCCGCAGTCCTCTTCGTTTATTGGTGTCTCATGCCGATTGTTGTGACGTCTCTGGTATGGTTTAGAAGACGGAAAGCTTTTTCTGATGCGCAAGGCATTGACAAGGGACCCGAGTTCACTTTTGGTTCGTTATTCAGCGAGCTGCTTGCGATCTATGGCTACTCAATGGTATCTTTCATCCCTGTTGCTGTGAGCATTGTCCCGTTTCAACTTAGCTTATAACTCTGCCTTCGTGCGTCTGGTTACACTTGTTCATTTTGCTATTTTGATTATCATTGTTCTATTGCTAGTTTTTACATCAATGTGTTATCCAATGTTTGTATCGCTTTTATCCTATCTCCACCCGCTAGTAGTTCTGCTGAGCCTCTCTAGTCTGCTTCAATTGTTCAAAATTTAGAATTGGCGTTAATGATCATGCACCTCTTGCAGATGCTTCTGTGTGTTCCCGTTTCACTTATACAGTGGATTTTGATTGGAGTAGCCAGCCTCGTTTCACTGTGTGTCCTTGGTTCAGCTACCTGGCCTATCTTTAAGCAGAAAACGAAACAGGTATGGAATTGCAATATTTATGCATTCAAACGACTACTTTTCATGCCTCTACTTACGGCACAAGTTCTGCACTTCTACGCATTGTGGAGTCATTCACACCCAGAACTCCTCCTACATAAATAGCCACTATACTTTATGCAGCAATATCCTCTTGCTAAGGTTAACTCATCGTCCGTTTTGTAGCTCGCTATTGGACTCCTTGTACTGATTATAGTTGCTCACATTGCAATGACCGTATCCCTCTCCGTAAGTGCATTACCCCCTTCTTAGCAATACCTAGCCAAAATACCACATTCATGGTGGCAATAAGCGGCTGTCACGATGAAATTGGCGTTTGGCTAAAGTGTAGTGTGATTTGAATGTGAGGCAGCAATTCAACACCTATGAGCAATATGCTCCAAACAAAAACCCATAGTTTCATCATGCTTTTAAGTTGATTGTGCTAGACCTTCGAGGCGCCTCTTAAGTGCTGCTGCGAAAGCAATCAAGCACCGCGTACTGATGCCTTCATCCTGCCTCGTGGGATGGGTAACCCCCTCCCCGCGACGGTTTGGGATAGCACTCCCCTCATAAGCTGCGTGGGGGATAGTTAATTCTCTAGACGTGGACTTGCAATGTCTTGGTAGATCACCGCCCTTGAGCTAGTGGTTTAATCGTCAGGTACCCTCACACATCCTATTTGGCGGCGTATTTCAGGTTGTCTTTTTCCATCAACCACCCCTTGAACCCCAACCCAAACCGGCTCCGGCTGTACAACCCGCTGATGCAGGCGTTCCCAATAAATTGGGACCCCAAGAATCCGTCCAGGGTGGAGGTGCAGGCAATCAGAAAGACACACAGCCAAAGGAAACTCCAATCAAACCTGTGGAAGATAACCCAAACAAGAAGGTAGAAAAGGATAACCCGAAAGTCGCCTAGTCCCATCGCACCACCGTTTGGGGGCGAGAGGAGAACCTTTGTGATCGACTTTGCCACCTGTTCTCATCATAATAGATAATTACTGTCGCTCATTATGGTGTATCTCACCCAGATATGTTCGATTTACAAGCTCATTTGAACGGAGGTATACATCTATTTTTGATATTTTCAGCCCCTACCATGTAAAAGTCTGGTCAGTAAGAGTGCAGATCCGAGAAGGAAGTGAAAAGTGTGTGTGTTGTGATGGGATAGGTTACGGTTTATAACATTTGTGTTATTCATATAAATATTAATATATAAAATGTAAGAGGTTGAGGGATGAAAAGACTGTGCACAGCTCACTCCTTCCACGTGGTCCCGTACTTCAGATCGAGCATCTTTCCGTGAATGAGGGACTGAATCAGAAACTCCTTGTTTATAACTGTGAACCCCATGGATTCTATTTGCGGAACTGTATCTTCTGGAATCTACAAGGAAAGTACATTTCAACTTGAGCGGACAGCACGCTCTCCCAACCTCGTACAACAGAAAAGGGCGGTTCGCAGATGATCGCGTCGGGCGCTATGGTACTTTTTCCTGTAAACAACACAAAAAATAAGGCAATGATCTCACCCTTTCCTGGTCGACCAAGACGATATTTGATTTGCAAGTGGGTGCATCCTCCATCGTCTTCAGCCTGTTGAGTTGATCGACACTTTCTGCGGAGGTAATTATCTTCGGCATCCCGTCAGTCGCAGGCACTCCGCTCTCAGTGTACATTGCGTGTCGTAGGATGGAAAACCACCCCTTGCCGAAGCCGGGGAAGTCATCTGTCACTATCGCGATTATCCTCGATGAGGTGTAGCCTCCCAGCGCTAACAATGTTTTTGGTCCAAATACATCCAGCGGTTCGATGAACCATGCTGGAACGTTGTGCCTGAAAGGAGCAAACAGCTTTGCTTTACTTTACTACATTTGTTTTAGTCTGCGCTGGCCTCGTCAGGGTCTCGCGTTATTCACCGAGATTGGCTTTGCTCATGCCACGTGAGCTACTGACCTTAGGGACTCTCGATATACACCTCATTGCTGTTCTAAAAAGTGCTTTGCGGCCTTTGCAGGGATCCCATCCTGCAAAGCGGAGATATAGCGACGGACGATTTACTGAGACACTTTTGGACAGGGAATTAGTTCGTTTTTTCCAGCAACTGGATATTCACCCGAAAAGTGATTGGTCGTGAGCCTGCTGATTGTCACATCGTTTGATTGACGAATTTATAACAGTCATATGGGTGCCATGGAAGACTGAATTAAAGAATACTTCTAGGCCTAGAATTAAATGATTCTCAATCGGGATATAAGTAACTGTAAGGCCACTTACGGTAAAACCGTTTGGTTGGTGATTCTGTCCACACCCCTGGGGAGCTCGTAGAGCGTGCGCGCCGACCGTCGGAGCAGCTCAAAGGGTATGTCGGCAGGTTCGGTAGCAAGAGTGACTATTTTGGAGACGACCTCAGAGTCAGCAACGAGTGGCTCCCTGCCACCGGCAAGAAAGCAAGCATCAAGGAGCCAGACGGGGTGCACCAGAGGCACACGACCCAGAGTGGCCAACCCTTGCAGGAACTTGACGGTGCGCTTAGCTGAGGACGCGATCAGAACAATGTGCGGGCGCTTTGCCTTGGACACAACGGCCTCTTCCTCCGGCGTCACCAGCCGACCGGTGGGGGAAACGCAGTCGGCGTCGAGCAGTTCCATATTTTGGCCACCGCCAGCCGTGATCAGCAATCGCAGAAAGCTGGCATTTTCACAAACCGAAACTGCAATAGAGATTTGATAAAAGTAATGGCAGTCATAACGAAACATCCATTCTTTAACGAAAGATTACCCCCAGATGTAGATGTTATTTGGACAAACTTTAAGTGCTTAGTCTAAACTGTTTAAGATGGGCGTTTATTAGCATCAACAGTTAATTGTAAAGATGGAGTATCCACATGAAATAAAGATATGAAGGCAAAGGACCTACACTGCTTCCTGGCATGAGGGCTACTGGAGGCGATTCGAATGCCCTTTAAATCAGTTGAGTTAACGCCTTTTGTGCGGACAACACACCACTGAGAAAAGAGGTCGGGGTGAGGCAGGGGAATGCGATGTCGCTGGCACATTCGTCTGAGCTCCTCCGACTCCGCGGTGCGCATGGACTGGTCTGAAAGGAGTATGAAAAAAACTAGTGGAGCTGCTTGGGTTGATGCAATAGAGAGGCTGTGCGAACATTATCTTCGTTTCAATTAATAACCCAACCTTTAAGCGATATAGCGGATTCACTCAAGAGTGGAGGTAATACAGGAACGACCGGAGGTGGCGTTTCCTGCTGCTCAATCGATGTCTCTACGGTGAGTGTCGGTAGTGATGGAGTGATTGTGTTGTCCAGAGGAGAGGAAAATTTTCGTCGCTTTCCAGAGGGCCTCGTCCGAGGAGCTCTTCTGGAACGAGAAGAGCTACGTGAGGTGCTGCTGAAACGCATTGAGGCGCGTGAAGCCCGAGCGACTGCTCGACGACCGACAACCCATATCTAAACAGTGAAATACGATCAAAAAGAAAAGGGTGAATAGCTGCTTTAATGTAAAGCTTGGTTTAGTCAGGACAGTACCCGGAGCATGGCATTACCTTTTCAGACCTAGAAGTTCGTAAGAGTAGTGCCGAAGCCAAGAGTACTGCTGCCGTTTCCGAGGTAAATGTGTTTGTGAAAGTTTTTGGGATAATTTGTTTGCTTAAAATCAACACCAAAAAATAGCCATAGCATAAATAACTACGAAAACACGAGAAATACTAAGGATTTAAAAGATAAACTTTGATAGTTTTAAAGCGTACAAGGGAATAACTGCTTTAACCTGGAGATCACGACGCAGTTTCAAATAAAACTCGACACAAATTTGATACAACTAGGTAAAAGACAACATCTTTCAATTATACATACATCTGCCAGTACTTAAGATTGCCAATAGGATTCAAAATGAGCTGGGAATAGACTGCTGTAACAGCATGTATGCAGTATGATGCCATTATCTCTCTCAAAATTTGGACAATCGGTGTGAAGTTGCAATGTATCAGTAAACAACTAAGTTGATCCTTGAGCTCTTGCTTTAGGCAGTTTTATCCTTTGTTAACAATCAATCCTCTTCGACTTTCTAGCTGGGATTAATCATGGATATTTTTGGCATATTTAAAAACTGACCCTTCACGGTCAGCAGCTCGAAGGACGTTTCCACCTCGTTTCTAATACCTCAAATTCAACGTTATCACAGCCAAATTTGCCACGAGTTCAATTTAAAAAAAAACACGTGAAGACATTAAAAATAGGTGGCATAATTACACTCCAGTGAGTGAATTAACGATTAAGGAATAGAATCAGCGTTTTTGTTTAACCATTACCTATACTCAGAGTGAAGGGTTAAACCTACTCCTAACCCGTACACAATCACCAAGTAGGCTAATAGCAAAGGTGAAATGTAAAAAAGGCTCGACCAAACCTGGCTCTCCCTACGACTGAATCCACTATGTTTCCGTTTAAACTCCTGCCGCTGAGCGGAGACTTTTGCTCCTGACCTAGTCCGCCGCTGTTTGGCCGACTCTAAGCTACGCGAGGCAAGAGAAGGCGTCGAGACAGAAGGACTTCTCCTCTTCTGCTGTGGTGCTGTCTTTCTCCGCATCAAGCGTTTTGCGGGAACTGCCCGCTCTGCTATCCGGCCCACCTCGGTCAAGACACGCTTTCTACGGACAGAACTCCCGACGGGAGTCTTTCAAGTCGAAAGGCATGCAAGCAAAATCAGTATATCCGCTGGCTTTCTGCCCAAACAATCCTAGACAGAGTGAACCAAGCTTACTTTCAAAATCATAGAGTTAATCTACTCATTAAGTGAAGAAACTGACCAATATCCTGGTATTTTAGACGCGTCTCTAATTACGAGTTAGCATTTGTGGCAAAAAATGTCTCTGGGTCGTAGAACCAGGTACTACTAAACACTTACATTTGGAGTGACTACTTTTGATAAGACAACACGAGGGACATATTTTGAAGGGGAGGAGGAGGAGGAGGTGGGAGAGATGAATGATGAAGTGCCACTCGTTACGGAGGATATGTCTGACCGGCTGCCTACTGTTGATATTTGACCGGCGGCAAGGAGATGAATCATTGATTCCAAGACAATCGCCACCCGTTTACGTTCGAGTCTAGGAGGAAAAAAGTACACAAAAGAAGGAGCACGTGTGACGAGTGGGGAGAAGTCTGCTGAACAATCAATGAGGAACTAGTGGTTCAGAAGACCCACTGGAAAACTTCATTATCCTCAATGCGTTTGACGATATAAGAGGGCGGTGTAGTGCCGATCACGTGGCCCGATACCAAGTACCCAACTTCATATTCACTCTTGCCTGATATATCAGCATAAACCTGAGGAAGAATAAAATCGAGTTACATGGAGAGTAGAATAAATGGAAAAAAACATCTGTGTTTGGATTGAGACAGAAGTAGTTTGCTCGTCAAGTAAACTTGCATTTGCCCCAATAGGGAGGAGTTCGGCGAGGATTATGTTTTTGCCCGTCACGTTTTTTTGTGAGCTGTCGTCAAATAATATACGAAACCTGGAAGTCAGAGCAATAAAGAAAAGGAAGCGTTGAAAAAGTTAGTGAAGTTTACAGAATTCACTTATAAAAAAAACCATACTTATCCTCAGCGGAAGTCTCGGCTATTTGTCCGGCGTAAAAAAACTTATTGGAGTACCACTTGGCATAGACTAATACACCTAAAAGAGATACACTCCAGTTATGCAGGCACTTGCTTTGATGCAACCAATATGCAAACTTCATCACTCCACTACTGTTTATAATGCATCAAGTGAATTGGGGGCAAAATTCACCCTTATTCACGCCCGATTTGTTGGTTGAAACAGAATTTGAAGTCCGAGTAGGTTTTTTACGTTTAGCAATGACTGCGGAGGAAACTGGGTGAGGTGTCTCGCCACTTTGTGACCCCAGGTCGGAGAGAGTACTGTGGAAAGGAAAACTGCGGTTTTCAAACGATGCACACATCACTAGACAGTTGAAAAGCCTTAATTTTTATTAGTAGTAACAAAGAAGTTCACCGAAAGCTTATTGCACAAAGATATGAATCACAAAATATTTCAGTATCTGCTCACTTATTTAGATCGGAATTTCGTTCCAACGGCTTCGGTTCAGTTCTACCTGTGGTATTCACTGGAAAAAATACACTTTTCAGTGAACAGTGAAAAAAACAAAAGAAAGTAAAAAAGGTAGCCGGTGGTTCCTGATCATTAGTTCTGTCTGAGATGTAATCGAAGAAATTAAAAAGAAACACTTTTGCATAGAGTAAGGGAGTGTAGGGGAAGGGAGAAGGATACCTCGTTGTTCCCTATCAATGGTTCCATCGGTGACGTTCTCTGAAAAAAAAACTAATTAGAGATAGGGAGTAACATACTTGGTGGCCCTTGACCATTAGTTTCCGGTCTCTTTGTCAGCGCATTCTGAAAAAGGAAATCATAAAATAATGTAAGCTTTATATGTGCATCTAATTACAGTAGCAATCAAGCAAGTTATTCACCATTTTCAGCGGCAAAAAATACTCAGAGGACGAGGAGGAGACGCGAACATCAAAGATGCTCTGATGTTGGGCAATCACAGTTGCAGGTGTTCGATTGTAATCACACTGCGGTCCCTCACTATCAGAGGTAAAAAGCTCTCGTAGCCAATCTCCGAGGGAGTCAGCCAACACCTTAGCTGCTTCTGAGACCGCAGCAGCTGCGTCCTCATCCACTCTTCGTATTCGTGACTACAAAAAAATACAGCTCATTGTATGGCATAGTAGACGACAACCAAACCCTAAACGCACGAAGACGTTATGAAGTAACCAAGATCTGCCTTTCTACCAACCTGCCAAGTAACCGTCTTTGTAAAATCGGGTATTTTGAATTCCACAAGATCAGTTTTTTCCACCTTAGAGGAGTGGCGGAGTACAGACAACGAGAGGGTGTAGGAAAAAGCGGGTGAGGCCTCCTGATCATCAGTCGCGGTTGACGTGGACACAGTATTTCTGCAGTTCCCCGGTAGCACCAGAGGTTTGCTGAAACCTGAGGAGTCTGACCTGAACAAATCAGAACCCGATCGAGTAGTGCGATCCGATGTAGTGTTGGTTGTGGTGGCACCAATAGGGGTAGAGATCAGGGAGTCGGTGGAACAGAAATTAGGCTCCATGTTTGCCAATGATCTGAAGCGAGTAGCAGAAGAGCGCTGGGCATCTAGACGAATGTAAACGCGAAAATGTACACAAACTCTACTAGCAGGGCGAAAACTGCAATTACGAGTTTGAGCAATTTCGACGTTGGAAGTGCGTAAATATAAAGTATTTATTTGGGGACTCACGTTTAGGAGGTGCTATCGGGAGAGAGGCCCGAACACCAAGAGTAGTCGATAGAATCTTGTCCATTTGGTCCATTCTTTTTGGATTAACTTTTTTTATGTTTTCCAACACCTCACTGGACAACGTTGAGCGGATTGGTGAGGAGACAGACTTTTGGCAGTTGGTTGGCGACTAAAGTGTAAAACGGAAGTCACATGACAAAACCCCAACATATAAAAATACAAGCAAAAAAAGTGCCGAAAATTCAACACGATGTTTTTTGACAGATTCCTTTTGTAGGATGAGCGATAAACATAATATGTAGAACGCGACTACTTACATCTGCTCCGGAAGGTACCTGTAGTGTATGCAGTGAAATGTCGCGAGAAAGGCTGTCCAAAGAAGTTTCGCCTACAAAATAAGCGGATTAAGCAAAATTTACCGGCGGCTTCATTCAAAGATGAACACCGAATATCTTCGAAATCTAAAAACATCATTTTAGGTCGAAATTACCATCTTGTTGCGTAACAGCCCGCAAAATTGACGAAGAGGCATTCTATGGAAAAGAAAGACAGTCAGGGTCAGTTTCTGAGCTGCAAACCCATGTGAATTTCTCGCTCACACCAAATTCCTGATTTGATGATTCTTCAGCTAGTACGCAGCCATTCCTGGATTTAGATAAGATGTAATTCACAGGAGGTGGAGGTTCAAGATCTGAGGATGGGATGATATTTTCCGAATTATCAGATTCCGAATAAACACCCTCCATCACCAACAGTGCCCTGGAGTTAACTAGAAGTTAAATTTGCCTCCCACACACAATAACGCATTGCCGCACTAATTTAAATGCTCTATAAAATAACTGTCACTTTATGGTGTTGTTTAGTGTGTGCAAAGTGTCGAAAATGAATAAAATGCCACTTCTGTCACCACGGTTAAGATTATAGTCCTGGCCAAAGTAAAAATATAAAATAACAAAATCACTCAAAATTCACTATCTTTCCTAGAAGAAGCTCTCTAATTAAATTGAAATAATTAATGTTAGTAAAGCTTAATTCTTTCCTAACCCATAAATATGTTCTAATAGTGAAGACCCCTCCAAACGAGTCGATATATTTTCTGACTTTTGCATCGCATCCCAAAATGGTCACTTTCTTCGCCATTGATCAGTCTTAGATTCAGATCTTGATGGCGTTTTCATTGGCGAATCGAAAATACTTTGGTATTTGCAGTATTTCCCAAATAGTCGCGCAACTGCAGATGGCTTCCACAGTCAGTTTTGCGGAGTGGTATTTTATTTAGCTTAAGTTGTATTTGCCCCTCTTATTATCATTCTTTTGCTTGGCAGACGTTCCTCCAGCACCTTCTACATAATTATTTGCAAATTTAGGTCTAATTTCAAACCTCTTAGTCAATGAGCTAATTTGTGGAAGGCATTGTGTATTTTCAAACTGGTAATTCTATGACAGTATATGGGAGCCATAGAGAGTCAAGAATTGTATCCTCTAAAGGAGCGGGCGAGGATAAGGGGGTCGTGCGTTTTGTTGTGATGAGCACTTTTTTATTTACACAGGTGTAGTAAAGCAAGTACCTACAACTTACTAGTCGACCCTGTTGTGCATGAGACGCCGGACTTACACTTTCCTTTCAAGAAAACGTTTGCTTTTGATCTAAATTAATTTATGCTCTATCATCTGATAAGTGATTTCATATTTTCAAGAAGTGAAATTGACTAGTGATCTAATAGCCATTCCAGGACAGGTGAATTCATCCTGATCGAAGGGGCCGAAACATGTGATCGCCTCAGCCAGAATACATTTGCAATTTGAAGGTCATGCATCAGTTTAGTCAAACATATGCGATTAACCCTTTGTAAATAACTATTGCCATCGTTGGAAGTTGGGCTGGACAGCACTAAAGCGATAACAAAGCGGTAAGCAATAATAGGTGTAAAATCTCATCCCCATGACACCACCTTAAACCTCATCCTTTTCACATGACTCAGATTTTGGATCAGTGTTTTACGGCTAGCAATGGACATACGAGATGGGCAGTACATTCACCCTTTCTCCTACTATAGTTCCCAAATTAGGCGGGAATCCAGATTCAGTGAAATTGCCAAGAGGGATCTGTGATGCTGTAGTAAAATATCTTCTCCGCTGCACACACATTCGCTGGTTAACGTTGTTTATTTGTAAAAATTTTGGCTTTTAAAGCACCGACGACGCACCGTCGTAATATTCGATGCAGGGGGTTGATTAAGGAGATCGCCGGGGACGCCACTCAAAAGGCGCGAGGCGCTACGTAATAATTTGATTGGTTGTTTAACTCTTAATTTATGTAATGTGGACACTTTAGGCTCCACCATTGTACTTTTACCAGGCAGCCTGCTCTAGGACCATGGCAGTAGCTCTCAGGCTCTTCTGTAGGTCAGCAATATACATTCCGGCCTATTTTTTTCTTCCGACATCATGCAAGTCTCGTTCCACTGCATCTGTAGTGTTATCAGCTTCTCCACAAATGCACTAGCATGAAGATACTCTGGTTAACCTTGGTTCCAAAAAATAAAGTTGCATGAAGAAATTTCCTTAGTCTTGGTTAACTTACTTGTTGATGGCCTGTGCAGGTCAGCGCATCTGATTGTCAGCAAGCAGCTTTGTTACGATTATAGTTTCATGGGGTGTGGAATCTTCACCCAAAATGTTTTTGTTCTTTCCTCATGACATTACTCCCTCTGGGACAGGGATGGATTATGCCAGTAAGGCATTTCACTACACCACAGAGATCCATGCACTAACTGCACCAGCATTCTGTCTAATCACTCTGCTACATCGGTGACTTGACCTTTGTGAACGACCCCGCGTCAAAGTTCAAACCTAGCCCCATGGACAGGTTAAAAAAGTGGAACAGCACTGACCACCAGTAAGGCCATCGTACATGGGCACATTATGGGACTTTTAACCCTTTCATTTTTCCAATCACCCCTTTCAACTTAGGTGGAGCGCAAGCTATAAACCCAGCCTCACCGCAGCCTCTGATACATAAAACGTGACAGATAATTAGGTGGGTTATATTGCGGGAGCAGGGGGTTGATCTTAAACAGAGAGACCTTAGATCATTTCATCCACATGTCGAGATACTAATTTGGAAGGATAATTAAGCACTCCAATACCAGAGCTCGGTTAAGCACTGCAAACACTATTGTTCAAAAGGGAGTTTTCAACATTCACAGTGAAAATATTTTTCAGCCTCGCTTAGGTTTTTATTTCCAGAGGTAGCTGAAGCGCCTCAAGACTTTGCTTAAGACGATTGAGGATATAATACTCTAGCAGGATATGTATTGTCGACCTACAGGAAAGCTTGAGGGCCACTTGCATGGCTCGGAGGCCAGACCGCCCGATGGAGGCACAGTGGAGGAGCCTTAATTGACCCATTACTTTCCCTTGCTCTCATACCGGATTGTAAGCTTCCTCTTCGGAAAGGTGAGACCACAATGACGTGTTATTAGTACACGCCTCACAGATAGTGGCCAAAGTCCCCTAGAACTAGACAAAATTAGTTAGCTGAGGCTACCAGCACATTTTGCACGGTCTCTCTGCGTTTCACCACGCATTAATTTGCACGCCCGGCCAGAACTCTTTCTTCCCCTCTGTACCCCTCCCTCCATCAGCCCCATCTCAAAACATGTAAATGAATTGACACCACAGCGGTCCACGTAATGGGCGTTTCGTGGGGAGGAGAGAGGCGAGGTGTGTGGATGTGGGTTTTGTAGTTGATAGCTTGCCTGTTACCCTTTACGGAATTTAGGCACTGTTGCATTAATTGTGGATTTGCATAGCCCGAGGGCAGGAGTTATTCACGTTGGCCTAAACACAGCACGAAGTGCAGGTACGACTATAGTGAAGCTACTTCAGGACGGATATACCCTGTGAAGGACTCAAAGCAACGGAGGCGCCAAGCCGCATTCTGTAATCAACAGTCGGAGTTGAAGTTCGGTTCCAAAGTGAGGCTGAAGCAAAACAGAAGGCTGGCCAGCCAGGCTACTTTTGCTAGTGGGGCAAACACGTAATTAGGGTGAGAGGAAGGGTAACGGAAATGATGGTGATTTTAGTTTGGATTATCACTGTAGCAGATGGTCTTCTGCAGTCGTCTTTTACTTCGTCGACGAGGTAGGGAGAGAGGGACTACTCAACCTTATGGCACTGTGCAGCGGAAACTGAAACACCCCATCAAAATGATAATGCGGGTGGTGTGAATTTTATTGAGCCTCACTTTATGTGTATTCACCTTCGAGGGAGTTATGGACTTAAACACTTCACTACACGGCTTAATTTAAAATTAACAACCTTCCATCTTCAGGTAAATGTTCATTCCCAAATTGTCCAAGTTATGAAAGCGAATTGACCGTTTGATCGTGTGAGAACCGAGGTTCTTGCGGGGTCTCATTTCGAGTTCACTGGAGTAATGTTATTTTTAAAAACAACACTGAAGGAGGGGAATGCGGAGTTAGCTTATCCGGTGAAGGTGAAGGGGGAAATGGGATGAGGGTTCGTGTTTGGACAAGTAAGTATGAATTGGTTGTCCGAGCGAAAACGGTTATGTCTACAAGCGGATCCGCTAATCCTTTTAAACTTCCACTTAATCGCTTGAGATTTAAAGTACTCTTTTGTTTACAACCGAGGTCTATGCAGCAGAAGATTAAATGTGGAAGGAATTACTTCAGACCTAAACTCTTCTCCCTGCCATGATATTTGATGGTACTAAATGTCTGTTAAATTAGCTTGAATGGCTTTTTTGCTCCATTTTGACGTCTGCAAGTGGGGTACCTACCTTTGCGCCTTATCTGATAACACTCGTAATTTTACCGAGTAAAAAACACCTCCAATTTAATTCCATTTGTCTTAGCTCCACGCCTCTCATCGTGGAAACAGTTAAATGGTAATCAAACGCCCCCTCTCCCGTCCCTGCTTCCTCCCCTTGAAGCAGCCTTCCGTGTCCAATGAAGGGTGCATCTCATTAGTATAGCGCCACCCAAGGTTGGCTCCAGTCGCTTATTCAGCCTTTCCCTCCCTTCGCTAAAACGGCACTTCGCCTCACCTGTTGTGTCCCCCCCCCCCCGAGGTGGCACTGCGTTGGATGGAACGGAGGCCCTTGAACCTATGCAAATGCGCGCCGGGAGTATGCAAATAGGCTGCAGGCGGGGAGAGAGGCGAGGACTCACGATGAGGGGACGGGGACGTGGGAGGGAGGAGAGTAACGTGTGAAGTAAATATATTCAAGTTTTGAGCCAATGCAATTAGGAATGGAGGTGTAGAGAGATGGAGATTGCGGGTAGAGCTACGTATACGTTGAGACGCCTCGAATGTGTATCTGTGCAAAATTTTTTTCATCCACATCCCCCTCATCTTCGTAGTTCCAAGCTTATCGAGATTTTAAGGACCCAGCCTTTCCATTATCTCTACTTAGAAATCAATGGCGTCATTGCTTCGTAAAGTGGTGGTGGTGCCTTTAAAATACTGACTAATATTGTTGATGTCAATCATCTGAAGAATTGATAGACTAATGAATGAAGCGTGTTAAGATATGTACTTGGAGTAAAAATGATTGCTAGCTTTCGAGAGGTACTGTTCCATACGCGAGTTTGGTGAAAAAAAATTGTTATTTAAACATAAAGATTAGATTGATGAGGGGAAGGAGAAATTGGTTCTAACTCACTGTATCAAGTGCAGTTATTCGTTTGAATAATTTGATTACTAAGGAATTTGTCCGTAGTTTGCCTTATTTTTTTCCTGTAAGATTGTATGTGCATCTTTTTTCATTAGCGCTCAATTAATTTTAATGGTAGGACGAATGGATGGAAGATACAAAATGTGCGGAGATTTCTTCACTGGTGCATCCCCATGAAACACCTTCCAGGTGCCCCCTTCAATGGAACCCTTAAATGCATTCAGTAAATTGAGGGAACAAACACCCACCTTTTCTCCAGAAAGTCAAACGCAAAATTAATCAAGTAACCCAGGTATTCGAATAAAACTAAACCGTGTACAATTTTCTCCATTCAATATCTGAACGTTTCCATTTTTAAATGATCTGTCATCATTTACTGAATAATTACTGTTGTAAGGGTGCTTGGGTTTGATTCGGCACCGAACGCTTGGTTTTCTATCTGATGTTCCATCAAAAACGCCAATTCCTCCAATTTTCTGGGCTTTGTCAACTCGCTTTATAAGTTACAAATCCTAAAACGAGTTTTACCAGTAACGACAAGTAGGTTTGCATGAGAAGTGGGTGCCTCAAGTACGAAAATTAGAAGTAAATAAGTGGTTTACAGAAAAACTGCTTTGCAGGACCATCTAAGCTACTATTTGATCAAAATTGTCCACCACGCTGTAGCGCTTCGGGACTTTTTGAAGACGAGAGAAAACGGACTGGATATGAGTAGTCGACCTACCGGCTTGGTTTGGAAGGCCAGACCGCCTAGCAAATGTACAGTGGGGAACTTTCAAGCAGTCCGCTTCTTAAACTGAGTCTACAACAAACAATTGAAGCATTATCTAACTCCTCTCCTTTTGACTATCGTGCCCAGTGTTCCCTTTAATCAAACTCCTGCGTCTGTCATCACACCGTAGTTGGTGCTGTAAATAAAAAACAACCACAAAATCAACCGCACCAGTCATCGGATTTGCGTGCAACTAAGAAGGCGTGATCACAACGTCACTGATCCCCCTTGACATTTTTACTAAATCTAGAGTTTCGTCCGGCGTATAAACGTTAGTGAAGGAAAGTGGAATGTGCTGTTTATCTCGTATGTCCACTGCTAGTCGTAAGAGCACTGGCAGAAAAGCAGGGTTATTTAATAGAAGACAGGGCATAAAGCAGTTTTGTGGGGATGGGTTCTCTTCCCTACCCCTCCTTGCCACATCGTTCTCACTTCATTGCTGCTCAATCATGTATATCTCGGTTTTATTCAGCTAGTAGAGAACTGGAGGAGATATCGCGCGTTTACTTAATTATCATCTTCCTACAAATACTGCAGGCAGCTCCGTAACGAACTTTTTTGATTGTTGATTGCTAGTATCGCTTCCGTTGCTACTAGCCTTCTTGCAGATTACGAGACTGGTGTAGTTGATGAAGGTTGACATCAAACATCAGCCCTTCTATTAGCATTTGGGAGCAGATATTAAGGTAGCCCTCCATCAGAATCAGGTTCGCTTTTCAATACCACCGGTGTAGCTCTCCCAGACATCCCTGAATACAGAAGAGAACGCAATACTTGAGTGGAATATGCACTACTGACCTACAGTAGGGCTTAGAGTCTACCTACGTGGCCCATAGGCCAAACCGCTCGGTAAATGCATGAATGCAGAGCCATCAAGCGGTACGTCATCAAAACCTACAGATAAACAAACAAACGAACAAACAAACAAACGAAAGATTAATTATTCTAAAAATCAAAGCCAAACGAATGCTATAAAGTTGACTGAAACTTGGGGGCTTGTCCTTCTCACTGGGTCATCAGTAGCAGATATTCACATTTCGAAATCTATTTCGTCAACCATGCGTTAAAGGCTTAACGAGCCACATGTCGCGTTCAAGTAGGTGTCCAAAATATAGTTTCTCAGACCTCCCTTGATGGGTGGAGAGCACTTCCCTCTCAGCGAGCTGTTGGCTCTATCAAAACTAAGAAATACGCCTTAATTGTCATAAGGCCAAAAAGTACTATTTAGGGGTTCGCATTAAAGTCCTTATATGCGGTTCCCCTTCCCTTTCCCACGAATAGAAACCGCTACACGGCAGAGTTAACTTATTTCTCCTTAGTATTTTAGGGATATAATCTCAAGCTCAATTGTCTTATACTTAACCTTATAAAGCATGGTATATTAAATGCAGGCAATGAAGTTTTAACACGTCAAATGTCTGAAATCCCCCGGCGAATCTCAGCTGCAGAGCATGCTAAGGAGGTAAGCGCTATGTTGTTCCAGGTCACTTTCGTTCACAAACAGCAGTGTTTATTTCGACGAAGTGCCCGAAAGGCCCCTCTCATCCCCCTTTATCCACGTGGCTGTGTGGAGAACTTTGCGATTCCCAGACGCACCTGATTGGGACTCCCCACTTCTGCCCCGCCTCATTCACCGTGATCCACTATGATCACCCCTCATAACAAAGTAAACGTGCGTTAATAATCGTCACAAAACAATTTTATTGTATTCCAATAGAAAAATTCAGCGTGATCAGAGGTACATGAATCTCTGTGCATACAAAAGAGTTTTGTTTGAAGGAATAATATTTGGGGATTGCAAAAAAAGCAAAAAATAGTGCATGGAAATGAAATAGAAAAATAGAAGAGTACTTAACGCCTTTCTTATTCCTATTCCCGTCTTTACCCATGATTGTGACCTAAGCCATCCCCTACCAGGAAATGAGTCTATCTAAGCCTAAACCCAACCGAATCTCCTCAAGAAAATCAGCGTTTCGGTGTAGAAGTTGCATCGATGTCGATTATCCACATTCGTACTGGTGGTGGTGGCGGTTCCTGCGGTCTGATGGAGTAGAAACTGCTCCCATAGCCACTATCCAGAGTTGTGCTTGCATAGTGAAGTGACTGTAACGATCCCTCTGTTGAAGGTTCGTCAATCCTAGCTGGAAATATCGGTGAAAGCCGCTCTTCTTCCCCTTTTATTTGTTCTTGCTGTTGGTATTGATGTCCTGACGGTATTGCCGTGACACTATCACTCCCCAAGTCTGTGCCCACTACCCCACTGTCTGCTACTTCTGGTGCTACTTCCTCGTGAAGAACCCGGTCCAAGTGTTCTATGTACCAAATTGCTTTTTTTAAAGTAGAGATCTTACTCAGATGCTCACCCTCGCGTTTCGGCACAACTGCTCTGAGTCGATCAAAGCCTAAGTTGAGTAGGTGAACCCTATTGCGTTCGCGCTCGTTCCTCCGCGAGAGCATATTTGGTGCCTTTTGAGTCTTCTTCCACTTTTTGTTTGGAACTCCCACTTCTGTCCTTCTTAGCATTTGCCTGTTCTCTTTGTCTTCTCCGTCTACAGGATAACGTGGGACATTCGAACGAAGATAAGGAGAAGAAGAGAGAGAAGATGAAGACGTTGGTGTTGATGAGGTCTTCGGGTGCCAAGGTCGCAATGGCATAGTAGCAGTAATTTTAGCAGCAGTGGGGCAGTGGGCACAGATATCAAGCAGCTTGGGGTTGGATTTGCAAGTGTAAAACGTTACATTACGGAATAGCGATATTTATAGGGGGTGCACTTGCATTTGTCCGAACACGCGCATGCATTCCCATATTGGATACAGGATTGGTTAAACGGCCGAAATAGTGAACCAATGGGGGACGGGCACGTGCCTTGTCGCATTTGCGCATATTAACCAATGACGATTAGGCGGGGAGCTGGACCACTTTTCCACTTTCGGTTTATTACAAATTGCCGATTAGTGCCGGTAAGTGAACATCCAAATAACTTAGAACTGCCTCAAGAATAACTGAAGTGATAAAAAAGTAGCAGAGAATCAGACTATCTCAGCGGCGATAATTCTTTACCCTTTAATTATTCCACAAGCGGCGAATTGCTTAAATACGATTGATTGAGTGCTTCGCAGATTAATGGTCTATGGAGGCACTTTTGAGAATATATTATAGTCGGAATCCTTGGTAGTGCTTAGAAGCAAATTAAAGTCACTACATTACATTATAGATGACCTGAGAAGTGTCCAAACCCTTCAGCACAGAGGTGAAATTGCAAGATATTGGCTAGGCTGACTGAAGAACGTCCTAATTTTAACATGAAGATGTGAATAAGACTAATGGCGGCTAATATAGTATTTTTGTTAATACCGTTGAGATTCTTTTATAGAGCTTGGAGATCCGATTCCCTCAAATGAAGCCTCTGGGGATCTACTACCGTAACATTGTCCAGTCGCAGGAGATCTAAGAGACCTGCCGTATTTTACATTCTACTGGCTTGCTAGGTCATTTAGTATTTAAGATTGATACTTTACAATGTAAATCCGGTCGGTAGTACTCTGATGCTACTTGTATGTCAATAGATAGAAATAGAAGACTGTTGTCGGAGTGGGTTAATTTGTTTGGTGGAAAATGGGTCTGGCCGGTGACTAACTCCCCTCCAGGTCTAGTAAAGCCAACCGCATCACTCGTCCTGACAACGGTAACCCGATATTGCCCTACAGGAGGAGGGTTTTGAGAGGGGGGAGATAAGCTCATTTTAGTAAGCCTTTCCCCACAACCTGTTACCATGCTCATGAAAAATTGACATGAATTTATGCTGGTATCGTTAGAGCCGCTGTTTGGTTTTCATTACTTCTCTTGTCCCGATAAAAACAGTTCGATTTTACCACGTGATAGTGTACGTTCTCTGTCTGGAATTTCGTTAATAGTGATACTGTAATTAGTGTCTATTTTCTATCAATTAGATGAAGTGAATGCTAAACATTTGATCAGCGGAAGAAGGACATACGCTGAGGATAAGAGAGTCTGTGACTACTCCTGATGAAAGGGTTGACAATGAAGTCTATCTTTGCAAAGATTCCACCCCCATGTTCTGTAGGAAAGCTATTAAGGACTGAAGCGATACCATTCGCGGGCTGTCTGGAGAGGTTTGTTATGTAAATAGGCAATGGCTCCTTCGCCTTTCTACTAGCTGAAGTAAATACAGATAGATATGGATGGGCTGCAATGAAGTAAGAAAAAAGTGCCAAATTGGGGCAGACTAGAAGCCATATCGCCAAAAAACTATTCTAAGCTCCTTCGTTTATTTAATGACTGCTTTTGGGGCAGTGTTCCTATGACCAGCATGGACATACGTGATGGCCAACACATTCCTCCCTTCTCATTCCCTCTCCCTCCACCTAACACAGATCCCAAACCGGCCAAAACTTCAGATCCAGTGGAAATGCCAAGAGGGGTCAGCAACTTTGCGGCCAGATATTTATTGAGCTCCATGCAAACCTGATGACTGGTGCGTCTGATTTGTAGGCGGGCCGACCCTCAAATGGACAGGAGGAATATGTGATAATTTATTGTTTGTTCCATTCTTCGTTTTGTTTTCGATCGCACCAAAGGCTCCGCCACTGTGCTCCTGTTTAAGGGCATATCCTTTCGCCCATATTTAAAATACACAAATGTTAGGAGCCAAAGATTGCTCCAGATACTCAAAGATTTGATACTAGAACTGTAGGTACGGAAGTCTAGCTACACCATAGTTCAGGTTAAGAAAACTGTCCTTTGAATTGAAATTGATAGTCCCATTTGTGAACCCTTCCCCGGTACGTTTGGCTATTGCACCTTAAGTGCCGTTGGTTTGGCAATGGTGGAATGTACCAGCGACAGCTGCGGCCTGAAGTGTTTACTTTAAATTCACAGATCATGCTGTAGATCATAGCACTTTAGTTCTACTCATGTCACGTCTGCAATTTGTTGCTTAGCCAATTTACTACTATTTACTATTTCCATTTCTGAGGTATCCTCTACGTCCCTGCAGCTTACATTCTAAATTCTTCCAAGTGAAACCGCATGGCAAACAACTATGCTCCTCCCACCCCCAACTTTTGGCTCAGCAACCAGGAGAGATGCGGGTGGGCTCACCGACTGCATTGACAGCCACGACACAGCACGCCTCAACGCGGAACAATCACCCGCATTACACACTCCCTAGGTGGGATACAGTCAAGACGCGCTACCGGTCGACCGCCCGTATGCATCCGGGAGACAGGGATAGACTGTTGTCGGTGTGTACGTACTTGCGCCGCACACCTGTGTGAGCCCGAGTCCCACCCTGATGTGAATACATGTATCCCTAGAGTGCCACGTGCGGTCAGCAAGTTTTCTGCCTTGTGGTTTATGAAATTCGCATTAAAAAATGAGCTTGAACTATGCATTTCTTAATCCATTTGAAAAATTCGGTAACTTCTTTATCCCAAATGGAGCTAGACTCCAAGCGCCAGTGTGCTTCGTGTGACTCAAATTTTATCAAAGGTTCACCACAAATGCGTCGGTTCTCCAAACGCGCTTCGTTGTACCACTTAGTTGAGTCAATACAACTCGGTCACTAAAAGGAAGCGAAGAAATGTATGTTACGAACAAATGTTTGAGCAAATAGGGGTCTCTACCATTTCATACCCTGCGTGACCATCCATCACACATCCACTGACGGAGCCTGTCAGATCTTCTATCGCAAACTCAGCGTGCGTTTTCTACAGATAAGACAAAACTCAACAGACGGTGTATCGGGTGTTTTTTGGGAGACGACTGTACGTGCGTGCGTGTATTTGGGGTAACAGATGGGTGGAGAGAGGGGAGATTAGTCAGACTCTCTTTCCCCCACCCCCTTTCTCTCCAATCATCAGGATTATGATGAGCACCCGGCGCACACATACACGCTTCTGGACTCACGTGGCCAACGCTGGCAGTCTTCACGCTGTCAACAGTAGTGGCAAGAGCAGCGGGTGGAAGGGAAAGCGGAGTTAGGGGAGAGTCGCGTTTCACTTGGGTTTTTTAGAAGCCTATTTCGTGTGTTCCAATTGATCAGTATTAGTGCATCTGTCCTTCTAGAAGTCTATTTCTAATGTAGATCGCAGTTGCTTGGATAGTGAAAGCTAATGTTGGGAAAACGGTTTCAAATAGGTGGGATGATACACGAGACGCAAAAACAGCACCCAGACTCCGACGATTGCCCTTGCTATTAGCGGTCGCTGAACAGGAAATCCCGGGACTGATCTGCATCGGTGGTTGAGCCAAACTTGAATATGCTGGAGAAGTTTGACGAGTGTAAACGATCTACAAGCATTGGCAAGACTAAGGAGGCATCATTGTTTGTACGGCTGATTCCAATATCAACAGTGAAATATGAAATATCAACGCGATCGTAAAATCCTCTTTTTTTTGTTTACGAAGTGTCATGGCTGCAATCCGCGAATATTTATCCTTAAAAAAAAGTTGTGGGGAATTCCCTGTAACGCACTACCCTTCACCACTTCTTATCCAACGCTATTTCAAACAATCATTTTCATCAACCCTTGCAAGCATTAAGACAAGGGAAAGGGACAACGGAGCTTTGGTTTGTAGAAAACTTGCTGCATTAACAGCGATAATTTGGGCATATTTTTTCCATTTGGAGGTCTAAAACTTATAAATTCCTTACAATTAATTTCACTTAAGTTGTTATTTAGCCCTCCGTGGCTATCAACTGCGTTTGAGCGTATCAATCTATCTTCTCCGTGGATCTCATACTGGAACACTGCAAGAGGGAGGGGGGAGAGAGGAATCTGTCTCCTTTCCCCATTCACTTCCATCTGGACCCACGTGTCTTCTGGAGTGGACTAATGGGGGGGAGGGTGAGGGGGGTAAGGGGAACGGTAGGAAAGGGGGGCGAATGGGTCAGAAAAAGGCCCACATCTGTCGCTGTGACAGAAGGCAACTCAGGCGTACCCAAACAATCACTCGACTCAGTGGAGTTTTCCACCACTTGTGCCCATTGTAGTGGAAAATGGAAAGATTAGAGGATATTTCAAAGTGAAGGAGTGTTGATGCATTGAATTTTATTTGGAGTGTCCAGAACATTTGGAAGGAAACCTAATAATTTATTTAGGGAATTAAATGGAGGACGGTGATATGAAGCATTTGGAGAGAAGTGGGAGCAGTTGGGAGATTACCTCTTGATGAGGGTACAAACGTAATGCTTTGGTAGATTGTTTAATCCTGTGTTTGACTGTGCAGTAGCTTAAGCCTCCGTAGATTTTACGGAGCCGCTCAGCTCCGTAGCCTAAGTTTAATGTTTCGTTTGATCTTGAAGTCCTGAAGTGGCATTATTTGCGAAAATGAAGAGCTGCAATCTGATCATTTATGCCCCACTTATAAGGAAAGTAATTTCAACATCCAAAATCAAAATCAATTTCATAAATGGACGGTTTTTCGCGCCTCGTCGATGAAGCAGTATTTGAGTCTTAAATGAGATCAAGACCTAAAGTAATTGTGGTGAACCCACATCTACTTGTAATACCTTAGTTGATTGTGTATCTCTCGGTTTCGGAAAGGGGACTTCCGGCCATGCCAATACCCCTTAAGCCCTTCTTTACGTCGGTAATACATTTTCTGCCCGAGCATAGTGTCTTTATTTGTCTTTAGGGAAATCTTGGGGCACTACTTTAGTGGCAGAGCAAAGCGAACCCGATTTAAGAGGCCAATATCCCAACTTTTACTACTAAGTGATAGACCTTAGTGTAGGGGGAAGAAGCGTATATGCTGCGGACAGGATAAGCGGTGATGTTCGTTAACAGAAGGGCCAAGAGTGACGTCAGCTTTTGGCAATACCACAGTCCGTTGTTCTTCGGGAAAGCCCTTAACAAGTGAAACGGCATTAAAGGTGGTCGTGATCCATCTTGGAAAGTTCGTTACGGAGCTGTCAACGGTATCTACATGAAGACATCAATTAAGCGAACTTGCGACACTTCCACCACCTCCACGTCTCTAATAGCTGGATAGAGATCAGATATAAGTGATTGGGCAGCACTGAAGTGAGAAAAAAGTAGCAAGGAGGAACAGGCACAAAGCCCCACTCCTACGGAACTGACAGGTCCCGTGTTTTGTTATTTGCCTCTACTATTAGGGCAATATTCCTATGACTAACGGTGGGCATAAGAGATGGCCATAACATTCGCCCTTCACCCAATAGTTTCGTTGTCAAACAAAACTTTTGATCGAGTGGGATTTTTTAAGAGTATCCTCACAGTAGCAGGGAAATTCAATGACTGGCGTGATTGGATCCCCCCTTTATCTGACAGCACGGTTTACACTGTGACGACTTAGGTTGGAGCTGACCAAAGGAAGTAATCGAAAGTGGAGAGCAGCAACGCAATACGCTGGTGGTTGGTTTAACTCTTAATTTTAACAAAAAGCCTCTTGGATGCTTTGCTATTGTACACACGCTGGGTGACATGGCCTCATGGTTAAGCCGGTGACACCCGAGTTAATAATGATGTCTAATGTATATGTAATACTTATGTTGTTTTAATGTTCCTTTCCGACAAATCGAATCTTATAACGGAGGCGTCACCGTCCCGTAACCTGGAGTGCGGTTCCATGTTAGCACCGCCCAAAACTTGTACTTACTTCCCCCATTTACGTGTCCTAACAAACATGTCGAAGTCGAATCAACCTGAGTGTTCTAAGAGCACGAGGACCAGAAAAGAGGAAATCTAGAAGCCTTGTCCTGCCTATACGTATGTAAATATTCTGCCCTAGCATCATGTCTCCTTTCGTCGTCTGGCAAGTCTCGGGAATCTTCACAGCCAATCGGATAAGGTCAAAAAATTTTCAAAAATTACTTAGAACATTCAAAATAGGTGACCCGAATGATTTCCGAAGGTTATAAATATGATATAGCGAAAACCAATTTTGAAGTATTTGAGACTCAAAACGTATTTATCTGCAGGCAACGGTTTAAAAATGATGCGTTTTAAGTAAAAGTAAATAAGAATTTCGTCTTAGGTCTGAAAACTCAACTTTTGTACTGAACCCACAATCGAGCTAAAGGAACTACTAAAATATATATAAGCTTAATAACATAAGTTCAAAAGTGATAAAGCACAATAATGTTGCTGGTAGCCCTGGGTGAACCGATACATATCTTAGTATATTAGTTTGCACAATCACGTAGTTATTGCACATTGCAGCAATGCAATTGAAGCTCTAAGTGCCTATATTTTGTTTCGCATTATAAGTATTTACAACCATAAGTTAACTACATCCCACTCAGTTAACCATAATGAGTGGAGGATTTTACAGCCAATAGAAACTAAGAATATTTGTGTATTTAGGTCACCAGTGTTTGTACTTTGTAAGCCCATCTGGAAATGACAAAAAGGGATGGATCATCAAAGAAAGTAGATAGGAAAAGATCCGCAAAATCGGAGTTGCTAACCCCAAAGAAACCAAAGATTGAGGAACTATTGAAGCAATGGGTAAAACCATCACTTGGTTGTCATCGTACTCTTTGCAAATAGCAGTTACACATGAGATGAACGAAACCACATTTTTTGGCATAGTTCACCTGGTTGTGTCTCAGAGTTGTGTCGACTACTCGTAGCACTTTAAAAAGACTTTTTACATACTGTTTGTCAGAGGTGAACATCAAGTGGTCTTCTGTTTACCATGACAAGTCCTTGTCAGTAATCACAACTAGCGCCACACACCGGCAAGACTGATTTGGTGACTATTTTAGGTTATATTCTGACTTATTCTTTTACAAATGCTGAGGGTGCTATTGTATACTTGTTTGTCATTGTTTCGCACAACCCCAAGATAGATTTGCATCGTGGTATGAGGCTGTAAATGATGCGCATTCTATTTTTTAGCTTTATTGGATGTCTTTCACGTTTTTTTAGGATGAACTTGATGAACAGGAAGAGAAAAAGCTGCTTGAAACAAAAGACGACCCTACAGGGGTGGATCAAAGTCGATCTTGCCCCTACCTGGACACTATCAATCGAAACATGCTTGACTTCGACTTTGAAAAGCTGTGCAGTATCTCCCTCAGCCATCTGAACGTTTACGCATGTCTAGTTTGCGGCAAATACTTCCAGGTAGGCTCTTTATACGACAATTTTACTCATGCTCTAATTGGTCGCATTCACTAAAAATTTGTTGCACTTTCTTTTCAGGGGCGTGGTTCCAACACACATGCCCATACTCACAGTGTGAATGAAAATCACCATGTATTTTTAAATCTGGAGACGCACCGTTTCTACTGCCTGCCAGATAACTATGAAATAGTGGATGGATCACTGGAAGATATTACCTATCTTCTGAATCCTATCTTTCAGAAAGATGACATCACGAAGCTTGATACAAATGCCAGTATGGTGCGAGCTTACAATGGCCTAACATACTACCCCGGATTTGTGGGCTTGAATAACATCAAGGTGAAATTCTTTATTCTACACCTGAAGAACAATTTAAATGCTAGTCTACAAGGAGCGAAATGCATGACTAAATGGTCCCCTTTTAGGCTAATGACTACTGCAACGTGATTCTGCAGTTATTGAGCCACATCAGTCTTCTTCGTGATTTCTTCCTGCGACCGGAAAACTACCAAGAACAAATTAAAAGAGCCTCCGCTGGAGACCACATGACCCTTCTTGTTCACAGGTTCGGTGAACTCATCCGCAAACTGTGGAATCCCCGGAATTTTAAGACGCACGTTTCTCCTCATGAGTTTCTACAGGTACGTCATCCACGCTTGGATGAAGGCATCCCTCATTACTGCTGAGCTGTCGCTCTATCACGTATTAGTCTTCTACCACCCATTGATTTGTAAATAGCTTTGCTAATTTGTCATCAACCTGGTCAGAATGCCTACGCGCAAGTCCTATTACACTCACTATCGGGGATTCGGAGAAAGTGTAGTTGTCCCTAGACCACGATTGCTCCCCATCTGCATTATTTTTTTTTCAAAATCAACTAACCCGTTTGTGTCTCCTAAATGTGATGCTGGTGAGGAACGCGTCAATTCTATGCGATAAAAGCTAAACGAGTGCTGTTATAGGCGATGCCTTCAATCCTAGGCGGTGGTCCTGTGCAGCAAGAAACGCTTCCAATTTACGGAACAGGGCGACGCATTGGAATTCCTCTCGTGGCTTCTAAATGCCCTTGATCAGACCTTAAGGCCCGTGTCTAAGGGTCAGCCCGTGAAACCGACCATAATTGGGAGAGCCCTGCGAGGTCGCATGGTCATTCACAGCCAAAAAGTGACACCGGTCAACATCACGCCAGAGCAAGCGGAGCAATATGCCACTGATCCAGAATACATGGTAGGTGAATGAGTGGGATCTCGGTCGTTACTTGGGTGTTATAATTATAAATGCATAATTGTTTGCATTTGTATCTATATCAATGATATCCTTTAGCATACAACCACCAGAAGACTGCCTTCAACTTACCGACAGTCTGTAAAGGCCATAAGGTGTGGTTCTCCTATTTGTATAGCACTACCAAAGTGATTTATTTTCATCTCCTATTCGAGGGTATTCACTACTCATCGTCTCAACCTCACATTTATCGCAACTGGAACAGAATACGTGTACTCTGGATAGACAAACAAACCGCTATCTTTATGCTTGATATTTTCTATCCAGCATCAGGCTTCATTTGTAAGCTTACACACAAGAATTGACTCTATTTATACCTGCACCCAAGCCAACGTTCCCTTTTCTGAGGGCTTGTGCTTGATGTTTTCGCCATTTAACAGCCGCGGATGACGGAGTCGCCCTTCCTCTACCTCACCTGCGACTTGCCACCTCCACCTCTATATCTGGACGAGTTCAAGGAGAGCATCATTCCTCAAGTTCCACTCTCTACCCTTCTGGCCAAATTTAACGGAGTCATGGAGAAGGAGTACAAGACGCACTGCGACTCCACCATGCGTCGCTTCTGCCTCAAACGCCTCCCGCCCTATCTCATTCTCTTCATGAAACGCATCGTAAAGAACATCTTTACGCTGGAGAAGAACCCTACCATCGTCAATTTTCCCATCAAGAGCATCGATTTTGGTGAGCTGCTCGATCAAGAAGCACGTGCCCAACACAAGTGAGTGTTCAAGCATGGTTGACTTGATTACTGAGTTGAGGAGTAATACTGCGCATATGGTTTTAGTGCTGATGCATGCCTCATGCAGCAACAAAAAACCAATCATTACAGTATCTCCGCCTTGTCATTGTTAACCAAGATTTGAATATATTTTTAAACTGCTGTGGCGCACGACGCGACAGTAAGACTGAGTTGATGTGTTCTGTAACAGGAAAGCTACACCACGGATAGTTTTGAACGTGCACACATCTCGTGTGCCATATTCATACCAAAAAAATAAAACAAACATTAGCAGGCCTCCGGTTTAACACTTGACTTTGTCCTTGTTCCAAAAATATGCCTCAACGGCAATGGAAAGGTCGGGGTATTGCTTTACTAGCTCACAAAATCCCACTTTTACTGGACGAACAAATGCCCTTTAAATTTATGCAATGTGACGATGATGCGATACCTTTCAAAACCACTTAAGCCATAATAAAGCTCTAGTGTTTTTTGGTCGATCTAGGCATTGGTTTCCAAGACTATTGGTTATGGCAATACCTAAAACAAATGAATGGTGAATTATGCTAATGAGTTGCTCTTCAGGTACACCATCTACGATTTGGTGGCCAATGTGGTTCACGACGGTCCACCCACCCCAGGCGCAGGCACTCACCGAATTTTCGTGCTGCAACGCGGCACGGGCAAGTGGTTTGAAATGCAGGACCTCCACGTGAATGAAGTCCTTCCGCAGATGATTCCTCTCAGCGAATCCCTTATTCAGGTGAGGCTGTCCTTCCGTTGTTGGACATATCTGACAAGATGGCACGATTCCTTTGGGGCATGTCGGTTCACATTTGGCCGCTAGAGGCGTAGGTGATGGCTGGTGTACAGAACTAAATCCCATTCACGAATATGCGCTTTAATTTGACAAATGAGTTATTTCTCATGCCTTGTAGGTTTGGGCGGTGAACAAGACTATTCCAAATCCATTTTACAAAGATAAGAAAACAAAAAAGACTGATGAAAAGGCTACCGACGAAAATGGGAATCAAAAGGAAGCTGGGGAAGAGGCCTGAGGTGTACAGTAATAATAAAGCATATTCCCAAATGTTTAATTTTTATCTGCAAAACCGAGTATTCGCCACACCAACAGGTGCCTTGTCACTGACCCTAATTGCCCCCATTGCTGATTCATTTGGACATTTTTGAAACCCATGGAAGTTCCAAACTTTTCGCTTTTGTACGATTGGAAAAGTTGAATTTCGCCGACTAAAGTCACTTTGAGAAATGCACGAGTGAGCAAAGTTGTTCCGTCCTTAGTTGATGTAAAATCACCCAGTCAACACAAAAGGTGCGGTGTGGGTTCATTCAACCAGATCAAGTCCTACCCACCCAGGTGGTGAGGAGTTTTTATCCACAGCGCAAATACAATTCCATCGAAGGTGGAGATCGGAGTATCGCGATAGTCTACCTTAACTATTCGAGTGTACCCTAAAACGACCGGGACAAGCTACCGAGTTATTTACAAGGAAGGAATTCAAAGAAGTTACAACCAATTTCCCCTTAAATGTAGGTCGATCTACATGCAGGAAAGCACTATTCTTTGAGAACGAAGTAACAGGGACACGAAGCTATGAGTGGGAATACCGATGGGCAAGTGCAGCAATTGGATTAGGCAGTACACCCACCCACCAGCACGTCAAATTGCACCTAGTATCGCAACTTTAAAATGTACCAGAAGTGAGGAAGTTTTTAGTCTGCGAAAACATAAAAAGAGGATAAAGGAGGCAATCTCCCGTTAGAAATCTGCAAACTCAGCACAAAACACATTTACTGCCAAATGTATTGATTAGATGCTTTACTTGGGATGGGGCAGGTTTACATACTAATCATCTCAAAAGTTCTTCAGTACTAGCAAGCATTAAATGTACGTGTTTTGAACAGGATGTATAGAACGATGCATTGAATACATAGAGCCTACGCTGCAGATGCTTATTCACTCGCTCATTCGTGGCTTCTTCGCCTCCGACTCTTCCGTGTTATTACTTCCGTTGCTTACCAAAATGGGTGGTGGCGGTGGTGGAGGTGGCATGATGGAAGTGAGAGGCGGAGGCGGTGGCATCATTCCAGTGGGTGCCATGAAAGGCGGGAAAGTGGGGGGCATGACCATGCCTCCCACCAACCCGGTTCCTACCGGTGGTGGTGGTGGTGGCGCCGCGCTCATAAGGAATGGCGGTGGTGGTGGTGCGGTCGAAGGAGTTAATGAAGGCAGTTGCGCCCCAATTTTAGCTCGCTCCTTCTCCATCTGCTGCTCTGCCTCATAGTGGGCTCTCACATCCTCCGGTGTGATGTAGTCCTTTGCTCGTTTAGCCACCACCTCCGCTGAAGCCGCGTGACCATCCCAAATCAGCTTGTCCGGCTTCGTCTGCTTCCCACCAGCCGCCTCTTCCGGTGTCTTTCCTATCTGCGTCTCCTCTGAGCCTACACCGAAAATATCCGAACGCCGCTGGGCCAGTTGCTTCAGGTTGCTGTCAATCAGCGCACCCGGCGCGTACACATGCTCTTGTTCACGTTTCTCCCTTATCTCTCGGTCTCGCTGCTCCACCCATTTAGGGTCGAGAAGGCCTACACGAATGTGTTTCGGTACCTGACTTGCTGGAATCCTTTCTCCAGTGAAGGGGGAAACAAGAAGAACCTGATTTTTCTGTGCATCAGTAGCCTCTCGGTGAGCAGCAGCGGCCTTGGGATCGTAGTCGTGACGAATGAGGACTTGATCAGCGGAGGGCGGTAGGGGACGAGGAGGTTTAAGTTGACCTTGTGGTGGTGGAGCAGAAGTTTCCTCTTCATCCGACAACTCCATATCTTCACCGCCAACGTCGTCCACCGCATCCTCGTGCTGCTCGCCTTTAGCTTCAGGGACTGGAACAGCAGACGGAATGGCAGATGGCTCTTCCTGGTGGTCCTCATCTAAATCCTCCTCTTCGTCCTCCATGTTGTTCAGTTCGTCTGGGAGTGGGTCGAAGGAGCCCGGTGGTGGCGGTGCATTGTTGGGTGGTTCGTTCTGCTGAGGTAAAATGTCACCACGCTCGTCAGCAATAGCACGCGCTCCGACCTCTTCTGGTGTTGTGGGCATGGGGAAAGTGCCTGACTCGTTTGGCTGAAAATCTACCGTTTCCACGACAACAAAGTCATGCCAGTCAATTTGTGCGTATGCAAGTCGTTCCCGTTCCGCGGCCTCTTCCTCCTTGCGTCTCTGACGCTCCTGATACTTGTGCCATTCGACACGATACTTGACGCGATCCAGGATCGATTTGGGGTTCTTGAGCTCCTCTTCCAGGCCACTGATTAAATCCCGAGGAGGAATTAACACTTTAGTGTACTGTTCTACCAATTTCGTGAAGTATCCAAACATATTGTGCTGCGTACGAAGAAAATCAAATTGATAGTTTCGCTGCTCACGATTCATCAGCTGGGCGAGAAATTGTTTGCCATTACGCGAAACGAATTGGGCGGTGAGCTTAACAATGTCAATATCAAGGGCATTGATAGAAGCTGGATCGTAAACGAACTCGAATTCGGGAGGAGGATCCTTGGGAATGAACGTTTCCTGAATAATTTTCGGAGCATCTTGTCCCAGACGAGCAGCAGACGGGACGGTTATTCGCATTCCCATAGATTCCACAGCCTTACCCTCAGTGAAATCCTTCACCTTTTGCTGATAGTAGGTGTGGTATGGATCAGTGGGGTTTAAAAAGTTAAATTTTGGGTTATTAATTTCATTCTGCCGAATACGTGACTCGAAATCAGGTCCATTACGAGCAACGAAGCTGGCAGTTTTATCTACAATGTTACGGACTTCTGGGGGAGGATAGATTATTCCGATCTTTGGGTTAATTGGTTTGTTCTCCGGAGCAACCTCAGTCATGATCAATTAAACTAAAGAACACAAGCGAATTGCAGTGAGTTTTGGTGCACGTGGAAATAATACTATAGTGTAGGAATGGAAAATGAGTGGGAGAAAGACTTCGAAGCACACGCCATCCTCAATAACGATTAAGGGTGCATTGTTACTAGCATCCCTAATATTCAACATCAAATTCATACACATTCACGTAATCATTAAGACTAGAATTTATAAAATAGTAGGGTCCGCCTGTTTTGCACCTCAATTTAACGAATCAGAAACCAATAGTCTTTAAAAAAGCAAGTATTCAAGAAATTACAGAAGTATGAAGGAAATAAAAGACAAAGGGTAGGTTTCAACATCTCAAGCCAATTACTTTAAACAGCAAGGAGAATCACATGAATTATCAGTGAGAAGTCTTCGGTAAAGACCGCGACAAAAACAGTAATGAATAAACAGAATAGGCCGAGACATGACTAATTAGTTTCAAGAAATTTATCTCCTACGTACTGCAGACCAACTAACAAGAACAATGCCACAAGCAATAGACACTGATAATTTACAAAAAAATCTTTAGATGGTGAGATAGAGAATGCGGTGAACCTAGTCTCGATATGACAGTCTTGGCATGACATTAGGAATAAAGGGAAGACAGCCAACGTCATTACAAACAGTGAAGAAGGTGAGGGATAAAATGCGCACCTTATGCGCTACACCACAAACACTACTCAGTATGCACAATGGACATGGATGAACCGCACTGGCCAATAAAATCCCTGTTTCATTAACACTAACTTCATCATTCTTTTAAGGTTGTACAACCACATTCACCCACGCCATTAAAAGTCGCATATGTTTTGCATGAAAAACAGTTCAGCATTTTAATTTAAGGCGATGGAATGTCTATTTATAAAATTCTATTTAGTTTTTTCTGGCACCTTATATGCAATTAAGCACTGCTTTACCAATAACCCGACTTTTTCATCTTTTGCTGCTACTTGCTTTACTATTTCATCAGTCTATTCATTCCTGTCGATTTAGGGTCTTGTTTAAATAGACCTTGGATGATTGCGCACCTTTGCATCGTCGTTGGCCTGTTCTTGGGTGTTCTTTCTGGTCGAGTTTGTTTGGACGCGTTTTTGCTTCCACATCATTTTCGCAACATTTCGTATATGACTTAGTGCGGGTGTATTTACCCATAGTGTTGTGCTCTAAGCCCACATGGTAGTCTTAAATGTTTGACAGGCTACGTGACCAAATGAGTTGCTTTAACTGAGTGGTTTTTTCTAATCTAAGTATATTCGTGCGTTTGTCTTTAAAGTCAGTGTTCTAATATTCCATTCCAATGTTTACCAAGTGCTCCGCTTAATCGCTTTTGTAAATTACCCCCGGGTTTGTCATACTTTTCGTTTCTTTGTATCGTGCCGCAGTCATTACTTTTATTTAGCTGGCTAATGTTCCGTAAACCTCGGCGGGCGTATAGAGTACAAAGGAAGGAGGAATCAGACGGAGAGGCTGAAGAATCTCCATCTGATCCATCACAGATTCCGGACGCTAATCCACTGGCCCCTATTCGTCCATCGGGTAGTAAAGTGACTCTTAGTTTTGGGGATGATCTCGAGGGTAAATTTTGGCTTTTTCCTGCTTTAGTGTTTCCTACTAGAATCAGAGGCTTTTAAGGTTAAACGTCCCGCGCATAGCCGACGTGCATTAAAACAGCTGAAGGAGGGCAAAAGCTCATTAAAATCGATAGCTTCTGATTCTCCTTCTGCTGCCAAAGGTCTTCCATCAGAGCATGTACAATCAGCAAGTTTTCTTTTTGCAGCTGATTAGTCTTTAGTATCCTGTAAAGTTGGAAGAGCCCTCGGGCTCTTCGGACATTACACATGAAGATGAGACCATCAAAGTAAGACCTTTGAATCGAGCCTCTTCGGAACAATTCTCCTCGATGCTCAAACGTGAGTACAACATAAAATGTGCACTCCTGATGAGGTTCAATTACCTGCCATTTTTTTGTTGTAGAGGGTGTAATTCCCGACGCTAGCACAATACACATGGTTCGCAAACAGCGGCAGCAGGCAAAGTTCCAACTTGAGGCAGAGGAGGAAAACTTTTCGCCTCCTCACCCATCGAGTAATGACGGTCGTCGTCTAATCAGGTACTTTTTCTCTGTCTCGATCCATTCATTAAAGTTCAGTGTATTCTAGGCATTTTTAAGGATTTTATTACCCTTCCTCGTTTGCTAATTTAACTACGTACTGACGTCTTTGCCTAATTATGTTTTACCCTTACGATTTGGACCGCTTTTTAATTTGTATTTACTGTATTTTACGTTCTATTAAACGGTTAATGGAGGATTGTATTCTCCCTCTTCACTAAATTTACTTGTCGATTCACTTGCTACTTTAATTGTGCTCAGATTGTTTACTCCTGTCAGTGGCCTCATTAGCTTTTATTTATTTACCCCCAATGTTCAAGTCGCTCCCTTCATTGTTTGGTTTGAATTTGCTGAATTGCGCACTTATTAATAAGTTATGGACAACTATGAATATAATAGTGCCCAGAGCGAGTTTATGTCCCTCTCCTCACTTTGCTAATTGGTTCAATCTTAACACAAGTAATTAGTACCTCGTCTGACGATAAATTTTGCCTTTATTCATTGACGTCACTTCACGGTTTATCTTAGCACCGCGATTGCTTTTTATCTCATTGACTACAAATATCTCATTAAATGGTTGGTGGATGACTGCAAAATTGCAAGTAACAATGTATAGTGGACGATTACTTATAATGATAAGTCCACATTCTGCCTCTCACACTAGCATGCACCCTCGAACAAAGCGTTGTGGCCACTTTCCTAGTCCACGTGTTGATTCATTTATTGCGGATTCGGTCATTTCCAAGTTCCTTCGGTGGCATCGTTTTTACTCAGTATAGAGATTTCTGTCTTGCCTTTGAAACACATTTTACGGGCGATCGCTTGGTCCATGCACATGTCGTGTGCGTTTTAAAACATGTCGAATGTCTATCGTCAATTGTTGTGGAATGTTACTTGAATTACTACATTTTTCGTACCAAAAGTAACAAGAAGTAGATTACGTTCTCTTGTGCAATTATATTGATGATTGTAAAGGGAAGAGGACGATGACGAAGAGGAGGACTATGAGGGGGGTGGGGCCAACATCTATCACCATCGCCGGCCTGCCTTCACGCTGACCGCTGAGTACCGCGATCCTAAAAGTCGTCGGCGAGTGGAGATCTCGCGAGGTCTGCAACGTAGGCGTGAGCGCGAGCAGGAGGGCGACAAGGAGCGTCGCTCCATGTTTGAGGACGTAGAAACTGCGTCCAAGACTAAACGCGAGGAAAGGAACGATGATGGTGATGATGATGGAGATGATGACGAGGAGGATGACACTTGGGAGCGTCAGCAAATCCAAAAGGCTGTCTCGAGCAAAGTAAACCACTTAAATTCTCTCCTCCATTGGAGATTTCTGCCTCCCTAAACCAAGCCATTTTGTCTCAGAACACAGCTGTTTTGGAGGCTCTTGAACCTTTGCCGCCTGCAGATGGAGGTCTTCTTCCAAAGCCATCGCGTCGTCTGGCAGATTTTGGAGACGTCACGCTAGCTTCGATTAAGTCACTTCTTCAAGAACGGTAATGGCATTTCTTTCATTTGAAAGCGTTTAACTCTCAGCTATTTTGACCCATGCGAAGAGCTTATCAGTATGCCTTGAATACTTTGCATCTGATCTTTCAACTTGGCCACCACGCATGAATGAATGTTGATATCAACAAAAGTCCCAAGCATTTCATTGGAGAAGCATCACTGAAAGCAATACTGACTTATGTAGAAGTAATGAAATTTATGTCCTATTCCCACACCTACGACTTCTGTGTACCTTGTTGCGAAAATGTTTACTTCTGCATCTTTTCCAACCTAATTTGATTATTCTGTGATTTGAGTATGATTTTTGGCGGTGATTAAGGCCATAAATGATCATTTGCTGTATTATGTTATTATCAACAATTAACCAAGTTTTAGGCGCCTTTCCTGCACTTTGATGTGTATAGTATTACTATTACTATTTAAATGTATCAATTTTTGGCCGGCTCTATTAGTCTCAACAAGAAGCAAAAGGCCATGCAGGAGAACAAGGTGGAGCTATTGTCATTGAGGGAGGATTTAAGCCGTGGGCAGGCCACAATTTCCGATTCGCGAACTAAACTGCCCGAACTCGCCAACATACTGGCCTTTTATATGGAACTGCGGGAGTACGTGCGTGATGTGATTTCCTGTTTCAACGAAAAGGTACGCAACTTTCGTTCAATGTGACTCAATACGCAAATGGCTACATAGTTTGTGCGTTCTTCAGATGCTCAAAATTGAGTACATGGACAAGCGCTCGATTATCCTCTATCGCGAGCGTGCAGACGCCTTAATGGCCAGGAGACGCGCTGATGTTGGGGATATGGCTGATGAAGCTGCCGGTGGGTTGCTCTTTAAAACGACTTCTTACCACTTATTAATGACTGGCAAAATGACCGTAATTTTTTCTGTGCTTTTAGGTCCTGCTACCACTGGGGAAAATACTACGGGCCAAAAAACGTTAGAGGCCCGAAAACGACGCAAGGCTGACAGAGAAGCTCGTCGGTAGGATTTATCTCATGGCTTCTCCTTTTTAATGCTTTCATTGCTGTTTGCTCATGGTACCTAATGGCTACTCATGGGGGGAGGTTTCCCTTTTCAAAAACGAGCATTTTAAGCACTGTATCCAATGCCTCATTAGAGGTAAAAGATAACTGGCAATCAGATGCAAAGTATTCGAGGATTATGGGGGCGCATTGATGCAACCGTTAACTCAGAAGACATTTCGATATGTAAGGGTTCATAAGCAATTTTATTAACGGTGTGCAGAAGAGCTAGGGTACACTATCAACGTGATGGACGAAGCATAGGAGATGGAACGGGTTCGAGTCTGCTGAATTTGCTTGCTCCAAGACATCTAGCCATGCTATTTGATGGCAGCATTGTACTTTATGTTCTAGTCACCCCTATGGCTTTTTTTAGTGCACGAAGACGCAGACAAAGGAAACCTGATGAAGCCTACGATAAGCGAATCGAAGCTACAATCGGTGTGTCCCCGCCCTGCGAGGGCGTTAGTTCGGATGACGAGGAGCCACAAGCCGTTATTGCCAAACGCGCAGCTGATTTTGGTATGCTTCCCTCAATCCTTTCTGCCAAAAGACAAATCTGGTTTTAAATGAATGCCACACTTTTTCACCTACTTTAGGGGACATAAAGAGGGACGCGGAGCATCTCTTCGATGATGTGGTGGAGGAGTACTGTAGCATTCCCGCTATTCTCCAACGTTTTCGTGAGTGGCGTGAGCGGGCGGTGAGGAGCTACGGGCAAGCCTACATCCCCATGTGTCTGCCGCAACTCCTTGCGCCCCTCATTCGCCTCCAGATGCTCACTTGGAACCCTCTTGAGGTAGGCTCACACGGCTTTAATAAACTTTTAACATTCCGTTTTGGTAGTATTTCTGTAAAGCGCAAGTTTTGGCTTAGAGGTTATTTTGCGTTTGACATTTTTTAAGCTAGTCTTTATTCAAAACCATTTGAGACTAGCGGAGCTGCTGTGACCTAAGCTTTCAAAGTGGCTTGTTTAACAGATGAATTCTGACTATCTGTTGTTTAGAGCGTGGGATTCTTTCTGTCCTAACTCAGTTAGTTCCAGTGTCTCCCTCCTTTTTCTTTATCCACAGCACCATCGATGTGAATGATCCTTGTATTAGTATTGCAAAAACTTTCATTATGCAAGCTTAGTAGATGCTTCAATGCTACCTAATTATGCCTACACAGTCAAGTTTCAGTGTCTTGTTTACTATCTTATCATAGTTGTCCAGCTACCTATTGCACTTCAAAATTTATTTTATTTTATTTGCCAGGGCTAACCAAATTACAGGGCATAGTGAAGCAGTTAGTAGCAATCATCACATTTACTTAGGTTTGGGAGACCGGCTTTCTTGAAGCAACACAAAGTTGGAGACTCGGTATCTGTGAAATTTCGCATTCATCGTTTTTGGTCTATTTGTCATGATGATGGCATTGTTTAAAGCTCGTATTTTAGTCTATGATTGTCCATCGAATTACTTTCTTGACAGGATTATAAAGCTACAGTTTGTTGGAAGATTGTTACATATCATTTTTTTCAAAAATAAATTTATTATTGGGGCTAAAATGTCGTGAACTGTTTGCAGCACCAATGAACAAAGCGTCCCGACGTCCGACGTCTGTAATCTGAGGAATTGGAGTTAGAGCTAACGGGGGTTAATTGTGGTATCGTGGCACTAGCTACCATTAGAGTGGCAGAACGTTGTCATCCATAGTCTAGAAACACATGTTGACTAAATGAAGCACCCTTTTTTTGTTGCTACTACTACCTTCACCAGTGTGTAAATCCCGTGGTCTTCTTTTACAGGCTAACTGTCCTTTCTTCGATGAGTATGGTTGGTTTGGGTGCCTCCTGGACTACTTCGCAGACCTCCAGCAAGTGGAAGACCTTGAGACGGACGCCTCGGAGGAGGGCGACGCGCAGCGGAAGGTACTCCTCACCCTCTCCACCTCCCCCGAGCATGAACTCACCGTTATCCCTTTAGTCATCGAAAAGGTCCTTCTGCCTCGACTTACAGGTCTGTCTAGCCGCTTTACCTACATTCACTGCCATATATAATCAGTGCTTTGATGAGTGATTTAGTCATTGGAGGTTTACGCACTTTAAACGCCTTCCTACCATAATCTGCTGATATTTTAAAAAGTTTTTCCCCAATAACCATTGAAAAGTTTTGTCTCTTCTCCAGACGCGTCTTTCGCGTCCTGTAATTCAATGAATACTGTTGTTCGATTTCAATCATGCAAGAGGCGCTTATTTTTTCCAACCCATTGTAATGTTTTGCAGCATTGTGAAATCTCAGATACTGCCAATTTTTATCTTAAACGTGCATGCTTTGGAATGGCTTTCATTATTTTTCATACTTCGACTTTTATATTTCACTCTTCGATAACTTTAGTACCACTTTAACGCAAAGCGATTTCCTTTCCTGCAAAGTCATTTGAACAGTCGTTTAGATATTTTGCCATTAAGGAGAATACTCTCAGTTTGTAACCTCTATTACTTCGACCACTTAAATTTTTTTGCATTTTGTCTAAATAAATGCTTTCTATCAAGCATGATTTCTGTAAAATTACTTTGGATGAGTTGTTCTAGCTATTATACCCATATCATCATATGGCCACTAGTCTCGGCTATGTAACATTTTGCTCGTTCTCTGTATCTACATTTCTAAATAAGGGTACCATCATCATCAACATGAATCACTTTTGGTTTAGTCTAACCGTATTCTACTTGGTTCTCATCAAAAGTTCCCGTAAACCCTTCCAGTCCTCCTGTGCTTTAGTTTTAATTGCAAGGGACTTTCAGAAAAGAGTTTTAATTGAACTCAATGTTTAAATGCCAGCCTCGTTAAGGTCCACGATTGAGCTCATGAAGTGTGCACCCACTCCTCTTCTACTTCAGATTGCGTGCATTATGAGCCTAATCTTTCTCCATTTGGCGCAATTCTAAGTCGAAATATGCCACTGTTTAAACAATTCTTTTTGAAACAAATTGTTAGGGCAAGATCTGAATGTTCTCGTTAATTTCTCAAATAGATGTCACATTGCTTCCAACGCGATATGGATTTGTGGTTGGGTAAAGAAAGAACTGAACTCATTCTCCAAGGAGATTTTGACCGTAGAATGTAAACAAAGATATTATAATCAGTTCGTATCTCATACCACGAATTTTGCTTATTTCACTAGTGTCACGGCCTGGAAAGTATTCTACGGGAGTACATTCCATATGCAAATCTCTTTTCCATTTGAATTTTTTTGCCTGGAAACAACATGGTGAGGTGGTGTATCATATCCACCTATCACCTCGCATATCACCTTTTTTGTTCTAATATTGCAGATATTTTTAAATAATAATTTAAATTATTTCTAACCTAGTTCAACTTTATATCTGATGTTTATGTGGATCTCGGGATTTTGGGGTAGTTCCAAAGATTTGGCATGCTTTCAATGGTCTTTCCACTGAGTCCGCAGATTCAACCGTACTTATTGTTGACGGTCAACAAAAAGCAGGCTTGGCCTTCTTTCGAAGTCGGCTTAAAAATCTTGCCATTTGAGCGTGAAAAGAGCCTTATTATAAGAACAGTGATGGACTGAACGACTGAAGTAGTACCTATAGCAAAATATCTAGAGGTATAAGCACCCGTGGATAATACATTATTTCCCCTTGATTACATTTAATATCTAGTAAGTTACGTTGGGTACATTGTCGGAGTCTCACTTTCCCTCGTAATTGCACGACAAAGTTGTTTTTCTCATATTGTACTCTCTTCCACTCCTCATCCAAAATGTAGAAATTGTCTCGGCCTCGTGGGATCCGATGTCGTGGAGTCAGACGCAACGCTTGGTGAGTGTGGTGCACTCCTTTGCTACCCTTTGGCCCACCGTCTCGGCGGAGAGCAAGGCCACTCAGCGCCTCTTTGAAGCCATCCTCCAGCGTATGGAACACACCATCCAGATGGACGTCTTCATACCTCTTTATTCTAAACGGTAAGTCCACTTCCACCAAATACATTCAGCATTGATCACACAGCAAGCATGGACTGAACCTCTGTAGACTTGAAGTTAGGCAGAGCTAGTGGTTAGGACGCGGATAACTTTGAAACCATGATGTGTGGCTTGCGAAGTCAAAGCCTTCACCTTAGTTGTTAGCATTTCCATCTACGAGTCCTTACCCTTGCTCCAATTCTGCAATGTGGGGTGCCAATATTGTACGACCTTATGTTGTCTTTAAAGGAGAATCTTCAAAATCATCGTATGGCAACAAAGGTGCCATGTGCAGTGCTCTAAGGTCCACGTAAATGGTCATAGAACTGGCTCAACCGTAGTTATATTACACTTTTAATCAAACAGACAAATAATAGAATCAGAAAAACGAAGCACTTATGCAGAGGTCCATCATTGAATTTTAACCTGACAAATAGTTCCATTACAAGTGAATAGGGTCTAGAAATTGGTCAGATACCGATCTTCAGTCTGCGTCACCTTTTTTACGCATGTAAAAGGCGCGCCAGCAAATAGAGTTGTTCGGCGGCTTATTGTGTGTATCGTGACTGCTCTTCTCTCTCTCCCTTGCCTGTCCTCATCCCATTCGTGATGGGGATTATATCAAGGCCTGTAACACTACGCCAACATAAGATTTTACTTTTGTTTATCTTCAGAATTATGTCCGATCTTCAGTGTCCTAGTCGCCTCTTTTTTGATCGCCAGATGAACGCTGCTATGAAGGTTTGTCTCGCTATCTCTCCTTCTTTCCTTATTACTTTCAATCAACCAATTTAATGAATGCCGAACTATTCCTTGTTCCAGCTTCTCTCGAACCTCCTCGAGTGGCATGATCTATTAGCACCAGCTGCACTGAAGCACATCACTTTCACTTGCCTTGTTAATCGCTACATCCTCATCGGCCTGGCCAGCCTAATGTCCACCACCACCAACTTGTCGGACACAGGTGGAGACGGAGGGTGGTTGGGTGAGACGGCAGTGTGGGAGTCAGTGACGGAGCGATTGAAGGCAATCACCGTTCATCTGCCTGCGGAATGGCTCACCGATCCGGAGGATAACCAGTTAGCCCAACTGAGGCGATTTGTTGGCCAACTAATCGAACGACTGGCGCCACAGGACGTCGTCACCGGCGTTGAAACCAGAGAGGAGGCAGAGATGAGGTCTGCTTTTTGTGTCGTTTATTCCGCTCCTCGTGTGTTCCTACTGTTAACGTATTTGTCTCTGCCTTTTAGATCCGTGCTAAAGAAACTCAAAAAAATCCAAAATCGCCTCTTTGGTAGATCCTATGCTTGAGTTGTGGAGGCGAGTGTATCTTTATCTGTAAATTGTTACATACTTGTCAATAAACGGAGTATACTTTGAATAAAATTTATTTTGTGAATAGGTTGAGTAGAATGTCAAAAAATCGGGAACTATCACAACCCTTTTGACGTTGCAATTGAAAGGCGATTTTATTACGACGTCGTTATCAATAGGGCGTGCTGTGATAGGAAAAAATTTGTTTTAATTATGATTTGAGTTGCACCTGTTCTCCAGTCTCCGTGGTTCCAATTTTCTTGGTGCAACGGCGTCCTTTGCATGCTCCCTCCCCCTAGTCCCCAATCCTGTTGCTTGATAAATTTCTGTATTGATGGGGATGTAGCAAGGGGGGATGGGGTCCGGCCATGCTCGTGAGTTCAAATTGAAGGAAATGAACGGAAAGGTTGTCTCACAACTACATCTCGACTTTTTGAGCCTTGAATTAGGTGGCATTGGATGTTATATCGTCGGGACCCCATTAATTTTTTCCACATTAATATTGTAACAATATGTGGTTCACAGGACTGGGATAGTTAGCGAGGATAGACGTCACTTTCGACCCTTCTGTTAGGAGTTGTCTCAGATTCTCCCATCTGCTGCTTATGCCCTTCTTCCGTCACGCTAAGATATATCATTCAGTAATAGAAATGGGGTTAGTGGTCCGTTAGGTCAGCTCTCCTTTCCCTGCCACCGACGCAGCACCCCGAGATATGTCTTGAAGACGAAAGGATGCATAATACTAGAACTGAATGTCTTGTCAGCGTACTGTAGGGCTTAGGGGCTGCTAGCATGGGTCAGGACCTCGGCTACCTCGCGAATGCACCACGGCAGAGCCCCCAAGTGACCCCATTATCCGAACTGAGGGTTAAACAATTAAGGTATTACATTAACAACAGGACTTCCGACTGAAATCTATATTTTAATTTTGCTGACAATTCGAACCAATAAGGACGAAAACACTGAACAACCGCCAAATGACGTCCATTTAGAGGTGAAGCTGATGTCAATCCCAGGGATGCCAGTGGCAGGAGTCATTAATTGGATTGAGTAACTCAAGTATAGAATGGACCAGGCAGTAGGGCACATTTCCCCGCCTGCTGCGTGTTCACTCAAGGTGGCTTAAATGGTCCACTTCTGATCTGGTGATTTTGATTGGGCTCACATCAGTTTACCTCGTGATGGGGATTCCTCTCATCTCTCCCCAGCGATCGTGCTCGCCCCTGATCCACCTCGCCTTCGCGATGCCCTGCCTTTATTGTCTCGCTTTTATTGCGCATAACTCCACCATACCACACGCCAATGTGCTGTCCACTCGCTGTTCCCTTTCAAAAGGCAGAAATTCTGAAAATTAATGGTTAGGCATTTTAACAGCGGAGAGACTTCAACGGAGTTTATACACTCGGCCGGGGTAAGGGCTATTCCTTAAGTACAGTTTGGCTTCATCAAAATTTTACAATTTGGACTTCACCCTGGTGGCAAGGCTTCGATCACGTTGGCTAGACAAATATTCACACAGATATTGACAGTGTGGCCAAAGCTCAAACTTGTGCACTTCTTCATCGCGCATTTGGAGATGCTTTGAACGGTGCTTTGACGGCCGCGGAAAGCGGTTCCGTCTAGACCTCACAAAAGGAAGGCGCCTGGTGTGGACAGTTCAAGCGGTGAAGGCTCACGAAGTGGGGAGGTTATCGAAGCATCACCAACTTCTGCAACAGCTCTATTCTCGTGTTTTGCATGATGTCATATTTGAAAGAGATTAAGTTTGGAGGAGTCAAACTCGTCTCCAATGAACTGCTTGCCATATTGCTATAAATAGACGCGTTTATAGTCATAAACGTCATCACGTGGTGATGCGCTTGAAAAGTTTTTGCTGTATAATATCATCTGCTGCAGCACTATCTCTCAAATGGATCCACACTGTGCAATTCGCTTAGCAGAGGACGTGACGCTCTTGAACTCCATCTAGATTCGTAATGGGTGCTACTGTAGCGAAGGACCTGGCACCACCTTTGCAGCATCCCGAGACTCCCTGAAGACGAAAGAAGACAAAACGCTCGGACAGAATATGTATTCACCGCAGAGAAGGTGTCTGGGCTACTGGCATGGCCCAAAAGGCCAGCCCACCCAACGAGGTACAAGGGGGCTGATTCAAAGTCCAAAAGTGGCGCCTCACCAGTACCGAGGGATAAACCACTATCGTATTACACCTTGTTATATAATTAGTGCAACTGTTAGCATCATAAGTTAGCATAAATCTCGCAAAATTGCGTGCACGTAATTTCATAGGTTACAAGCAGAAAGCCACATAAAACTGTGCCCTTAAGATCACCCAGTTCCTTAAGTTGAACCTGGGCAAAATCCCCTGTTCTCTTTTCTTTTTTATCTCGCCAAAAGTCAGTGCACTTCTTCCTGTTTAAAGTAAATTCATTTTAGGGACGGAAAATAGAACCAAAACTTAGGTCGATTTTTGTGTACTGTCGTTCTTATTATCACTGACAGTAATTTTATGGAGCGATTTCGATTAAGTAAGTTTTTCCTTTATCAATGTTTTGATGAATACATTTAATCTGTTTACAATAGCTACGGTATTTTGTTTTGTTATACCAAACTCCAACATACCTGAACTGCGAGAGCGAAATATCTAGGCTGATTATTTAGTGGGAGTACCTAAATACCTACTGAATTGAGTAAACTATTTGATGAATTGTTTCTCTATGGTTCTCAGGGCGAGTATACAAATGTGAAAAGGAAGGTTTTACTTGAAGGGGGTGTGGGGGGGGGTATAAAGGCTAGCCGGTGCCAGCGCTGTCAGCGCCATTCATGTTTTATCAAGGTGGTCCTTTTAAGACTGTAAACAGGGCTGAACGGGAAACACTTTGTTCGTGAAGTCTTCGTGTTTTTCTGCCGATTATTGTTAGCCGCCGCCTTGATTACTGTATTAAGGGTCATTCATCGTATGAATACAAGTATCTACTCCCCAATGAGTTTAATTACGGGAGAAGTAGCTTCTTGAATCCGCTTTTATTTTATGGAGTTTGAACTAGGGAACTTATATGCACAAAAAGCCTTGTTACCAAGCTCTAGGAAAGCACGCTAGGCGTGTACGATGCAAACAGACTTATTGTTAGTCGAAATACGTGCATTTCCACGGTTCTCAACCCTTTTTCACAGTACATATTCCTTATTTTTAAATCGAAGCATCTCTTCTATAAAATACAAGGTCATGTTGACATTACTCTTAGTGGGAAATGAGTAGAGCAAGAGTTTATTAGTATTCAAATGCATTAAAATCTAAACGAACCATGTATCACTTTCCCCACGCAATAAAGTTAAGCCGGTGCCACTGCACACTAGATTGTTGGATTTACTCCGAATACCACTTTGGTCCCGTTGAAGAGAATTTGGCAAGGCGGACGGGAAAATTGGAGGTTGTGTAATACGGTAGTTTAATCTGGTAAAGTTTGAACACACACTTGGCCATATGGTTGTTGTGGAACCGGATAACAAGTCTTATAAACGAGGGAATGCGCAAAATTATGTCTTCACTTTTGACTACGCATGGCCGTGTTGGTGATAATATTCGCAGCGGCCTGTATCAAGTGATTTTCATCCGCTTTGCATGCGATTCGATACCTCGTCGCAGCGCCTATGATCAGCATAACATTGCTCTTGTACAATTCTCTGTCATTTCCACCGCACGTCTTCGCTGGTCTACAGGGTGCTGGCGAAGGAGGGGCGTGTTTACTTGAGGGTGCCTCCGCTGTTTCAGTTCGACACTCCGTGCCTGTAACCGGCCTGTGCTCACGTGCCCTTGTGTGCAAACTCAGACGTCTGTAGTTGGCGTCGAGGACCTCGAGGTTTAGCCGAGACAGTCGCTTTTCCAGCTCGGATTTAATCTCGAATCGCCGTGTTCCATCGCACTCGGGTGTGTGAGCACACATCTCTCCGACGAGGCTGTCATCAAAACTCTCGATAAGCACTTAAAGCCGCTGATACTCGATCAATAAATCAATAAAACAGCATTGAAGATGCAAAAAACCAATAAATCAATAAGGCGGCCTTAACACCAGCTGAAGGTTTGCAATTTAAATGACGCGCAACCAATTGTTTAAACTTACTGATGTGACATATTAACGTTTTTAGTAATAGTTAAAATGTAGGAGCGTAATTATTGAGGGAAGACTAAGAGCCGAACACTTGAAAATCAGGCACTGATAGGTCAGTTTGAATGCCTCTATGATGGAGTCGTTTATAGGAATGAAGCTAGATAAAACCATTACATGCGTTGCCTATGATCGGTCTCACTGCTATTCGCAAAACGCAATGTCAATTGGAGAATTTGAAACACACGAACCTGTACAAACCCTCAATCTTCTTCAAGAAATACCTTCCTATTTATCCGGCTCATTTGATCAGATTTGCTAAATGGATTGTTTTCTAAGAATCGGGAAGGCTAGTGCTACTACCCCCTCAAATTAATTGTTTGAGGTATCTACGAAAGAGTTGGCTGTTGCCAGAAATATGTTAAAAACTAGCTGGCGCTAAAGATTTACTGGGAGCATGTAAGGGAACCAAAACTAAACTATTGTTTAGGATTCAAACAGTCAAAAGGTTTGCGCGTTTGGTGCTTCTGTAATAAAATTGAGTCTTTTAACTGGCTTTTTTTTAGCATTGTTCTCACCTCGAAGAGAAGGTGGTGCATACACGGCAGTGTATCTGTAATACGTTGATTGTTTGTCTAAATCGCGGCACTGGTGAACGGTCAACTCAGACGCCCCACCATTTTGCCTTCGCCCTATAGACTAGCCTTCGGGTTACGCCAGTAGCCTCCAAGCCCTACTGTATGTCGAATACATATGCATATCCTACCGAGTGTTAGGTCTTCTTTCGTCTTCAGGGAAGTCTCGGGGTACTGCATTAGTGGCATCGGAAAGCAAACCCCCTCCTGAAGGGCAACCACGCTGATCCCTAGTGTTAAGTGTTAGACATTAGTGGGGTGGAAGAAGTGCATGTGCTGAGAATGTGAGAATCTGTGATGACTCCTAACAGAGGAGCTAAAAAGGACGTCTACATTCGGCCACCACCTTAGTCTTGTGTTCTACAGGAAAGCTGTTGACAACTGCGGCGACACTAACTGCGAACCAACCAGAAGGGCTCTTTAAGGAGCTATCTACGGTGGATGTATGAATATATTTAACAGGTAAACTCACGATACCTCCTCCACCTCTCCAATAGCTGCTTGGCGCACAGTTAGATAGGGCTGAGCAGCGACAAAGTGAAAACAGCATGGCGAGGAGGAACAGACGCGAAACCCTATCCCCACGGTACCATGTTAAATCCCGTCCTTTGTTATTTAACTCTGCTTCTGGGCCTGTGTCCTTACGAACAGTGATGGATATACGAAATGACCAGCACATTCCTCCGTACCCAAACCCAGTTTCCATATAGGACGAAATTCCAGATCCAATAGCATCACCAAGATGGATCAGTGATTTTGCAATCAAGTATCCCCTCAGTTGCGTGGAAACGCGATGACTGGTGCGTTTGGCTCATGGCTGCTTTTCCTTCCAGCACAGATTTCGTTTTGGTGGCTGGCGCAGAAGGTAGGTCAAGGCGGGTGCCGAGGAGGACATTCAAAAGAGGAGAGTAGCCATACAAAGCGGCTGAATATGGGCGCCGCCATTGTACTTCTGTGTGGCTGTGTGGACTCCCAGCCATTCCAGTATCCCAGAGTCCAGCACTTCGAAAACATATATTGTGTCCTAGTATTATGCTTTACCTCATCTTCAGAGAAGTCTCAGGGCTCTACTCATCTTATCGCAACTTGACAGAATAATGTTAAGAGTAATGCTGCATTATACCTTTTCCACTCAAGACCTAGTGAGATGAGCAGTAGTGTAGTGAGGGATTTTATGAGACTTAAGATGCTTTTTGGTGTTTTTTAAGTTGCACAAGTGGTGTATTCAATGACTTCCATAAAGCATCGCTACTTTCGACGTGGGCTTGAATTTACCTTGAAAATAATTTGTGCATTTGACATTTGGGATCGGCATAGATTAGGCAAGTCTTCCTTTTCCACACTCAAGAATACAGTGAAATAGGACAATTTCTTTTTCACTTAGGCCTAATTATCTCAACCCGAACGCCTTTCAACCAATGATAGGTTGACAGCATTGACAGCAAATTGAACTTTGATTGTACTTACAGTCCTCCACTGGGGAATGAATGAGAAGCCTTAGTTGCAGCAACCTGCCCCTGATGGTGCGTGAAGGAATCACCGTTTTTTGAATCGTTCAAAACGTGGATAACCTTCGACAGCACCGCAAATCTACAGAACACCACCTCTCGTTAAAAGGGAATTGACGATACCAATAGACCTTTTAAATTAGCCCGTTTATCAATTGTACCTTAAAAGTGGAAGTTTTACAGGATTCCGTTGGATCATATCAAACTCGTGTAGGTAGTGATCTTAGAAAGTAGTTGGAACCACCATTCCTTCATAGTGTCGATAAAAGAGCTCACGTTATAAGCAAATAATTTCCAGTTAAACTCCAGTTAATCAATCGGATTTTGTATTAACCACTCATTCAGCTGCTGGAACGACTGTTGCACCATTCATGAGGCATACAAAGAAGAAGACACAAAATTCGGGACACAAAACTCCTTATTTGAGTTAAAAAGGAGTATGAGTCCGTAATAAAAGAACAGGAGTTACTGGCGGCATTGTTGGACTTATAGTAGTTAAGGGCAGATGCTGGAGCAGTGTGCCAGTGGAGTAGTCTTAGCGGAAGGACACACACTTGTAGTCGAGATGCGGAGATCTCGACAGTTCGCTCTTTCGAGGTACCAGTAGATCATCGCCGCTGACATCGACGATGTATTTTGGAGCCATTGGTTCCAGTAATGCAGTTCCATGGGAAGTCTCAAAGTCTTCAATCCACAACGCATCGTTGACCTCGTGTGGTGGTGGGGATTACGTCTAGCCACAGCCTTTTTATTAAACCTAGAGTGAAGTCAATGCAAATGCTACAGAAATAAAAACAGGTATGCTAGTAAATCCAAGCGGTGTCATTTGTAGTCTCCGTTGTGAGCGACTGACACATGCAGGCATAATTGCAGATTGGATGGCATAACAGACGACGGGAGAGGTAGAACTTTGAAAGTACGTGGGTGTAATATAACAAATGTGAAGGTATAGTGGAGTCTGGAGTATTTCACTCATCAAACTCCTCTGTTTATGCCCCTCCCAATTAGGTGCGCTCCTCCAGATTTGTAGATCATTTGGATGTTCTTGACGGCAGGTACGAATCGCTGGATTCGAGGCTGCATTTAGTTCACCAACGCACCATAAATTAGTGAATTAAAAACTACCGGATTCGAGATGCTTACTTTTGCTATTCTACTAATGGGTTTGTTGTATTCAAAAAAAGGTTTTGGTTTTAGGGACCTTCTCAGAAGTTAGTAACCTAACAGTTGGAACTGGAAGATGGCCTTAGGCTTGCTTAGGCCACAACTTCATGGAAGTAGCTAAAAAATGAGTTAAGTGGTGGCAGCTTTGAATTGATTTAGAGCATTTTAGAAGGAGAACAGTCGTTAAGTTGGAGCGCAACAACACGAACAAAGGATGTTATTACGAAAAATGTCCATTCGTTGTTTATATGATAAAATACTGCATCCATAGCAGAATTTGAAAGGAAGATGTGATTGAAAATGTTTCCAGGACTAAGATCTGATGTAAAAATACAGCGAATGAAACGGTAGAAAGGGTAGTCAGACGTTGGTTATACAAAACGAGAGGATAGTTACTAGTGTCCCCACCTTTATTCATTGAGGCGGATGGGATCTCGGTAGCCTCAATGAAAGGGCATACTCTCCTCCTTCTGGTAAAATTATTCCTTCAACCTGGCTAATTTCAATTGAGATCTTAAGAACTACGTTGGAGCATGGAAAAATCAACTCGACTGGCACTTTTAATAATTCAATGCGAATTTTGTTGTCGACGGAGTAATTTGACAATAGCACAACTTATCGAAATGAAAGATATGATCCAGAAGTCACCATTGCCACTTCCTGGCCAATCTACTTCATTCTTCAAGTAAGTTGCGTACTTTTTTTAAATAATCGCCTCTCGAATTCTCCCACCTGGCAAAATTAGCTCATTTTCGATTGTTTTGAATCATACCGTAAAGCAGCGTTAACCAAAACTCATTCCTTCAGTGACACATACGTCGCCAAAACCAAAAAAGTGCGAGCACTACCTAATAGAATGGATGACGGTAAATTTTTGCCTCGAAATAAACAAGAAAAAACCAACCTGATTAATCAATTATCGTTGTTTAGCTCAAGAAGTCAGACGAGTGGCGTATTATTATATGGTTAAAAAGGCAACCACATAATTTCTGTGAAAGATTACAGCCTGCCCAACTTCATGCCCTCCCTACAGGGAATGGTGGCTCACCGGGGTCAGTCAAAAGTGTGGAAATGCTCGTTAGGTATTTCGAGCGGCTTCTCGCTGATTGGGGACGGAGTTACCGCAGGTGGATGAGGCAGACGGAGGGGAGGAGGAAGCGACCAAGGAAAAAAGGGGGAATTTTAGTATATGTGCGTTGCGTTTGGTGGCTCTCCTTCCACGTTTATATGCGGTACCAGAAATCTTCCACCACGTCAGTCCATTCCAAACTTTCTCCCTTCTCCACCCGCCTCTAACCCTCGCCTCCTCCAGCGGACCAGTCTGCAGAGCGACTTAAAAATTTTTGTTGACATTTGATGGAAGATTTCTTCCGAATTAGCAAATGAAAAGACAGAAAGTTTCCATGTACGTCCTACGATCAATACGCATCATTATTGTTTTGAGGAGGCAACATGACTATTCTTTTAAAAAAAATAATCTATACAAACGATTTCAAAGGTTGCTACATTTTGAATAACCACAGCATTAGTCGCAGAGAGACTCAAATTCTTCTGCTGATGGGGCAAAGGCAACATTTGCCTTCATCATGGTTTTAAATATGAGGCAAAAAGTGCTTGGATTGAGATTACCAGCCTATTATGATTTTTATGAGGACGGAAAATTTAAAAATATTACTTTTTTGTCTGCAAAATGGTAGGCTCTGTTTACCTGATTCAGCTTGTACCTATAACTTGTTTTCCAAGGAATTTTTAGAATACGGTCTAACCTATAATGTCGATCAATGGATAGTAGGTGGAGATTTTCTGCTGATAAGTTGTGCATAATTTTGTCCTAGTATGATGGCGAGCACTTCCAACTCGTTGCGCGGCCTTCGGGCTGTGCCGATTGCCGCCTATGCTTGAGAAATATATGTTATGACACTGCTTTGTTTCATGTAGTGATCTGACGATTCGTTTGAAGAGGTAGCACTAAAGTCCGTATAGACATTTCGAATGTTTCGCGGTGTGAACTTAGGGCCAAAATAGTGGTCTCCTAGTCCCATCCATGTTTTAAAAATGCTTTATCCTAAGACTTTAAGGATTCTCAAATTGCTGCCCTTATCACAATTGCAGTGACGGTCCAGGGTACTACAATTGCTTTATCGTAAATTGCAGTAAAAATTAAAGTGCTGCAAAAGTATATGTTATTTACGCATGAAATCCAAACGTAGTCGCTAGACTAAAGTAGTGGAAAGCAAACAAAAATACTAAATGTCTTAAAACAGTGCCTTAGATGTACGGTAGTTAAGTGTGCTTTTCCTTTATTTGGCTTTTCACGCCTTTATTTATTTTGGCCACGACTGAAAGCGCCATGCTTAACTTTTGGCAGCTGTATTTGCCTGGGCGGTGTGATGCCGGCTAGCATTTTTTCTGAGCCATCGCTCTCTGCCAGCATGGTAGAAGATCTGGAAGCCGACTACAGTGGAGTTTTTAGGAATATTGAAGACATCCTTAGCCGCTTACCAAATGTGTCACCGGTTGATAGATACGAACGCCTGCAAAAAATCGGCCAAGGAACGTTTGGCGAAGTGTTTAAAGCTAGGCATAGAATGACAAAGCAGCATTTTGCCTTGAAAAGGATCCGAATGGAGCAGGAAAAGGAGGGGGTATGTTGTGCTTTTTAATTTGGCTAAGTAGCAATTCAAGTTTCCAATAACTGCCATTCGCGAGATCCGTATTTTACAATCCTTACAGCATGAAAATATTGTCTGCCTTAAGGATGTTTGTTACAATACAAGTAAGGTGATGCTTATTGTGTGACCATTTTAAGGAGATGAGCGTTCATGCTTTCGGCCGCAATTCTTCCTGGTTTTTGAATTTTGTGATCATGATCTCGCTGGTCTCAGTCAAAGGATTGATTTCTCGAATTCAGTTAAAAAAGCCATTATGCTTCAGCTTTTAAAAGGGCTTTTTTATTTACACAAGTGAGTCCTGCAAACTTGCATGCGTTTGATAGTCTGATACGTGTTTTATCCCCCAAATGACCGTCTGATTTTTATACGTTAAAATTGCTGGATGTGCAATTTAAAAGAATATTGTTATTAGTTGAATTGAAGTTTTTGCAATATCACAATATCACCACTTGTTTAGTCAGACGGTCTTTTGAAGTCTACTAAACTAGATGATGATGGACACACTATTCTCCGAATGAATGTATTTGTAACTTCGGTTATCTTATGTGGAGAATAGGAAGGTTATGCATTTTATTCCTTAAAACTGCAGCTTTTACCGGAATCGGACCTTGATTTTCCGTCCTAGAAACAATGTGCTTCACCGAGATTTGAAAGCGGCCAATATTTTGATCAACAGAAACGGAGTTTTGAAAATTGCGGATTTTGGCTTAGCACGAAGGACTGTTGCTTCCACCCGCCCGGATCGACCACCACGTTACACAGGCCGAGTGGTTACTCTGTGGTATCGACCACCGGAAATTCTCCTCAACGACCGTAACTATGGAAAACCTGTTGACATGTGGGGAGCAGGCTGTATCATGGCTGAACTGTGGACAAAATTTCCTATAATGCAGGTAACTGGGTCTACTATTCAGAGGCATTTTTTGGATGCTTTAATGCCTAGAATCGGTGCCCATCCTCTTGTTTCCATTTTCAAGCGGTATTAAATGCCATTTAGACTTCCTGTAGTCCACCTATTTTTGTGGAATTGAAGCATAAGTTGCTGTTTCGTAAACTTGGTTTGAGTTATTTCGTAGCTTGTATAAAACTTTACTGCGGTAAGATCAATTGATGTTTTTGAAACCAATGTTAGTCACTGCCACTCTGACTATCGATGCTATGGTACTACTCGGCGTTTCATTATTTGTAGTGTCAGAAGTACAACATGAAATAGTGCAGCCCTCAACACTTATTGTAAACCCATTGTGTCTGACCCATCCTAAAAGTGGGTTCACTACAGATATCCCAGTAAAACAATCTTATTTGTCAGGGTGATAACGAGCTGGCTCAACTAAAGCTGATCATCAATCTTTGCGGCTCCATAAACTCGGAAGTGTGGCCAGGAGTTGAGCGTTTGGATGCCTTTCGAGATGCCCAACTTCCGCGCGACATCAAACGCCATGTACGGGAGCGTCTAAAAGACAAGGTCTCCTCTCCTACAGCCATAGATTTGATCGACAAACTGTTGGTCATCGATCCTTCTAAGCGCTTTACTGCCGACCAGGCCCTCTCCCATGACTACTTCTACGAAGACCCACCTCCAGGCGATCTGAAGGTCCTCTCTCGAGAGGGTACGAGCTACTTGGAGTTCTTCTCCAACCCACGTCATTCTCGTGGAGTCCAACAGCAGCATCAGCAGCTTCCACAGGCACACCATAACTACCACGGTGGCCATCACATGGGGACGCATCAGCGACCTGGACCGTACCAGTACCATCCCGGGGCAGGACGTGTCCCCATGGGACAAGTACGGCGTCCACTTATACCGGATGATAACATTCATCATGATAGGATCTACTAATTTTAGCCTTGCGTGGGCTTGTGTTTTCCTTGTACAGAGGCGTACCGCTCCACCTTGTATATGAGCTTGTTTTACTTTGGCGATACTCAGGCTATTCTAGTGTCCAATGTCAGACCTCTTCCGTGTAAACAGTGTTAAGCTGGGTGATCAGTAAAATTTCTATGGTTTTGAGTTGAGCATTTTCGTTGGTGGTGGTGGGGGGTTTTTTGCAGAAGATGGCGGTTTTAAAGCCTTAAACGAGAACTTCTGACTACTTCCCACCTCTAAGAGATAAATTGACGTGCTGGGGCAGAGTTTTAGTGGACATTAATCATGGAGGTCGCTACGCTTGGTCCTTTAAGGCGCTACGTCTGTGAAGTGTTACAGGTACGGCGCCCGGGCAGTCTGTCCGATTTCGAGATTCGTTACGTGGACTCTTTAGACCCTGTAGGTTGTGATTCTTTATGAATACGTTTGGATTATAAAGCGTACCGTATAGAATTGAGCAGTACTAGGTCAGTGAATCCTTCCTCCCTCAATACAGTTTGCCAATAGGGCGAAAGCTCTGCTACAATAAAGCAGCTAACACGTATAAAAGGTGTTGGAGTCAAAAATCTTCCCGATTAGGGATTTGATGGGTGCGGTTTTTACGGCGTGAATGGTCTACAGATTAACGGTCGCTCATTTATGACCAGCGCAGGACGTAGATCAAAGAGAATACTCAGTAACGATGACTAAATGAAGAGGGACGTCATGAAGCGATTAGATGGTTTTTAACCGCACTCGTTTGGATTTCGTACGGTTTAGTTCTACTATGGGGCATAGATTTACGGAAGTTGATATAGTCCCTTATCTCTATTCTATGCTAACAGTAAGTCTTTCTACGTGCCAGTGTGCCTAAGCTGAACTTCGACAACACCTGAGACTTAAAATTATTGGGATAGAGCGGTTTAGCAGGAAGCAGCAAAAATGGAAGTCTTTTGGTAAAGTTGATATGTACTAGAAGAAGGTTTTGAATATTTGCGGTCTAAATGATTATTTCTGGCAATAAAAGTAGCTTATGCACTAGTAAGCTAAGCAAAGATACCAATTTGATGCGTTTTAATTCGCTCTTCAATAAGGCAGTCAAGTTGTGTGTCAAGGGTCGACGAGTAGTCGTTTCGCGTCGTTGTTGAAACGTGGTGGGAGGTGTGTCAGTGTCAGCGATAAGTTGGTGGGCGTTGCGTTTAGTATAGCATATTTAGCCAAAACTAGTCGAATCTGCTAGCGTGTATTTACTGAGTCGGTGAACAACTTGTGCAGCCCAGTTGTTACTGAGTAGAGAACTGGTGGTTACTTATGTTGTGCATTTATTTTGAGTGCTTATAATACTCCCGTGTACCTGATCAGCCAGTCCAGTTAACTCTATTGAAATGTAATTCCTCGGATTATGAGTACTTGTACGATATGAAAATGTGTTTGTGGTAATATAAAAGTAAATCCGAACCTATCTTCTAGTTTTAGTTATGTTAAACTTGAAAAGCCCGTTGCTCCAAAGACCTCTTCTCCTCGTTGCTTTGACCCGCGGTGGACGGTTTTTATCACCCGGATCTTACTATATTCCCTTTTCTGAACGTTTTGATGAAGAAGGCAATCGGCGGCCTCCGCCTCATCCTGAGACTCCGAAGTTCCGAGGTATTTTTACTCAGTAGAAGCCTTTGACATTTCTTCAGGTATATTTTTTTCTCACCAGGTCTTTACACCATCGATAATTTCATTCTTCTAAAATTCGGTCTAGACGAACTTCCCCTAGCAACAGGTCCTAAAATCGCCGATAAACATCCATTTCGATTTATCTGTGAGGCAAAGAAGATATATTGGTGGTGCGCATGTGGACAGAGCAAAGAACAACCCTTCTGCGATGGCCATCATGCCCGTTTGATTCACAAGTGGCCTGCTCGAAACCAAAAGCTAATGTTCAAACCAATCAAGATTTCTTTTGAGAAGTGGGTCCCATATTTCGTTTTTTTAAATATTCTTTTCCTTTGTTGTCACTGCAGTTTTTGTGTTCCTTATTGATTCCTCATTCATAACGGTACGGTTTGTGAATTGGTTTGTCACTTATTTTATAGAAAAACTGAAGTGTGGTTCTGCATGTGCAAGCAGACTGGTTCCCCCCCTTTCTGCGATGGTAGTCACAATTGCGAACTTGTTCAAACCACTATCAAGTACTAGCAAGTGACTTTTCCTACCCTTCTGCATAGCCAAACGCCATGCTAATGTATTTATGTCAATAAATTTCCTACAACATACTTCCCTTTTTGTGATTTCGACGCCTTAGTTTCAACTTGTTGTGCTCATATCAAATATGAGTCCTGATGGAGCTAACTTTGGTTGGTTTCGCATTCTCTTTATGAATGTAAGCTGCGCTCTCTGGATAGAATTTCGAAAGGCAGTCAAAGGAATTTGGTTGGTGCTCTCGGCCAATGGAATGTCTCTAGCAACCGGACATTCTTCTCATTCTTGAAGAAGAAGCGTGATGATAAAACTTCAAGCGCCAAGACAGAGCCTCAGTCAGAGCCTACTCACGCAGAGCTCATGTATGCCAAATTCCTCACATCTAGCCTTTAGCATCCTGTTTGATCAGTTAACGTTAACGTTTCATTCCTCTTATAGCTGGGCAGAGGTCTCAAAAAGCTTTGAGAAGAATAAGTTAGCAAAGGCCTCGCAGACTACAATGGGTCTGAAGCGCTCGCAATTGAAGCAGCTGAAGAAGGCAGCATTTCTGGATGCAGTAGAGCTCTACAAGGCCCATTCGGGAAGCGCGCGACGTGGATTTAATGAGTTCATCCTAGCGGCGATGCAGGAGATGCGGGCGTACGAGGTGGAGGATGATCTGGAGGCCTACAAGGCTCTCCTTTCTGTGCTGCCTCGCGAGGGACGACTGAAGGCCAAGTCCATCCTCCACGCTGATGTGGGGGGGTACAAGCAACAGCAGGACACTGTCGTCAGACTGCTCTTACAGCTTAACGCCAATCGTGAGGTTCATTTCTAATTTATATCGTATAATCTAATCTCGTTTGGTACGCCCCATTATAAAACGCGAAATTTTGATTTACTTATTTAAATGCAAGTTTCTCCTTTAAAGCGCTTGATGTGGTAAAAGATGCTAGGTTGAAAGTTAGAATTATAAGGCATATTTTACAGCCGTTTTTTTCCTACGGTGTTAACGTTTTTTTTCGATGGTCAAATTTTTGACTTATTTCAAACCTGACATCGTCATGAAAAGTAGCGGGGACGGGGTTATCGCAGTTACTGCCTAGTCCGAATCAACAGCAATAGTGAGAGTTGATTCCACTTTATATACCTTCTTTTACCTTAAAAGCTTTTTTTATATCCACTGTCTTGGGGGCTATGGCATGCAAAATTTCAAAGGGCTTGCTAGAAGGAACTCATTGCCTTTTCTTCTCAATACTCCTCTGCCAAGGCTTCAAACTTATCAAAATGTCTTGAAATCGTTTGTGCAAAATTTCTACAAGCTTCGGAGGGATTCTGTACCTTTTGACAAGCAGTCTATAATTCTCGCCTTTTTCTTGTAACTGACAGTCAAGTCCTCATGGAACTGAATGACGATAACTACATACCACCCTTCTTCGTCCATAATGGTCTATCGCACAATGGAAATGATTTACACCTTCCTCCTTGATCGAAAAAGTTTTAATGTATTGGAATGAAGCGTAACCCCCTGAGATTTCCCCAGCAGGATAGCATTACCGGCGTAAAGTAGGGCATGTGGCTACTGGCATGGTCTGGTATGGTACAATGTCAGGGCACCCAAGTGGCTCCTTTACCGAAACCGAGAGTTAGACAATCAACTAAAGTATTACAGAAGCATGAGACTGTAATTTACACATTGTGTTTAATACTAGTCTCTTTTGACTGCACTACGTATTTGCCACTGCTTTTCCTAATGGTCGGATCCTTTGCATCTAGCTTAGCTTGTATTCGGCTGCCATCGTGTTGAGCGATATTAGGGAAGGGGCTATCACTCTTAGCATCGCATGAAACTTGCCACCAGACACTACTCCCTTCTCTTTTACGACTTCATTATCTAAGCTGGCATTGTTATATCCACTCATTTTATTGGGAAAATAAGGTAAAGGCTAAATAAAGATATCAGGATGAAAATTCGCACTTTTCGCTCCACAGTCGTTCCTGCCTTCCAACTTTACTGATTGCGTCTGTTGTGTGAGGTTTCCTTCACATTTCTACTAGGAGGATAGCCATCACAGCCAGCTTCTCATGCAACCTCATAAGACTTGGGAGATTTGTCTTCTTCACTCAAGCTCCTTCTGGCAATGCTTGAAATTTATAAAATCTGCGAAATTAATTCCTAGAACTCCGTTAGGTTTCGCAGCAAATATTCTAACTTTGCGGTCAAAAAGAGTCGGGGATTTTATAGCATTAATATTGTCCTTCTTATCCGGCTCATTGTAATCTTATCTGGCATTGTTACCAGCTTAAAGCAGCTCTATATTTTCCTGTTGGTAAGACCTACTGAATTCGGACAATAATCTGCATGACACTTTTTATTCCCAGTTTAAAGTAAAACTTTATCATGCATTAATCGTGTGCAAGTTGCCTTGTTTTTTTTTCTAAATTTCATAGCTTTATTTACCATTGCCAGGTGGTATAAAGCCTGCTAAGTATCATAGAATCTGCTATTTTGTTGCCAGGTCAATAAAATCCAAGTGAAGCGAATGTGAGATTAAAGTTGCTTTTTACGAAGTGATATTAAACCATGTGTTGAACTTTAAGACTAGCACGGATAAAAATGAACCGTTCACAAACGCAGTTTACTTAAAGGAAGCCATATGCTTCTCTGAATACATACTGACACTTATCCGTGCCTTTTGACATGTCTGCATCGCGAACTCGTAAACCCTCATCAGCTCACTGGTCTCTCTTCAAAAGAACCCCGTTTTACAGTTGTTTCCATCGGGTCAAGGGGTTATGCTTTGTTCTACCTTTTTAGACGTGATACCAGATGACGATGTAGGCAACACAATTGTTGAAGTGTTTGGTTTCCGAAGTTACGTCATGACCCATTACCGGCGTATGATGTACTGGGTGCCAAAACTTCGTCACGCCAATCCCTGGCCAGTTGTGGGGAGGCTTCCAGATGACATTGAAGGCGAGGACGCCATTCGATTGGCTCAACTCGCTGCTGCTCGTATCTGCCCTGATCCCAACACTGAGTTCACCACGATTGTTGTACGTGCCATCCACCGTCGCCATTTTCTATGACTGAATTTTCGACTTGTAGGTCGAATCCAAGGAGGCTGGCACTCCCAATTGTATAGTAAGTGCTCAGAGTCCTACTCAACGTGCTCTACTCTCCGCGTACACAACGACGTTGGCCTCTTCTCCACAGTCTAGTGTTCTCTATCTCGACGGACCACAGTTCTTCTGGTATCGGGAGCTTCAGGTAAATCTATTCCATTTTTTATCCTTTTTTCCTATTCAGCTTGCCTACTACGTTCTTTGGGGGAACTTGGACAAGCAGCGTTTAACCACGCAGGTAAAAAAGTGTCAAGAGATTGAGGATAGATTGAAGTCTGTAAATGATGTGGCTTCTTGGGATTTCTCGATTCCCGGCTCGGAGAGGGAGAAGCCTATACCACTGCAATCAGTCCTTCCACCAAATAGCTTGCTGCCACCGCCACCGAAAACTGTATTGCCAGTCTACACAGATGACGAGGGGGACAGTTTGATCGCTCTTCAGCCCAAAAGGAGCTCCTTGATGAGAATAGGTAGCGTCGTGACGGCAGAGCGCCGGCGCGCACTGTGGGCAGGCTTTGGGCTCTCGCAGCAAATCACGCACCTGCCGGAGGACCTGACGCGTCATGAACAGGCCGAAGGCACTATAATGGGCGTGGGTGTGGTGGCGCCAATGTCGAATGCGCTGGAGAGTCAGGCGCGTGCCTATGGTGGTCTCACTAATAAGGAGATGCCTGATCCTACCGTGTCTCTCCCAGTGCCAGCGCCTTCTGGACTCATTCAGCAGTGGTTGAATAGACTGCGGGAGCTGAATCCTTCACTTGACGCATGGACTGTGATAATTCGGAGTCGGATCAGTACGAATAGTGTGGGGGAGAGAAAATAGTTTCAAGAGAGTTCTTTTGCAAAGGAATGCTGTAAAATCCAGTCTTATTTAGATATCAATATACAAAAATAGGTCTTGAGGCTTCTATATGATATCGAGATTCAAAATTGATAGAACTTCGGTGTTGTAATTTCAACCAGTGTCAGTGAATTGGTTTCGTAGGCTCGGTCAGACTCAAAATCACTTTGGTCGTTATTAATGGTGCGGTATTTCTTTAGCCTCTTCGTTAATCACAAATCATCACACGTTGCCTTGTATGCAAACAGTGGAAGATAAGGATCTTCCTTTAGCCTCCTGAGACTTCTACAGAGATAAAAAAGGGCACAATACTCGGGCAGAAGGCATATATTTAACATGTAGGAGACTGAAGGCCTATTGGCGTACGTCGGAGGCCAGGCCGCTCGGCAAGGGTAAAGTGGCGAAGCCCCCTAAGTGGCCCATCTCCAAAATAGAGAGTTAAATTAACAATTGAATCATTACGTTTTTATTGGCTTGTTGGCATAGCAGGGATACCTACCTGTTCAATGGATGGAGGGGAGGTTGCACAGTAAAGTAGGCGCCTCCTTTCCTGAATCCGACTCTCAGGGTGTTGTAGCCAGTCTTGTGATCAGGAGCGTTACGCGTGAACCTTCTAGCTATCAGTGGGGAAGTGTTTCAAGTAACGGTGACGGAAATACTTCTTTCGATCTTGTACAAACTAACTGCGAATAAAATACCATCATCGGACAAGGTGGGTGAGCACGTTTGACAGGAATGATGGAAATTGCCATAAAATAAGGCACAAATCCTGGTCGCTTATTGCAATGAGGGCCATCTTTGGCATTAACGAAGGTCCTAGAAACTGTTCATGTCGGCGTCCGGTGGCAGTATGAACTGTAGTTTAGGTATCTACTGGTTGATGGTCACCATCATATAGATTCTTGTGATAAATGCTACGACTAGGAGACCTGTAGGAAATTTTACGCTTCGCTCATTTAGCCGGCGATAGTTTTCAAGACAAAGGAAAATCAGTTTCTGTCCGAAGAAGACCTAGTGAGCTCGCCTTCTCCCTGGAGTACGTTTATAAGTCCCATCAATATTGGAGCATAGATGGGCATTGCGAAAGCAACATCATTTCGTTGGTTAGCATTTATTTGATTGGTATTATGTTGCTAGATTACAACATGTCACAATACATTTTTAGAAATATACAATACTAGAAAGGAGAGTTTGAAGCTCATGCTTTAACTGAAGAAGATATCACACAGGCATCTGCACCTTAGGAAAAAGCAAATGAGGTGACTATGCAGTACACACTTTGTTAAGCATAATAATAAGAAGTTACAAAATAGCCTCTATTAAAATTTGTGCTGGTACTGCTGCCTCCTTCCCCAGAAGGGGAAACCCCAACCCCACCCGTAGGAACTAATCATTTCATTTCACAGCAAGTTTTCTATTTTCTAGAGGAAAAAGCTAAAGATTAACAAGAAAAAGGAAAACTGTGCAAAGTTATCTACTACAGTCCCTTATAAATTGGTGAAATCAGATTGCCAAGTCATTTTAACGACAAATTTGAAGCAAAAGATGCACAACATTGTAAATTTGTTCTATCCTCACAAAATTCAAAATGTTCATCTTATGAACAGACTTGATTAAGGGAAATGCTGGCAAATTTTTAATTCTAAATGCAACTGGCGTTTATAATAATAGAATCAAGTGCACGCCGGCGTTGGTGTATTTTTGAATTTCCTTGTAATTATTTGCCGGAGAATGAAAGAGGAATCGTAAATAGTTCGTTCTTAAATTTACTTTTATTAGAATTAAGGTTGCTGTGCGCGTCCGGCCCTTTAATGACCGGGAAAAGAGTCGCAATGCTAAGCTCATCATTTCAATGAATGCAAATGTGACAGAAATTACAAATCCGGAAAGTAATCAACTTGAATTGGTTTAAAAGCAGCGCCTTTTTAAAGATAACGGCACTAGTAAAGTATATGTTGGATTTTAAACGCCTGTTAATTTTGAAGCTTGACTGTACTTCTGTTTATGGCATCTTATTCCCCTTTTATTCATTTCACTTTGGAATATCATGCACTTAGTACTAACCAGCAATCCAAATCTTACTAGGATTAAGATTTAAAGTTACTCATTGACAGGTGTTAAGTAGGGATGTAAGCATTAAATATACATGCACAAATTTTTTGCCACCATGCATTGTAGGCTATTATTACCCATAGTTCGTCGTCTTTGATGACAGACAGAAGCACCACATACGTAATTTTGTGGCCCCCAGATTAAAGTAAACAAAATGACTTCTTTATCCTTAGCCGTAGAAAAGTTTTTGGAGTATCAATTGTCATATTTTAGGAACTGGCGAAAAGAAAAGTTTCACATTTGATCATTCTTACTGGTCCCATGATGGCTTTACCGTTGATGAAAATGGTATTCTCGTTCCCAACGGAGTGTCCTCCCGATACATAAGCCAAGAAAATATATTTACTGATCTTGGAATTGGAATCCTCAAAAATGCTTCTGATGGCTACAACTGTTCCTTATTTGCATATGGACAAACAGGATCAGGAAAGTCCTATTCCGTTGTTGGCTATGGCAAAAACAAGTAAGGAGAATCCTTGTATTCTCTTTATAATTTTGCAAACAGCATAGCTTTTCTTAAATCATTTCCGTTTATTCATCAATTCATCTTTATTTTTTAAGAAAATGATTTCTACTCCATTTTTCGTGTGAAGTTTATGTTTTTAAAGTCTTATATTTAGATAATTTTGGCAAAAGTTGTTGATGGCATATTTTAGTGCTCTGCCGCGTAAAGCTATCTGGTAGTATAGCGATGTTTAACTTTATTTCCAGCTCTATTCATTTTACTAAAGTCCTATTGCCATTAAAATGGACTTTTATGATCTTTTGTCCTTTTTATAGGGGAATCATCCCAATTACATGTGAACATTTATTTGAAAACATCAATAAAAACAAGAACCCACAAAAGGTTTGATTTCGTGGATCGTTTGGCCTAATTTCATGCTTTTTGTAGGAGTTCCAAGTAACTATTTCTATGATAGAGATATACAATGAAAAAGTTCGCGATCTTTTAAGTTTGGAATCAAAAAGCTCGGCAGGATTGCCTGTTCGACAAACTGCTGGAGAGGGCTTCTTTGTACAGGGTTTAAAAATTGTTCCTGTCGGTTCGTACAATGACATTGAAGAAAGAATGAAACAAGGTATAGCCTCTTTAGCTTGTGATTTTAGAAGATGTAACTGAATCTCTCCAGTAAAACTTCTTAAATGTATCGTCCTTACTAAATGCTTTTAATTCCCTTCATTAGTTGATTTTTTTCACTCTCTTTTGAAATTAAGGGACGGCTAATCGGACGATAGCGGCAACAAACATGAATGCCACAAGTTCCCGAGCCCATACTCTCGTGTGCATCTCCTTCGACCAGATTACATCAAAAAATGGCACCACTAATCGCTTAAGCTCTGCGATCAACTTTGTCGATTTAGCGGGTTAGTTCATTCATTCCATCTATTCATAAAAGAAAGCACATCATTTTGATGCTGGGTAAGATTCAGATGTGAATGCGTCCTTATTTCGACTCAAAATGCCACTACGAATCAGACAACACTTCTAAATAAATTAAGAGTTAAAATAAGTTGCCATTGAATCCTTCACATTTTGCCAAAGTAAAAGATGGCAATTAATGCCTCCTAAATCCACAAGAGAGTGTACGAGGGTGGATAAAGTAGTTCGAAACTTGCTTGATTCAAGAAAACTCAAAGCGCCTTTCTGATCTCAGGTTCCGAACGTGCGGATAGCACTGGGGCAACGGGAGATCGACTTAAGGAGGGAGCTAATATCAATCGTTCACTTTCAGTGCTTGCAAACGTTATTTCGGTACGTCAAAACTACGTCCTTAAGGGAATTCGAAATGACCATTCATAGTTGAAATACAAAGCTGACTACTTTTGTCCTCAGAGTTAGATCAAATCAACAATATATATTAATGTGGTTAGGTTTTCATGACGATGTTTCCCAGAGCACTAATGTAATTAAACTCACTTTAGTATTTTAGTAAATAGCACATATCTTAGTATATTAGTGAATATATACCGTATTCTACTATATAATGTATAGTAGTATATAAGAAACATATATATTAGTTCAAAAGTCTGCAAGTTATTTGCAGGGTCGATCTTTAAGAGATAGGGATTGGGTCGCTGGAACTAATATACCATTTTAAAACCACATTTGGATAAATATCAGAGTACTTGGAGCCAGGAGCAGTACACCACTTTTTTTCTGAGCGAAAACTAGCGGTTGCTATTCACCTATCCCTTTTGCAAGGCTCTAGCTGAGAGGAAGAAGGTGGTACCATATCGTGATTCTGTTTTGACGAAATTGTTACAAAATGCTCTTGGTGGTAACAGGTATTTTTTGGCGTTGTTGTTTCGTAAAACACGAACTTGTATATGTGTTGTGCATTGCCTCTCATGTGCACCCATCTAAGGATCCCAAAAAAAGTGGTAGGTTTCATTTTCAACTACTTATTGAATGCAACAAGTTTCAATTCAAAAAGGAACATTTAGTGGATAGAAAATTTGATTAAAATGTTACCATGACTAAGCATTGAAGGAGGTGGAATACGGTGATGGAAGGTCAAGCCCCTCCGTCTTGCGCCATTGCAGTGGTATGTCCACGTTTTGCCTTCCCAGTTTGTGTTCTCAGCTAAACTTGTTTGGACCTCTTTACTATCGTAGATTATCCGGAATGATAGTGATCTAAATGGTTGAATAGGTGCTAACCTTAGCTGAAATACGGGATCTCGTAGAAAGAATGCAAGATTCGCACTTCAAGCAAACACTGTGTGAAGCTGTCACTCCTTATTGACGAGTTTACCTTAAAAGCTTAGTCAAATGCAGATGCTCATCAATACTATCTGCAGGTAATTATTATTCATTAGTTAAATTGTGTAGTCTTATCAGTTTCAACTTAAAGTACCAGTATTTCTCAGATCTCACGATGCTCGATCTATTGTGAATTTTAAGTCTCGGCAGCTGTTAGGATATTTTATGCTCTGGATGGTGGGCAGCGTCCTGAGACTTCCCTGAACACGATAGAAGACATAGCACTTGGGTAGAATATGCAATGTCGATGTTCAGAAGGGCTGGGGGCTGCTGACAGTGGCGGTGCCCCTAAGCGACCCCTCAGCAAAACCAAGCGTTAGGCAAATACTTAGAGCATTCAAATTCTATTTATTGGAAAAAGTATCGTAATTTGATTGTTTTCATAGTGCTTCCACGTAAAATCGCTTCAAATAATGCTTGAATTTTATTTATACGCAAAAAATCCTGAACCTGCGTAACCTCCCGAAACCTGCCGAGAGCTCGTTTGCTTGCAATCTCTTTAATGCCTAAATGTAGGGTAGTCCGGAAGAAGATAATGCAACAATTTGCTTTAAATCGTCTGCCCATCACTTTTTTTGTAAAAGACGAGGCTCCTTTACCAGCCATGCGCATCACGCTTCACAAAAGCCCATGAAGTCATGGAAATTTGAACAGTTGCGTTATAAAAATCGCTCCATGGTAACAAATTTGCGGTGTTCCAACCCCATCATTATCCAGGCTGACTTCGTGTATTTGTTCCTTACGCAAGATAACAATACCTGCTCATAGGGAATTGGCGGCTTTAAAAACGATGTCTAAACTTTAGATTTTTCTTCTGTCTTTCATCAGAAATAGATATGAATAAAGTAAAAAGACGCCTCATTGTCTAGAATAAATACTAGAGGGAGTGTAAGTGAGAATTATGACGATGTTTAGCGCTCGAAACCTTCAAGAAGACGAAAGGAGATATGATGCTAGGGCAGAATATGTACGTCCAACCTACAGAAAGGCTGGAGTGGGCTACTGGCGTTACCCGGAGGACATGCTGGTCAGTAAAAGTACAAAAGCGGAGCATTAAGTGCCCACGAAATTAAAACATCGTCCTCGGTGCTCCCCTTGGTCGACTCACCACATCGGCCATCACAACGTGGTCGGTGCCGTAAGAAAAACAATCACGAAGCAGCAGCGCCATGCATAGGATTTACGTGTAACTGAAAAGTTCTCTCTGCAATATCACAGATCCCTCAGGGCAATTTCATTGGATCTGGAACCTCAGCCTGTTTGGGAACTGCATTGTGAGGAGGGGGAATGTGCAGGCTATCACGCATGTCCATAGCCAGTCGTAGGATCACTGGCCTAAGAGCATAGTCATTTTATAGAGGGTAAGGTTTCGGCTAGTTTCTTGCGGATTAGCTTCCGCCTCTATTCCTTCTTCTCCCTTTATTTTTACTTCATCGCTGCCTGGCCATATCTTTTTAGGTTTAATCCGGTCAGTAAAGAAGTGGAGGAGGTATTGCGAGTTCACGTAATTAACATCTTCATGCAGATGTGGTAGACAGCTCCGTAGCGAAGTTTTCCATAGAGTTCGCGACTAATGCTGTTTCATTTGTTAATATCATTCTCATGGAACTCGGTACTAGGGTAGTTGCCGAAGGTAGACGTCATTTTCAACCCTTCTATTAGGCGTCGTCACATCCTCCCGCTTGCAGCAGGTGCCCTTCTTCCACCTGTTAGGGTTGATCACCCACCAATAGAAACCAGGATGGATGTCCTTTAAGATCAAGTTCGCTTTCTGCTGCCAACAGTGTAGAGCCCCTAGACCCCCTCAAAGACAAAAGAAGATATATCACTGGGGTGAAAAGTGTATTGCCTACGTACAGGTGGGTTGAAAGAGTAATGCCATGGTCGGGCGGGGGCATAATAGTATCACACACGCTGCCTATTTATGCTTTGGAAGTCGTCGTCTCAGACGCTGAAGTGAAATATGGCAAAAATCGGTAACAGTGTCCTTTGTACAACCATTAATGCCCTTAGCGATCGCAGGAGGGCACCAACTAAGCATGCGTTGGATGGCTGATTCAGGCCGAGGCCTAGACTTGCATTCATCCCGTCAATTATGCCTTACACTATAACTCGAATCAAAGCGGAGGAGATTTCTGCGGAAATCCTATCGCAAAAAGGAAGAGACTTCATCTTTATGTGGTTGTAGTGCATATGCAAGTTGCCCACGTTTGCATGATTCTTGTGCGATACACGTGTGCATTCTACCCACTCCTTCGACTTATGATAAAGGAATGTGTGAAGCAGGAAACATCTTTTGTGCTGCAGCAAGACCGTGATGATCGCTGCACTCTCCCCGGCTGACATCAACTATGCTGAAACCCTCTCTACCCTACGATACGCCGACAGGGCAAAGCAAATCAAAACGAATGCCGTCGTCAACGACAAATTACAGGATAGCGTCGTCGAAGAATTGATGGTGAGTTTAAAATTCTGTGAGATGTTTTTTCCCCCACACCTTTTTAAGGTTAAATTTGCCTCAGTTATTTTGTTTACCAGTTTAGTAAGCCCTATATCATAAACCTACTAGCTCCTCTTCCAGTTGGATATGTTTTTGACATTGTTGCAAAATTAAGGCTGAAAACGAAAGACTGAGGAAACAACTGGAGGAAATGATGAAGACTTCAGAAGTTGCCTCAGCTCCCGGTATGTCGTCTGAAGGTAAGTTACCTACTTTACTTACAAATCTCCTGCTCAACACATGTAGAAAGGGCAAGAATACAGGAGGAGGTACGAATGGAGATTATGGCACAACTGGAGAATAACCAACAACGGCTGGAGAACCAGGATCGGAATGTGTTCAAGAAAAAGGTGAGAGCACTTCTGCCCCGATTAAGTGTACCTCTACAAACAATCCTTTTGATTTTATTCTTTTTGAGGGTTTTAACGGAGATTTGACTTTTTAGCTCGAGGAGGCTCGCAAAGAGGTCACCGTTATAAAGATGCCGGTTGAGGCGAGACAGAACATAAAGGCGCGACCTCAATGGCCCTTCCTGTCAAACCTAAATGAAGATCCTCAACTCTCCGGTGTTATCATTCATTACTTAGATGCAGACAAGGTTGGTCTAACCTAAAAGATGGAAGGCTCATTAATATAAGGTCATGCATATTGAACATGCGATCTAAATTTTGATAGAAAATTAAAGGCATTATTGTTTCATTTTTATAAAACCCAAAAATTGGGAATGGCAGTCCTTATTAGAAAGTTTCCTCTGAAGAAACACTGCTGACGTTGAGAGGGACTTTGGTTCTGCTGGCATGACCCGGGGGGCCAAGCCGTGCAGTGGTGGAACCCCTAAGTGGCCCATTACTAAAACCGAGAGTTAAATAAACAATTTTAGCATTTCAGTTACACCATGATGCTCACATGCTCAATGAGATTTAACAACCCAAACGTATCAAACTACTCATTGGATATGGAAAGATTACAGTAATGAAATGGTTATACCTGCTACTTGACCAGATTGTGGTGGGCCGTGAAGGCGCCCTAGAAAGTCAACGGCTACGGAAGACGGCAGCTAATCAGGAAGGTAAAACGACGGCCTACATTTGGCTGAAGGGTCTCAACATTCAAGACGCCCACGCCACCTTTAAGCGACTTCCAGACGGCCGCATGGAACTCTCTGCTGGCGCGAATTCCATTCGCAACACCAAGGTCAACGGAACCGCTCTCACCACCTCGCGGATTCTCAAATCCATGGATCGCATTCTCTTTGGTTTGTTCACCTGTGCTGCATTGAAGTCCAAGCGACTCAAACGCATCGACAGATGCACGAGCTCGAGTCGCGTTATCGAAGTAGCCATCTCATATTATCCTGTTTTTATTTTTTTAGGCTCCTATCATCTTTACGTGTATCACAATGATGTTGAAAAGTGCGAGGGCGCTCCAGACAACGTTGACTGGGACTTCGCTCAGAAGGAGCTTGCGAAGAGCGAAGGGATTGATCAACTGAACAAGGCAATAGATGAAAGTGGTGAGTTGGTGTCGACCTCTAAGCCATTTATCCCTTCCTCTATCCTTGTCTCCTTGAAAACTCAACACAGTGAAGTTTAATTAAAAGTAGTTATTATCCCTTTATGACTGAAAGCCGGCTACTTGTTGCGGGATTTGATCTGTTCAAATCAAGTAATTTTTGAATGAAATACTTCTCCTGACTAACACATAGTTCACGCCAATTAGGTTTTTTTTTCCTTTCACAGACCCTCCTTAATTTTCCTCTATATTTTCTTCTTCTAACTTAAAAATACAATAATTGGGTAAATTTCCCAGAGAGACGTGTGGAAGGTGGTATTCACATAATGAGAGGTCGTGCATTCCAAAGCAGCTTTTGGGCACAGACAGTGAAGTCGACACCAGGACTGTTTTCGCCCAAAGCCCTGGGCCTACTTGTTTAGTTCCAATTTACGGTTGCCACGGAGAGGTAATTAAGTGTCTCCTCCCTATTGTCAATGGCACACTCATCTCTTTTAATCTATTTCCCAAGTGAATACCCTCATGACCCCATGTAGGACAATCATAGAGCAATAGTCCAAGAGGTATTCCGTAGAAAGTTCTTGCAACGTTTCATTCTAGTACGGTGGTAGTGTCCACCAAAGCGCAAAAAATGAATCAGGGAAAACTAAAGCGCATTATTCATGTTTGCATTACCATGGATAGCCGAAACAACTTTTCACCTGACTTCAGGAATTTCATACGGAAATAAACGAATGGGAAACTTGGCGGATATTGTGATTAATAAACATAAAATTGGTGAAAAGGCTATGACCCCCCGAGACTTCCCTGAGGATGAAAGAAGCCATAATGCTCAGACGGAATGTGTATTGACTTAGAGAAGGGCAGGGGTCTACTGACATGGCCCGGAGGCCAGCCCACCTTGCGGAGGTACAATGGTGGAGCACCTAAGTGACTCCCTTACCGAAATCAGGAGTTAAACGAACAACTAAGGGATTACGCAGCCCCTCTGCTTCCCTTGGTCAGCCTCCCGCGTCAGTCATCTCAAAGCAGTCGGTGCTGTAGGAAAATTCCCCACGAACCTACCGTACGTCCATTGTTGGTCGTAAAACCACTGGTCTAAAAGCAGAGTCCACCAACAAAGGACGCGATTTAACATGGTTCCATGGGGATGAGGTTACGTGGCTACACGTCCTTGCCACTTTGTTCTCACTTCAGTGCTGTCTAGGTATATCTACCTGGATTCTGTCCAGCTGGTGGGGAGATGGAGTAGGTGTTGCACGCTTACTTCATTGACATCTATATGCAGGAACGGCAGACAGCTTCGTGCCGAACTTTTTCAGATGGTTCACGGCTACTATCGCTTCAGTTGTTAATAGCATTCCTGTAGAATACGGGACCGGGGTAGTTGCCGAAGGTAGACGTCACTTTCAACCGTTCTGCTAGGAGTCACCACAGATTCTCCCATCCGCAGCATATACACTTCTTCCATCATGTTGTCCTTTAAGATCTGATCCAATTGCTGCTCCCACCAATGCAGCGCCCCGAGTCTCCTGACGACGAATGAAATCCTACTGTTCAGGCAAAATATGGATTGTCGGCATACAGTAGACCTCGGGGCCACTGGGATGGCACGGATGGCGTAACCCTAAATGACTAGCTACAAAAACCGAGACTTAAATAAACAATTAAGCTGTTACAATTACTTATTCCCATTGCATTTTAGATCGGTGTGTACTACAGCAACAACTGATTGAGCTACTTCCCATGCTGCAGGAGGTCAATTCCATCGCTCAGGAGATGAATAAGTGCCGAACTTTTGACGTTGTTCTTTTACCAGCACTGCTCCAGCAGACACCCTACGGCCAGCGCAAAACCACTAGGTATGCACGTTCGGGAACCCCTTGTGATATCTTTATTTCAAACGAAAATGAAAATCTCTTTGTTAATGAGCTCCTGGTGGATTCATTAAAAGCGTAACCAAATTCAAGTGCGTTTATTGCAACTGCTGAAATGCTAGTGTGTGCAATCCATCCGTTGGCATTTATTTATGTATCTTCAACGTTGAACGTAGTAAATGTGAAGGCTTGTAAAGCCATGTATAAAAGATGACTACAATGTCAAGCAGTTGACATTCTTTTTTTAGGATAACCATTCGGATGAAATGCACGAAGACGGGATACACGTGGATGTGGGATCGTGGAAAGTTTTTGAACCGACGTTTCCTCATTCAGGTGCGGCTCTACTTTCAGCATTTGCATTGTCTCGGTTGAAGAGGGCGCAAGCCCCTGAGCATCCAACTCTGTTTTTACTATGGGGCAAATTTGGTTCTACTGATAGATGGAGATTTTAGATGGACACAAATCAAATAGGTTTTATGTAAAACGACATACTGGAAGCCAATTTATCCAAATGCATCGCGAATGCATTCACAATCTTGACTACGCCTTGTGATTACGATGAAATGTGGAAAATAACACTTCAGAAGTTTATGTTCATTTTTGATAAAGGAAAATTTTAAGTAAGATCCTTAATGCCTTTTATGTAGTTTTCAAAGTTCATAACTGACCAATTAGTCGCCATCATTTAGTGATAAACTTGAGAAACAAAACTCTTCCTCCCGGGTAGATTCAAAAGCGTATGATGGAGTTGCAGTGTAGCGGCCCGAGACTTTCCTAAAGACGACAGAAGACATAATACGTGGGCAGAATATATATATTCGACATAGAGAAGGTATTAGGGCTACTGCCATGGTCCGGGGGCCTGCCCATCCTGCAAAGGTACTATGGCGAGGTACCTAAGTGGTTCCTTTACTAAAACCGAGAGTAAGCAAACACTCAATGTGCTACATGGCCCCTCTCCTTCCAGGAGTGTCGTCGCCGGCGCTCTCCTTGGCCAACTTCCCACGTCAGGCACCACAGCGTAGTCAATGTTGTAAGGAAACATCCACGAGCCATTCATTCCACTCATTGAATTTCCATGCAGCAGAGAAGGTACTTGACTGCAATGTCACTGACTCCTCCTTGCAATTCTACTAGATCTAAAGTCCCGTCCTGTTTGGGGAGGGAGAATATGGTGGCATTATGCGTGTCCACAGCTAGTCGTAGCAACATTGGCCTAAAAGCAGAGTAAAATATTAATTGGTGGAATTTAACATAGTTTCGTAAGGGTAAAGTTTTACATTTATTCCTCACCACTTTGTTTTCATTTCAGAGCTGCCCAGCCATATCTACCTGGGTTCTGTCCAGCTAGTAGACAGATGAAGAAGGAGGTATCACGTGTTCACCTCATTGACATCTTCATACAAGTACCGTAGATAGCTCCGTAACAAACTTTTCCAGATGGTTCATGGCTGGTGTCGCAAAACTCTTTGCTACCGTTCCTGCCCTTCTGTTAAGGGGCCTTAGAGATTATCTCATTCGAAGCATACGCGCTTCTTCTGTCCCGCTAAGGTTTATCACTCAACGTTGGAAATCAAGATAAATGCCTTTTGGGATGTGTTTCTCTTTCTGTGGTCAGCAATGTAGCCCCCCGAGACTTTTCTGAATACGAAAGAGGACCTAACCCTGCGAAAGACTCTGTACTATGGACGTACAGAAGAACAGGGCTTGAGGACTACTGGCATGACCCGGAGGCTGGTCCGCCCAGCGAGGTACAATGGTGGAGCACCTAAGTGCCCCGTTTCCCAAGTCCAACAGTTAAACAACTACCACATTGCAGTAGTAATTTTTTTGAGGTTTTTGTCAGATTTTGAGAAAGCGTGTGGTAGCAAAGATTGCAGACACCACGTCCATAAAGAGTTGGCTTGTCGGTAATGCGGAGACTCCTAAACAGTACTTTCTTTGCCAAAATTCTCTCAGTCTCGATTGAGAGATTGTCAACTATATCCTCACCATGACTTATGGCGTGTCATAATACGCTTTGTTTTATGTCATCGACAGGCAGTCATTGTGTCAAGGTTAAATATTTGCCATCAAAGTTTCAGAAAATGTATCTTACGCAATCAGTTGTAACCCTTTGAAAGAGATTCGCTTTTGATTTACGTAATTTTATGCAAATAACGCAATCAGCTTTTGAAAGGGTCATTCTTGCTCTAGGTGACCTGTCAGATTTCGACATCCAGAAGTACTTATGAAGTTCATTTAATCACAGTCTACTTGTGCAGAACAGTGAATTTTGACTAACCCCGATATTGAACTAATTTATATTCCATCAGGAGATGTATCAAGCCTTTAACGACGGTGAAGGCAAGCACAAATTGGTGAGGCAGGAAGATGATCCCTTTTGGGAGCCGCTGGAGCCCCTCCTCGTGGGATTCACTCCCGCCTTTCTGCAATCCCTGGCCTATGGCCTCGATTACACCGACTGTCTGCAGATAAGTGACCTTGACGGTAAGCAGATTGGAGAGGTGTCGGTGAGCCTTCACCCCTGCCTCCAGTCGGGCAGTGTGCCCACACCCGACAGTCCGGAAAACCTTTTCGTCGACAATCCCCAAAAATTGCTCGGAAGACCGTTCTACTTCAAGGTGTGCCCTCCTTACAGCTAGTGGTATTACCTTTGTAGCCTCCTATGTTCTTTGTTCATTTTGATGAAAAAATTTTTGAGTTGTAATTACATTTTATCAAAGGGTCTTATTAAGCATCAATCGTGCTTTAGCAACTGGTGTTAGTCAAGTTGTAACCACACATCCTAAAAGTCTTGACAAGGCAGAGGCATTAGAAAGTGGAATTAATACTTATTGAAGCGTGAGAGAGTTCCTTGACGCGAATTTTACCATCTGTAGGTGGGTGTCACTGAAATAAGCCTCCCTGGACTGTTAAATGGAACTGGGGTATCACTTCGCTACCGGGTGTATAAGGAGAAGGTGGAGACAATTGTGCGACTAGACGCCGGCGAGAGCGGCGACAATGATGGCAAGGTGACTCTCAGACACAGCCGTCAAATCACCTTCAAAAATGTCAGCACCGAGCAGCTGACCTACCTCGAAAAGGACTGCATTGCCTTCCTCATCTTCATTGACCAAGGAGACACGAAAGCGCCTGATCAGGTAGCCTCTAATTCAGATAGTTCATGATAATTTAAGTGAATTTTCAAGAATAGCCATGTTATATGTCATCTCCAGCTTAAGTTGGCGGATGCAGAGGACGCCATGCCACCGATTCATCGGGGTTCCATCGCTGCCTTTCAGTCAACTGATGGGCGATTTCGAGACTCGCTGAGGCGCATTTTGCATGAGAAGGGGATTTCAACTGCGGATAGGCGCATCGATCAACTCAAAGTATGTGAATCTCGGTACAAATTTTAACATTAACATGTTCTATGACAGTGGAAATCTAAAATAGCCATCGATGACTACTCCGTGATTATATCATACCGTCGTCGGAGGTACAATGCCGGAGCCCTAAGTGGCTTGTTACCGAAAGTGAGAGTTGAGCATCGTCTTCGGTGCTCCCGCGTCAGCCATCACAACGTAGCCGGTGGTGTAAAAAAAGCACCCACGAACTAACCGTGTCTTTCATCAAATTTCTATGCAACAGAGAAGATACTTGACTAGAACGTCATTGACCCCTCCGCAATTCTACTGGTTCTGGAGCTCCGTCCTGCATCGGAACTGGATTTAGGGATGGGGAATGTGCTGGCCATCGCGCGTGTCCACCACTAGTGATAGGGACACTGGCCTTAAAGCAGAGTCAAATGCCAAAGGACTGAGTTTGACCTGGTCCTGTGGGGGTGGAGTCTCGTATCTATTCCTTCTTGCCACTTTTCTTCCACTTTAGTGCTATCCAGTCATATCTCACTGGGTTCTATCCAGCGAGTAGAGAGGTGGAGAGGTTTCGCATTTTCGCTTAATTAATATCTTAATAAAGGTACCGCTGCCACCAATATAGCCATCCGAGACGTCCCTGTTGACGAGGCAATTCATACTACTCGGGCAGAATATGCATTGTCGATGCACTGAAACACTGGGAGGGGGCATTATGGCATAGACCATAGGCCATGTCGCCTTTCGTAAGGCACCATTTTAGAGCTCTCAAGTATCCCTTTACAAGAATTGAGAAGTAAACCAACGATTAGCGGATTACAGTATGGTAGTAAGTTCATGGCTTACCTTCTTACAGAAATTGTATGACACTTGGTCGAAAGTGACTCCTTCGCCAAAGGCATTCCAGGGCCTTCTAGACGATATACTCCACCTCTGTGATGCTTCGTCAACCGAGACCAAATTGACTCAGGTATAACCACTTAACACTCATTATTTCATGCTCATTCAGCTACTTCGATACGGATGCGACAATCTACCCGCTTTGTTTTGGATAGCTGCATCAATAAGAATCCTGTCGATTGCTTCTTATTCTTTTAAGCTCTATTTTATGCGTCTCTTCAGTCAGTATGGGAGCTCTTGTTAGAAGCTTAAGGAACATTAGCCAAACTAATGGCATTAATAAGTTGATTTTATCAAAGACCATGCATTATATTTTTATGTTTTCGAATACAAGTTGGTCTTTAAAAGCTATATCTAAGTAGAATTACGTAACAACCGCCGCGGTTAAGGGTTTATTAATACTAAGCTTCCTTTTTTACGTAGAACCCTGGTATTTCGGAAAGCACGGAGGAAGATTTGAAAGACTTGGTAAAGGTAATCATTGCATAAAAGTCTCTGCAGCATTTAATGTATTTAATCAAAAAAAAACTCCAGGGGACAGTTGAAATTACATTCTTCTGCTCTCGTAGAATGCTACCAGTGAGAGATGAGCGGATTCTACATAAGGAAATACTAACATTTGTAAAAAGAAGAAAATTCTTGGATAATTTGTCAACATCATATTTTTCAGCCTTTTCAAAAGTAGATTTATTCAATTTGCCTTACTAGAGAGTGAACCATAAGGCAAACTCGAAAAAGGGCAACCCTATAGCCTTTGCAAAGGCAAGTTTGAACGCGCCGTACATAAATTCTGTTAACTCTGTGCTATGTTAAGTCACACTGAGTGTTAACTTTTTGATATTTAGAAAATGTTTAAAAGATAGAAGCTAAGGAAGTCGGGACCACTTGGACGTGTGCTCGGATCCCACTTCAAGTCTGTTGTCTGCCGTTCCCTCCATTTGCCTATAAACTGTAATAAACAACCTGAATTCTAATTTCTCATCGATTTTTATCCAGCAATCTACACTCCGGCTAGACAATTCAGCCAGACATCATCAAACCTTGCTTGAATTAATTACGTCTTGTTTATTCGGTACTGCAGCGGTCGGTGTCCCTAAGAGACGTCTAGGTTCGGAATGGGTTGTGATGTTTGTGCTGATGTCGGATTTCATGCTGTTGTCCCACTTATACAGTTCACCAGGGTCTGCTTTATTAATCGAGCCTCTGAAAAATAAGCACAATGTCCTGAGGCTCACTCAAAGTTGTAATAAATTAAGGTGTTGTGGAAGGACGCTAAATGCGAAGACAGGGGCATGGGGCTCCCAACCTGGCCTTTGGTCCGTGTCGCAGAGACCGAATTGCCCACTGTGTTCATCACGTGGCTAAAAATGAGGTAAAGGCATTGTGGTGAGTAGACAACTGGTTAAGCTCTTCGATGAGAGGCGGAATATTTTGGAATCACATCATAATATGGAGGGAATTACAACGCTGCCAAGTGAGTCTTTGGTCAATAAGTCAAATTTACAGTAAAAACTGGGAAGCAAAAGCCTATTTAATTTGAGTCTGTACCCTTTTGGTACAAGATTTCACCCGTCATGTAACTAACATAAAAAATGCAGGTCTTAAAATCGTGACGTTCAAAGTCTGGCATTTGCAGAAATCATGTATGTGTAATTTCATCATCGGGAATAATAAGTTATCTTGTTAGCGAGTGTTTACTTAAAGTACCATAATGTCAACTAATTGGACCTAAACGAGTTTTATGCAATCAATTAGGGCACCGCTATTTTCGGAGGCGTATGTACATCGTTATAGACATTTCTGTGCCACGGTTGCTGGTAGGGGTCTGTGTCATATACTGATAGATTTGGTTGCAGCCTGAAAATTCTGACTCGTGAATTCATTATCCATGGCAATAGCTTGATTGCACAAAAGTTAGACCAAAATATTCGCTTTGTCATCACTTAATATGACTTTGGTGATCTGTCAATTATGTGGGAATTCCGAGCTCATTTTATTTGCTTTTTATAGATGTGCTTCATGTTATTGTTGTGGTATTTTTAAAGGCCCTAAATGTGGGGTTATAAGTGGTCACTTTGACTTAGCTATCAGTATTTGAAGATGTTTATCCTAAAATATGTCAATTTTTATGGTATTCGTACATGCAAGATTTTCTGTTTATTTTTCTTTTAATTACTTTAGATGCTGGGAGATTTTGCTGCCTAGCTTGGAATCAATTTGCATCTTTTGCAATTTAAGTCGGTCATTGCTGCACCCACATCCATCGAAATGGGTATGCGTATGAGTAGTACCCGTTTCGATTCTTCAGACGTCGCCTCCGCTGAACGTCTTAGTCCTCACTCTCACCATCACCACCGATCTAGTTCTCCTACTACCGGTCCTCGCGCCAGAAGTCTTTCCCATAACCATCAGCACACGGCTGCAACAGGGTCAGCATCAACATTAGATGAACCAGGTTCCAGCTCGGGTCACCGTACACGTCGTGGTCATGGTCACACTGGACACAATGTACCTCCAATGGTGATGCTCGATCGTCTCATCGCTGACATTGAAGCCAATGGGGGTGTCATCTCTCCCGATGATCCAAGGATCATTCGGCTTCTGCAGGTGTATCGTACCTCTGCTGCAGAGAGCGGAGAGGCGAGTGGTCGTGCGCGTCCCGTATCAGTACTGGATGCGGATAGTTTGTTCGCGGGCACGGAGGGCGCATCGATGGGCAGGGGTCACCGCAGTAGAAGAAGCGGCGGTCGTCACCACTCCCCTACCGCCGTTGCCACCGCCGCTGATGATGGAGCCCTTGAGGAACGTCTCTCAGCTGTCCGACGGCAAGTGCTTCTTTCACTTACCGCCGCTTCTTCCTCCTCCCCCCATCGACGACGCCAGTGGCCAGAAAGCCTTCTCCTGCTTAGTGGTGTGTTAATTTTCTGCCCATCTGCCTTTTTTTCGTTGTGACGCGTTTAGGTCATCGCATATTCTGTTTATGTTGTAAATACACTGTCTACTTTCCTAATTAGTTGGTTCGTTTCTCGATCTGAAGTGATGCACTTATAGGTAGAATTCCCGTTTTCCTGATGAATCTTTTCGTGATAAAAATATTGCGTCTTATTTGTTAAAGCCTTTTACTCCTTGCATTTACTACAAACGGCAAAACAAATTTACCGCCTTCGTTAGAACTAATTGAAATGTACTCAGTTTGATTTGAAACTGTTTGATCATCTAGGGCTAATGAACTTCTGAATTTCACTCATTTCTCTCAAGTTGGCGTAGTTTTTCATCAGCACTTCCTACCTAACTAAGACTCAAAATGGATAAAAGGCGTCGTCTCAGACCCACACCACCCTGTAAATTTCATTAACTTTCTTTAATAACTTAAGTAAACCCTTTTTAAGTGAGTCAATTTTACTCGCTAAGCCCCTTTTTGTACTTACACTGTACTAAGTACCACTTAACTAGCGATGATTCTTTTATTTTATTCCCCGTGATTGCCACATATATCACTTTCACGTGGCTTCTTCTCCGTGGTAGTAGCCCTATACCATACCGGCGACGGCTATGAATAGACATATGGATAGATACGTACCCGGGGATGCAATGAAGCCTGAGTTTAGAAATCCTTTTTTGCTGGTTCATTCATCACTTTTCGTCCAGACTGTTTATTCCTTGTTTACGTCTTTGAGCGCTCTCATTTCTGCTTCATTTTGATTTGATACTCGCTTTGCTTTCGCAATAACCTGCATTCTGGCTTACATTCGGTAGCGGTCAGATGCATAATTCATTGCGACTTCATGACTTTTTCTCTGGCAGACAACTTACAGTGGGATCCATGCTTTCTCTAGCTGCGCATCTTCGTTCTTTGCTATCAGGAAGCACAGTGCACAGTATTTAGAGTAGCTGTCTTCCAAACTTCCCATGAACATTTTTCTTGTTTGAAACCAATCCTACTTTTTTTTCGAGAAGTCATTTTAGTTATGAGAAAACCCTTGGCCATTTGTCTGTGTTCGGTGAAGCGGCATGCAAATTTGTACCACTTACTATGTCCTCCCTTTTTTTTCGAAAATAACTCCGGTGGTTGCAGATATTCGTTGGTTTGTACCTTACTTTCATTGTGCTTATGTGGTACTTTAGTAAACTGGTTATTCAAAACCGCTCAGTGTTTATTTTGAAATAAGAAAGACACCTGTTCGTCACCCCTGCTCGTCAAATGGGGCTTCGAACTTCTTCTCCGTTGAGCAGTTGCTTTTCTTTCTCATCAACGCGCTTTTATTAGCGATCGGTGTTAATTCAAATAATTTATGTTGTTCAAATTATAAAAAGGGAACTAAGATGAGAGTGACTTATAATCTATGGTTTTTTCCTTTGTTTACGTCTTGAATTAGGTCCCTTTAGGTTTTATGTCGTTTCCCCTGTGTACGCACCTCCTTCAAGGCTGTACTGGCAGGATGGTTATTTCCAAAGAAACATTGGCTTATACTGGCCCATTATTACCTCTTCATTACTCTTCCCTCCCCACACACTATGCCTCTCATCACTCAATTTTTATCCTGGCGAATGTGATGATTGTGCACAGGGAGCGGCGCATTCGTGGTAATTAAATCGCTGGAATAGGGAAACATTGAACACAGCAAAGACACGAACTTCCCTTCTCCCCGTGGTTGAATCAATGGAAACATTTCATCACTCATCCGTAATTGGCCCAGGTCCTACGAATTTGCGAAAGTTTGGTTAGTACAAGCAATTTATTGCATCACTCAAAAGTCCTACTAGCCTCAGGAGCTGTTGGCTTTGCTGGAGCCAGCTTGTTGCAATTTCTTACCCTTCTGTCTTTGTGACCCTTGAATCTTGTTTCATCCTTTAGTTTTTAAATTCACTTGACAACTGTTTAATTCAGATGATTAAAGGTTTGATGGTATACTTTTTTACTGACAGTCTACCCAACATGGTTCCACTGCTTTTCTCATTCACCATTCTTGTGTTTGTGGGGTGTCACATGGGTGCTAGTATGCCTCAAGTGTGATCGTCAGTTGTGTACTTGCATTTAGGAAGTACGCCAATCACCATGTATGCGTGCTTTCTGGGGCTCTCGAATATTCCTTTGACGTACTTCCTCTGTCTACTGTGGGCACTGCAATATCTACCATTATCCTTATGTACTTTTGTTGGTCCTCTGCATTCCTCCTCCGCTGTGCTGTGCTGTGCTAAGTTCACTCGTGGATTTCTGCTTTTCTGTTAGAATGGGCCAGATATCTTCTGTCGGTGCTGCATATGTAATTCACTTGTATGCACTTTTTTTCGTCATTTTTTTTGCCAGGTCGTGACCGACCCTGTATTTTCTGCAAGCGCATGATCCCGCACGACGACTACGACCTTCACTATGTCATGTGTCTCACCCGCCCTCGTGTAACCTACAATGGTAAGTCGGCTCCCTTCAGACATGTTTAACTTTTAGCGAAACATCTCTCATAAACTCGGTTTAATGTTATATTTTGTCGGCGGCGATGTTAATGCCTAGTGTGGAGAAGAACTACGCGGGTAAGCCGTTGTGGCGGCGGAGAGGGGGCAGTGAGAGTGCTCTCCTGTTATTAGTAGCGGCCGCTGTCATGCAATATTTGTCCACTCGCCGACGACATGTGTAGGTGTGGTCCGTGCGCTTGACCGCTTCCTCAAATCACAAACGTACAGGAAGGGAGAATCTCTGAATTTCCAGCATTTCCGAGCCTTTGTATCTGTGTGCTACCTCTGCCCTCAGTATTTTGTTTTTTTTTCCCCCTTCAGAGGATACTCTTCAAACGGACAAAGGCGAATGTTCCATCTGCTTGGAAGACATGAAAGCAGGTGATCGAATCGCTCGGCTTCCCTGTCTTTGTATTTATCACAAGAAGTAAGTCAATTTGGCGTTGTTGCAATCATTCGTGCCACAGAGTTTACACGCACCATTGAAGTGCAGATCAGACCATCATTTTTGTGTTTCTGTATTATAGGCCTAATTTGGTGTTCTTTTTTGTATTCCAGATGCATCGATAATTGGTTCCAAAGAAAGCAGACATGTCCTGAGCACCCTGGAGACTAGTAGTGGTGGTGGTTCCCTACAAACCGTCAATATTCCGCATTCGCAGGCGCCCACACTCACGTAATTTAATTCAGTTGACCTTTTTACTCCTCCACCATTGCCTCTCTCATGGTGGTGGTGGTGGTGGTGGTGGTGAGTCCCCGTGCATTCGACTCGTTTGCTAGCCCTCTTGAAAACGTTCATACATACTTATTCAGGTGACCTTTTTTTGTTCCCTTGTTGTTGCCCTCTCGTTCTTTGAAGGCGTGGGTCCACACAGTGACGCCACGGCGGTTTGGAGACATGGTTGATCGCTAAATACACGCATACGTTCTCCTTTCCCCTCTCCTGCCCCGCTTCAACCTGACCTCTCGGCCCTAATCCGCTTTTGTGGAGGACACAATCCGTTTTCGTTGGTGCACACATAAGTCCAAATGCTTCAGTGAACACTTCTGCGTTGGGTAGAATGGGGTGATGACATCGCATACACACTCTGGCGTGTTTGTGTGTGTGACTGTTCAGTTTACAGTTCTTCTTAATCGCGTTAACATTACTCGGTTCCATTCGCATACAAGCACGCACTGCCTCCTGTCCAGCCAACTCGAGGGAGGATTTTTGGATGGAAGGGGTCAACTTTTTTGCCCTCTTTCTAGGTGTCCTCTACTCGTGCAGTACTTTAGGGGACAATTATGGTGGAGTTTCTTAACATGATGTTGACACTCTTGTTCTCCCTTAAAGTTGAAATAAGTCGTGGCAATATATTGATTTAACAGTTAAGTCAAACGGGTATTTTGATCCAAGAAGTTTTTACTTGAGCTCTGTGACACGGTACTAATACTACGCTGTTGGCCTTTGAACTCTTCAGGACATCGGCAGTATATGTTTTGTCATCCAAATCTGGTTCATCACGACCTCAGGGAGGCGCTGAATGCTGCACTGATAGCGGTGGTAAGATTCAAACCAAAGTGACAGCTGTTCTGATTTCCGTCGTTAAATACTAAGCCTTAATGTCACAGAAGAAAGACGTCTGCTGCAGAGAGAGGTTGAAAATAACGCCGACCTTTGGCACCCATCCCAGTCCCGTCTTCTGCAAGAATGCCATTAACAACTGAAGTGACACGAATGATCTAGACAACTTCAGCACGGAGCTGTCTACCGTACCCGTGTGAAGACTTCAACTTAGTGAACACACGATGCCTCCTTCTTCGCCTCTCTACTAGCTAGATGGAACCTAGATGGGCGGACAGCACTGAAATGAGAGCAAAAAAGCAATATTTGCGGTACATTTGTTCCGTAAAATTATTTCAAATCCTATCTTATTAAATAACACTCCTTAGGCCAATCTACGACTATCGATGGGCATACGAGGTACTCCGATTGTGGGGCATGGTCTGGTCTTGGGCGTTATGAAACCGGTGCATTTTCCCGTCCCCCATGCAGTTCACAAATGAGAGGAAACATAGAGTGCAGCGGAAGTAAAGAGGTCCAAGAACAGAGTCCACTTTGCGTGGACTGGTTGGGTTGGCCCATGGTATGGACCTGGTAACCTTTTCGACGCCTTCCCAGGGGGTGGTGTCAACGTTTACAAAGTTTATCAAAGTGGTCCCATGCTACAGATCGGTGAGGCCTCGATACTTCTCGGGCATTGCCTCCAGTGTGATTTTTGGATCCTCCCCCCAGATGATGCGATTGGTGCAACCAAATGTCTACAAATCTAGGTGACTGGAGAGTGCAGACTAAGATGGGGAAATTGAACCAGTCATTGGGCAGAGATCTCACCTTAAACCATTTACACTCGTGGCTCACATTTCCGAAGTATTTCATGCGGAATTAGACTCAAGCCTTCGTATTGCATATTGAATAGCAACGCCCACTCATCGAGGTGTCACAGAAACTTCACCATCTCGTCGAAGGCGTGGTTTTGTGGGTCTCACGGCAATATCAAGTTGCAGCACTGATCAAACCTTGCTGATGCCAGCTAGTGAGACAGAAATGAATCTTTCGTGCATCATCCCGTGTAACAAGAGCAAAGTTGCACAACCTCTCACATCATTTAAGCCACGCACCAGACGTAACGCCGTCTCCGGGATCATTGTACTACTCCGCTTTGCTATTTGCAACGCCGCCTTTCAGTACGGCGATTGCAGGTGGGTGCTACCACGGAGTCAAAGCGTTCGTCTGTGTTTACGACTCCATCAGCTGCAGCTGTGGCTCGGGAAGCAGCTTAAGCTTTGCCGGATCCAATAGCTCATCTGAACTCCCATTTGTTGTAATCAATGCTGCTAGTTAGCGGTTCGTTGTTAAACTGCCGCCTACATTTTGATAGTCGAGGCGGGACAATGACCAAAAACAGGGTTGGGGATGGCGCTTAACCGAAAAAGGAGCAGTGTAGCAATTTGATATTTTGTTTGGCTGTGTTCTAGACTTCGGAATCACTTCAGGTTCAGCAGCTTGCAGTTTCGCTCTGCAGCACGGCCTCAGCGCTAAAAAAGTAGCCTTCCAGCTCTCCAGCATATTAGCAATATGGGGTCTTAGATTCCAATGCGGCTTATAAAAACTTTGAGGAGGACTTGGGAAGCTAAAGCAGCGGCAAGAAAGCCATATTATTGGATTACAAAGGAGGTTCAGGAAAATGAACATGGCTGTAGCTCAGAGGGGCTGTATTATTCAGAACTGCGATCGATCAAGTATCAAACCTCTACAAGCATCACAATTATAATTAGAAATCGCTCAGGATTCTGTTATTCCCAAAGTAGATAGAATTCTGAGTCATTTGTGGAGCTTTGCATTCTAAACATGTGAAACAATACTAAAAACCCAATTAGTAAAACCGCATTTTAGTGACATTCATTTGGCAACTGAAAGAAGCACACTCAGAGCAATTCTAACTGCATTTGTGATATAGAGTAAAAAAACCCTTTAAACTAGCAAAAAAATAATTGCAGTTGTGTTAAAGGCAAGCTTTAATTATTGTTAGATTACAAAAGGTTTGCAAGTAAAATTTAAAAAAATGTATGAAAGGAACGTGCAACGAATTTTACGTTAACTGTACTTTTTGCCTTTTATAACTTTTAACATATAAAATTAAAAAAGTGTTAACAGTAGACACAGGAACCAAGCATAGGTAATTAATTAGAAATTTTGTTTTAAGGGGTCAACTGCTTTTACTTCTAGCATACTACGCCTTGCACACGCATATGGTTTTGTAATGGCTTCTCGATTGTTTCGTCGTGTGTGGAACAAGGAATTCAGGGACTATTTGTGCAGCACGGTAATTGAAATCTTTTCCATTTTGCAGCTGGGCTTGTTTGACTGTTAAAAACCCGTGTTTGCTAGCACCGTAATGCTGGTAGTGTTATTAGAATTATTTTTCACGCGATTTTAGGGAATTCTGTATGACTTTTTGTAAACTGGGTCATTTGCCTATCATGAATGTGCGTTTTAAGATCTTTTTCGCCTGTTTTTTCGTCCTGTTGACTTACTTTTTATGCTCGACACCTTTAGTGCACTTTTGGTTGTCGAATTTTCATCCTCGTCATATACATTACTGCTTTATATTTCACTGTCTTATAATTCCAAGCAAATAGAGCAGGCGGGTTTTGAACTGGTGTCACTTGCCTGTTGTTTAATGCGCATTCATTTTTTCGTAGCACTTCTGGGGTCCTGTTGCCAACTGGGGTTTGCCTTTGGCTGCACTGGGTGATCTCAAGAAAAATCCGGAGCTGATTAGCGGCAACATGACTTTTGGTAAGTGTTCTTATTAGCTAACTTACTGCTCTTGTATGACTGTCGTTAAGGCAATATTTATCTTTAGACTTGTTTTTGCCTTGCTCCCATCGTGCTGAAGTGCACATTTTACTTTACCTTGATTTATTTTAATCCTATTCCCGTTCAGCTTTACTTTGCTACTCGGCCTTATTTATGCGCTTCGCAATCCTTGTGCGACCACGCAACCTTCTTTTATTTGCTTGTCATTTCACAAACGAAACTGCTCAGGGCATTCAAGGCCTAAGATTTATCGACTACTGGTGAGTTTTTACGGTTCTTAAATAGTATGAAGATATACAATTATTATAATCTGGTTTTGCCGTCAAGTATGTGGGTGGCTGAAGGTGTAGTGTTCTAGTATTTGCTTTTAGCCTTAAATGTCACATCGCATTGTGGATTGGCGTCAGACTCTTCCTCGACAGTTGAATTTTCGCGTTTGTATATTAGTTGTTACTGCTATTGATACTTCTACTGCTTGCTTCGTTTGTCTTGCCGTGTATTCCTAGTAGGGACTGTACAATTTTCACCTTTCTCACTTCATCCTTGTTTACTGTCTCATACGCGAATTGTGTACGAGTCGTGTGATGACAAAATTTGTTTTAGATAGGGCTAAATGTCCCAATTATTCTTTGTGCCACTCGCACTCATCCTTTATTTTTTCGAAATTTTGGTGCACTTTTAAACTGCTTCTTCAAAAAATGATGTTTTATGCACTTTTGATGGCCTGTGGAAGGCTGACAAGCTTCTATTATTATTATTGAGTAAATACATACCAAGAGAAGGAGGGGATGCGTTCTGTCGATTGTCTGGTTGTTTAGTCAACTTTTCCACTTCTTAGGCATGTGAAGTCGGAAGAGCAGCGTGAGGCCATTCGAAAGAGCTTCCTTGTGCCTACGCCCGAGCTCGCATCGGAGAAAGCATCTTAATGACCGGTTTGCATGCGCCATTTTTTCTTTCTCGATAGTTATTTTCATCTTAAAAAACTGGTAGTTCTCAGTATTTTTAATGTGGCTTTTTTATCACTCAAGAATCTTGTAGTCTGAGTTTATTCCAGTGTGCTAATGAGTGGTTATTATCAATTGGGTTTCAAAATCGTCTATAGAGCTTAAAGGCAAGATAGCGGCTGCTATTCTGATTACATGGGTAAAAGCATCGTGTTTGACTATTTTTACAGGTAATCTCAAGTCGCACTTAAGTATGTCAACTCTGTGACACCATTTTGGCGCCTTGGTGAGGGCAGGTGCTCAGCTTGAGAAGTAGCGGCACCTGCTCTTGCTTCACCAAGGTGTGCGCGCACACACTGCACAGCATAAGCACACTCATGTTGGCATGAGTGGGCTTGGCGGCGCGTGGTCTGCTCATCAGATTTATCTATCGGCTACCTTTCGACCTTGGAGACCACGTCAGCTTGCATGGCTGAGCGCATACCCTCACGTTAGCAGCAGAGGAGCACTTGCCACGTGGTGCTGGATGCAGTGAGGTCATCCAATCGTGCCCTAACATCTGCCTGGAGGGTTTGTCCAATAAGTGGTTTCGTTTAACTCGTCCATGCTCAAGTCGGTGCAGGGCAAGCATGGACAGATGGTTGTACAGTATGTGCTTAATTATAGTTATTCCACGCCTACACCGGGTGAGCACGTTACGACGAGACTGTCTATTTCTCACTCTCACTGAAAGCCAAGTTTGTGGGTGTGAAGGATTGACTGGGTCGTGGCGGTGGGTGTTTTGCGTGGCGTAGTGGAGTAACTCAAGCAATAATTAGCATTTTGCAATCGCTCCGCCTTAATTAGCGAGTGGATGGGTCAATGATCGCCCGATGGAATAAATTACCCTCTAGAAGTCACATCATGCGTTTGTTAACGTTGGTTAACCAATGCTTGGCCTGTCTACCTCATGGTCTTCTCTACTGTGAGTGGACGGGGGCGCGGTCCACTGAGGTACACATGAGCACCAACACCTACCGCACCGGTGATTCCATTTCTTTGACAGTGCGCTCGCGTCTGCCAGCATGTCTGTCCCAGTGGTTTGCCCAATTTCCATTCATGTCCACATCCGCCTGTTTTGGATTGGCCTGATTTGTACAAGTCACTTGCATCTCCAACGCCTAACTTTTGGACTCACCGTGACTGCGCTCATACGCATGCTCTCGTGACGACTTTCCTGTCTAAAAGTTGGAGTAGTGTTTCTGCGATGCGAGTGCCAAATGAGGCTTGTTTAACCGATGGCAATGTACAGAATTGGAAATGATGGGTTGTAATGTATGCATGTGTGAGATAGGCAATTGTGCGCCTGATATCACCTTGGCGCATTGTCAGGTGGTTGGAGGACGCAGAATGGCCATATTTGGCCTTTGCTAGAACTCCACCCCAAATTTCTAAGTATGAGTGACATAATGCAAGTCGGTGGTATTGCAACAGAGGCCCGGTATTCGTTTGTTTGAGAGAATGTCCGTACGAATTTTTCCTGAATTCATTTGCAAAATCCGACAGCTGGTGAGCTTTTCGTCAAAGCACCAGCAAATGGTCGTGTTTGCATAGTTTCCGTCAGTACAACAAGGCCTGCAGAGAATGCAGTTTGGAATTTTGTTTCCCCTCTGTGCCTCTTTTTTATCTCGATTGCGCGTCTGTGTACGACGATGGGGTCTAACGGCCGCGGCCGCATTCCTTTTTTTCTCATTGGTTGGGAAGAGCCCGGCCTTAGTCAGCCTCCAGTTGCGGACCCTTACGTCCCTCTGGCGAGGCACTATTTTTGAAACCGAGACCTAAAATCTCTCTGTTTCACAATTGTTTTGAAATGCCTTTTTAGAAATATGTGAACTTGATTTCTTATAAATGCTAGTGAGCATATATGCCTGCACTAACACCAAGGAGTCGCGAGATTGTTGCAAATGCACAGTGCCGGCAATCAAAGGAAAGCAAACACTCACGTGATAAAGGCGAGTATTTTGGGTTGGGCTTCTATTGTTTCATTGCTTGGAACCATCTTAGTGGGTAGATTGATTTTGTGCACACAGAGAATTGTCAAAATGCCGTGATTCGTAAGAGGTTTTTGGCAGACGCTACTCCATTCTCCTATGTCGCTGAACTCGTTAGCCTGCAAAATTCCGTAGCATACGTAAGAAACATAAATACCCCCTTCTCATTTGTGAATATCGAGTGCTTAATAATTGTGGGTCTTATCCTGACGGTAGCATATGAAAGACGCCTAACATCCCTGAAAGCATCGGCACGATTGAGTACCTGCTATTCCATGATAGCGAATCCTGGCCACTACTAATAAATGATACATAAATTGTTATCACAGTAACCAATTCCACTCAAGTGTAGCGTATCGAGACTTTTCTAAAGACGGGAGAAGGTATAATACCCGGGCAGAAGGGTTCGGAGCAACCGGCATGACCCACAGGCCAGTCTATCCGGCGAAGGTGCAATGCCAGAGCGCCTAAGAGGCCTCTTTACCGAATCTGAGAGTTGGACACACAATTAGAAAATTATATAGTCCCTCAGCCCTTTTGAGCCCCGTTCCCAGCGCTCCCCTTGGTCAGCCTCCCTCGTCGACCATTACAGCGCAATCGGTGCTGTCAGGGCCGACTGCGGCAGTCATTGAATTTCCATGCAACTGGGGACGTCTCCGACTGCATAGTTTCTTATCCCCCTTGGCAAGTGAAGTGGATCTGAAGTTCCTTTCTGTTTACGAAATGGATTCGGGGGGCGGTATGGAAATGTGCCGGCCATCACACTGGCCTAAAAGCCGCTTAGAATACCGAAAGACGGAATTTAACTTACTTCCGTGGATGTGTGGTTTCGCGTCTATCCCTCTCTGCCACGGCGTTCTCACTCCAACCGCATCTGTCTGGGCTCTATCTTGCCGGTGGAGAAGTGGAGGATATAACGCGTGTCCCCCTTGTTAACACTATACAGTCGCCGTAGACAGCTCTGTCATGAACTGTTCGAAATTGTTCACGGCTGGTATTACTTCATTTGTTCGTACTTTTTCCACAGGCAATGGAATTTTGGTAGTTGGCCAGTGTAGACAACATTTTCAGCCCCTTTGTTGAGGGTCTTCACCTATTCTTCCATCTGCAGCATAGGCACTTCTTCTGTCGCACCAAGGTTTATCACCCAGCAGTAGAAATCGGGATTTTTTTCCTTTAAGATTGGGTTGGCTTTCCTCTGCTACCAGGGTAGGTGATTGAAGACAGCACCCGGGGAGAGTGTGTTGTCGACATAAGAAGGGTTGCAGTTACTCCCATGGATCGGAGGCCAGCCCGCCCACCTACTGTGCAATGGTGGATCACTGAAGCGGCCCCTTTACCACGATCGAGAGTTAAGCAAATAACCAAAATGCTGCAATTGCTACGGAGGCTTTGGATGAAAAAAGGGGGTAGGATTACAGCTTCCAGGTGGTGTTAGTGTCTTGAGATTTAACAAAACGATATTTGCTACGATTGTGCTACTTCATTTTCCCTCTCAGTGATGCACTGTTCCGCCCATCGTTTCTGTCGATGTGGTCGGAGAGCCGTGCCGCTCAGCGAAAATGCAATCTGTGCATAGTGACGAGATTGAGCGGTTATGAATCACTACACGTCAGTCGGGAGGTCTCTAGCGCTATGCAAGATTGATTCGGCACGTTTATCAGTTTTCATTAGGAGAGCACCCAAATTACTTTGAGATTAATGCCGGACCGCCTACTAGACGCAGTTTCGACCCTGACTGAACCCCAAAAAATGTGGATCTCTGCACTACTCTGCTAACCAACTTCTTGGAGACACGCTATCTCGTCAGACGGGGTGACATTTACCGAAGACCTTACAAAGCGAGCGGAGACTTGATATAACGCTGACCAATCTGATGGTACTCTGTAGTTTCCTGGGCGTGGCAGGTTACTACAGGCAACTTGTCAGAGGTCTTCCTAAGCTCGTAAGCCCGCTGCGTAAACTGAGGGAAAGGAATTTCAAACGGAAGAAAGAGCACGATGAGGCGCCGATTTTAGCATAACTGAGCTTGGACTAATGAGTCTCACAATTTGTACTGGATGCTGACACTAGCGATGCAGCCGCGGACGGTATGTTCTCACAGAAAACAAAGAAGGAAGGGGAGTACGTCATCGCCTTCGCAAGTAACAAACTCAACAACAAAATGAGACTGCTGATAGGCATGTTTGTAGGAGTTGGAACGATAGGATTTCACAGTGCTGTACAGGAAGGGAAATACACAGTAATGTGTATACCCTGTCTCGCAGACCATTCTCTACAGAAACAGGTGATGTTGCAGTTGGTACTATGCTCTTAAGCGGGTCCACTTAACATCATAGGAAAGAGCGAACGGAATACCGGTTCCGTGACGGCTCCGGTATACGAGCGGTGCCTTAGATCCTCTTGCAAACTCACATCAAAAAGATGACCTTGAGGAGCAAAGCAGCCAGAGAAGCATGACAGAAACTCTACTTAGAGGATGAGATCTCATGGTTCCAAGATGGTGTTAGAGCTCCTAAGCTAATTGGAGCAAGCAACTGGGCCATGTGGACGAAGAGAGGATGCTAGACGCCTCAAGTATCAGGCACGGGTAGCTTTTGCTTACCTTAGACGTACTTGGTTTCCGTTAAACCTGCGCTACTTCAAGGGGCCTCACCTCACAGCAATCGTACCACTCCAACCCATACTCACAGGCTTCCTGGAGGAGAGAGAATGTCTTGCCATCAAGGGACCTATACCACCCACCGCGAGGGGAAACCGACATTCTGCTCATGGTAGACTACTTCATGATAGTGGTCGGGGAAGAACTCATGAACATTCAAGGCGTTGAAACGGTAGCTTGGGTTTTCCTCAATCACTGCATTTTTCAACACAGACCATCCAAAACAAGATATAGCGATTAAGGCGCTAAAATCAAATGTTACCCTTTGTTGAACTACACAAAACCGTTTTCGATCCCAATAGCACGTAAGACGCCTGAACATCCACAAGGTAATGGACAGGTGGAACGAAGGAATCGCGCTCTGACTGAACTGCTGAAGGCTTTCACTGAAAATGCACAACCAAAAGACTAAGATTTAAGCCTTGGATGATACCTCCTTGCGTTCGGTACGATCTGCAGTCCATACATCAACTGGTTCAAGATGCTCACAGGTTGTGAAATGAGAGTACCGTGCGAAATTTTCTTGCCAAACACGAAAGTGGCACCCCACACTGACTCAGTGTTTACTGCGACTGAATTAAGGGCTGAGACAATATTCAAACGTCATACGTGAACTTCTACGACTGGCATGTGTCAAGCAGAAGAAATATTATGACAACACAGTCAGACTAACGTCTATCAAGTAGGAGGCCAAATACAGCTATGTAGGTAGATCCCACTGCCTGGAGCTTAGCCCAAGTTTTACCATCCATTGAGCAAAGGATGCATTCCGATTGATGAACGTCATCTTATTAACAAACTACCTCGCCTGCAGCACACAACTCCATACTCAACCAATCACCACAGCAGGATACTCTCGTAAAAAGGAACACCTTCGGTCGGATAAGAAGATGAAGTTCGAGTATTAACAGAAGAAGGAAGACTACTTGAAATTGAGATATGCAGATATCACTCATAAAGGGACCATCTGGGACGGTGCTTGAAAGATGAGTAGACTATACAATGCATGCCTGTTTAAATACGCCTTTTGGGCGGGGAGCGTTCACTGAATGCGAATCTCGCGACGATACGGACGTCATCCACCCCCAAGGAAGAAGTGTACACTGAAACAGCATAACACTGATCGCTGTGCCTCGTTCATGAATGTCCCAACTTAATCACTCTACTCAGTCAAGGAAATAAAAGCCGAAGTGGGAGCCTATCACGCAACCTAGTTGGAATTTAGTGCCCTTACCAAACCTTATTTGCGAAACATTTTGTCTGTTTCGATCCACGATAGGAAGAACGCGTTACAATTAGGTGTGGAAATAAAACTCTTAGTTTTAAACTCATTTGATTATCAAATGGTGGTATGGTTGCATACCATATTTCAATAAACAGTACAGTTTAGGAGGAATTTTAATTGATCATGTTTAGTATGGTCTGTGCCCGAATTCAAACAACCCTTTTTGGGCTTAAATCCATAGATGCGCAGATATGATATGCTTTGTATCAGGGTCCCAGGGTTCTTAAGGTTAGGCCCTCACATTTTAAGCCTAGGTTATACGATGGTGGTTTATCCCTTAGTATTTGTGAGGCGCCACTTTAAAACTCTTGAATTTGCCTTCTTGTACCTTGCTGGGTGGGCTAGCCTTTGGGCCATGCCAGTAGGCCAATCACCTTCTCTGTGCTGAACATATATTCTGCCCAAGTACTGTGCCTTCTTTCGTCTTCAGGGAAGTCTCGGGACGCTACAATCAAATATGATGCAACGTGTATGGTGGCTGATAAAATGCCAAAGTTATATTGTGACTCTTTGATTTGAGACGAAAGCATTTATTCGCCTTCAAAATGCAAGGTCAAAGGACCTCTTCATGATAGTGGGCCACACTGTGCCCGCATCCCAGATGTTAAAAATTTCTATAATAAGCCACGTAATGAGTGTTAAGTTAAAATCTATTAGATCCAACAATACAGTCACACGAGTAAAGCTAACACACTTACCGTCTTAAGAAACAAAGGAAATGTTCCATTGAAGTGCATACTACTGTATTGTAAAGTCCCGAGACTCCCTGAAGACGAAAGAAGACACAATACTCGGGCAGAATATATATATTCAGCACGGAGAAGGCGTCTGAGCTATTGGCATGGCACAAAAGGCCAGCCCACCCAGCGAGGTATAAGGGGACTAATTCAAAGTACAAACGTGGCGCCTCACCAGAATCGGGGGTTAAACTACCATCGAACTGCGGTATAACGCCAGAGTTGAATGTTTCTCGAATTCACAATAATTTATTCAATTCAAGCGAATCTGGATTCACAATCTCGGCATCCTATAACAACAAATACCGAAAAAAATCTTGGAGAAGAAAGTCAAAATAAGCTACTAGTGCTTTTGAAAGGAAGTTTAGTGAATAAATCATTGCATGCAAGTTATTTGGACTATGCATCTACAAGTCACATGCTGCACCCATTTGAACCATAAATTTGTACTTACTTAGTTCTTCAGTCCTCTTTTTAAGGCTTTTAAGTTCCCTTGAACTTGGACTATGCTAGAAACTTATCCATTTCGTTTTGTTTAAATACGAAGATTTCGCCCTCATAACCTCTGTTACTATTAAATAGGGAATCGCAACTTTATAAGTGCCTGGTGATAAGTGGTGTATTTTGAATGTAAAATAAAACCGTTCTGGTAGATATCGGTGCGCTAAAATTTATTGCCGCTAAAAGTTAACACAAATCTACTCTGAAAACCCTCCAATATTCGGCTCCAAGTCCGTAATGTCTGCCGAGCACCTTGGCTATGAGCAGATCAACCTAAGAGGAGTTATTGGATTCAATGGTTTGATATAAATAGCATTATTTAAATTTAAAGGCTCTGTTGAAGATTGCTTGCACGTTCACCCAGACCGCCAGAATTTCGTTTATGCTTTGGGATGTGCAGTAGTAATTGAAGATTTAAACAGCCGAAAACAAAATTTATTGCAAGGGCACACAAGCAATGTCGTATGCTTAGCTGTTTCACGTGACGGATGTTACGTGGCCTCTGGGCAAATCACTCATATGGGTTATAAGGTTTCAGTGCATTACGGTATATAATGGTATTCTGTAGGCTGATATAATATTGTGGGATTATGCCGAAAAGCGGGAGAGAGCACGCTTCGTATTGCATAATGTTAAGGTCCAGGCGTTAGCATTTTCTCCGAATTCCAAATATTTGGCTAGTATTGGTGGACAGGATGACGGGAGGTATGTAAAGCTAACTACACTTATCGGGATGTAGTGTCGTTTTATGGTCGATATCCAATAATGCCGCAATTTGTGGTAGTCCTGCGCAGTTGATGAATGCGGGGATAACCAGAGCGCTTGCCTATGCAAATCTTTCTGATGACATGTTTTTCACCGGAGGAGAGTAAGTGCCGTCCATAAAATGCATTATTAAAAGCTCAATTTTACGAATCTGGAGAGCAGATGTACCAAATAGAAAAATTCGTCCAACTGATTGCAATTTTCGCCAATACAAACGAACAATTACAAAAGTGGTTGTAGGTTATGTCCCTCTACTTTCTTATTTTATAGTTTTATTCACTTTCTTGCACTATTCTTGCATTTACATTTAACCATAATTTAAGTACGCACTTGAACACAGGTGATGAAAAGTAGTCTTACTACACTTCGCCCATACTAAACTCTCCATAATCTTATAAAAATTTGTCGTTTATTTGCGGCATATTTATCAACAACTAGATAACCTTATTAAAGAATACTTTCTAGCTACCACTCTGCGGAACTAACTACAACCGCTTATACGGATATGCAATCCTGGATTTATTTAATGCAACTCTTAGAACTAGGATTGGGGTTTTTACGATCGTTTGACCTTTTGGACCTAATGAATCTAAGAAACCACTAACGAAATTTTCTCAATATAGAAGCACAACACTGGCCTTTTTGCACCGTTATTTTGTAAACTAAAATATTGTATTTATCAGTACGTCGTCTATGGCTGTAGCCCAACAATCAAGACGAAATGCTCTTCTGTGCCACAACGTCTGGTGATATCTTAGCGGTACGAATAAGTTCCGCCTTGGTGCAGCTAGTTTTTCCAGAAAGAGACAAATTCAGTTTGGGCATTACCTCCCTCTGCTTTGTCGACGACACCTCCCTCATAATTGGAACTGGTGAGGGAATAGTGCAAATGCTAAGCGTTGGACACAGAATTAATAGAATGAACTGTGAAATGACGCTCCAAAAGACACAGTAAGTGATGTTCTTCTCCCCAAACTTGCTTGCGGTTGCAGACTGAAACGTTCGGTGATGGGCACTGTGACGGCTATAACATTGCGAGGCGAGGGCCACCAATTCTTCGTCGGAACGGACAAAAGTCACATCTATCGCTTTGATGGCTCGACCTTCGAGCACGAGCTCATTAATTCTTGTCATTATTCCCCGATCAATGATATCAAATTCCCCGAGTATGTTTATTACCTGATGCAACTGCTTTTTCAAACACCTCCTCACGGTTGTGATTCCTTCACCTAGAAACTGCTCCGATTTGTTTGTGACGAGCTCCTTTGAGGATATCCGAGTCTTTCACACGCCCAGTCAACAGGAGCTGTTGCGAATCAACATTCCCAACCTGGTCTGCTTTAGCATTGACATCGTGAAAGACGGAACTGCTGTAATTTCTGGTGAATTGGTTTGATGGTTTTATGCATCCAGGAGTTGTGTTTTCCTCTCTTACACATAGCAATGATAGTAGTATTTTTACGGGTTTGTGCGCTAGTTCAAATTTGCACCTTCGTAAACGCTTCTATAATTGACCCGATGGGATGCCCAGGCCTTTCAAATAGATCATACACTGCATAAATGCTTTTGATGCTTCATAAACCCATTTTAATTTGTTTTCTACTATCTTTTGAATGCACTGTGCATCTACTGAAAAAAGAAACAAAGTTCGTGTACCACTAAAATGCCTCCGGATGCTCCGCAATCATAGTTGTGCTTACTACCGCAGGTTAGGACGACAGTGGAGCTCATTGAAAAACGCGTCGATGCGTGCATCTACCACCCACCAGTGGGTAATAAACGGTCTACAAGCTCTCTGGTGTTGATTATTCATGTTATGACATGATTTAACACCACTGCAAGTTTTAACAACAGCGCGTGGTACTGATTAAAATACAAAATTTTTTATTTTGGACAGGTCAAATGACTGCCCTGGTAACTCCATCGTGTTCTCAATAGTGTGTGCACTAGTTAAGTGACTCCCGACATCATAGTTGTGGTTTTACTTGCTACTACAGGATGGGACGACAGCAGGATCCGCGCTTTCTACCCGGAGACGGGTAGGCTGAT